TCATCTAGCTATTGGTCATCCAGCGCCGCCATCAGGTCAAACTTTCAGTTTGTCACATACTTTAATTTATGACCTAACAACTGCAAAACTAATGACATTCCCCTTCACTCATTCATTGTGTGTCTTTGAGCATATTAGCATTCACTAAAAAACTGAAAATGATGGGAGGGTACATTTTCAACCCCAAAAAAGAACTATGCTATGAATTTAGCTTTTTCATTATTTAAAGGTGTTTTCAAATTACCTTTGTGGAAATGGGCCTTTCTATTCTAAGCATTAAGTGAAACCAAGAGAGTACACTGACACTCACATTTAATGAGACAGTGTCAAGCTATCAAGCCTAACATAAAGCCAAGCGTGGTCAAAGATCTTCAGGCCTACCATTACTGAAGCTGTATAGCCTCACGTGCTGGGTGCTGCTGCCTGTAACACTATAATGTAAATTGTCATAACATGAGTTGTGCTCCCTTGGAGTCATGGCCTACTTTTGTGAGCCCCGCCTTCTTGGCGCCATGGTGCTAAAGGGATGGCGAGGCGCTCGAGCTAGTTAAGTGAAGACCTTGCCGCAGACACACACACACAAACAGAAGCTCTTGAGAAAATACACATGGTGCCAATATCACACACACACACAGATGTGGCAAGACTATTTTTGTGTGATAACATTAGAGGGAAAAGATCAGCTAAGTAAGAGAGAGGGAATTAAATGCAAATTACTATTGACTTAAACTATCTTTACCAATTTCACACAGATTAAACCTAGAATTTCTCTATCAGAGATCCATTTCATAATTTTAATTTGAATCTCATATATAGTAAGGGGCTTTTGCACTTACATTAATCTTTCTCATGTGGACCCCCAGGCCATCGTTTGCCTCTGCGTAGCACTTGGCTAACAGCACTGTACATACACGCTATTACTACAACAAAGAAGCAGCAAGCTCAGCAGCACCGTTCATCAGCTTCAGCACAAGAATTGGCCCGAGATTTATTGGTATCAAGCAGCCATCCATAGCCAACTGAAGACATTTTAGTTTGTACATGATATACATTTATCAAATATTTATTAGCCGCTATTTTTCGGTTCATGGTTTCTGATTGATTTTGGGATAGTGAGGTTTTTACCCTCTGGCTTGACTTTGACTTTTAGATAAATGACACAAGCCTTGAGGGAGTGTAGAAGTTAAACTATGATTGATCAGTCCAGACCCATTTTGGGGTGTAATATTCTCATATTTAAGTATTTTTGCGACTTTTTCAGCTCACTGATTAAGAAAATACAGTGTAGTAGACCGTTTATGGCTATAGTTTACAAAGCTAGTTACAGTATGTCCCAGTGTAGTTATATTTCGCTGAGGCATTGTTATTTGTTTATAACCCTCATATGGCATTCAGTCTCATTCTCTTGTACTGTTGGAGGCAGCTTTTGTTACTCAGAGGTGGCAGTGAATTACATTTCTAAAGAGCTGGACAGTCAGCTACAACCTGCCTTTATAACAGCAGTCACTCAACAAGTGACTTTTTTCTTTTCGAGAAAGGCAAAAGTACGGCATGGCTTTAAGTATGTTTGCACGTAATGACTGAATCTGTAAAATGTTTACAGAATCCTCCATTTTTGCTTGATATACTTGATTCTTCAGGACAACACCACCCATTTTCTTTTCTTACCAGCAGAATGGTAAACTTTTACCTTTGTGGGGCACCGGGGTGCAACATGAGCCGCTCTCTGCATCATCACACACATACTCAAGCGTCAGATCCATTTTGTCAATAAACTAAAAAGGTCAAACGTTAATCAGACAGCCATGACTGCTTGCTCTTTTCCCATCTGATCAAGCGCTGTGTCAATCATGCTGCTTTATTCCACTTTAGAGATCAGTATTTTATTACCTTCATGTCTGTTCAGCTTTTCACCAACAGTCATGCTTTCAGTTCTATTACTTATAGCACAGATTGTCAGATTTTGCTCTTCTAATGTGTGCACTACATCACAAGCTCACTCAGTGTTGAAGAATGGACTGAAGACTACCACATTGTCCTTGAGCGTCATGCTAGAAAAGATGTCTCCATGTATGACAGGCCAGTAATGCTTCCAAATAAAGGCAGCCAGCTGGCAAGACCAATATCGCTTGGTAACAAAAGCAATATCAGTCTAGTTCAACCTCAGTGAGGGCACTCGGACGTCTCCTCTCCACTCAGGAAGGACAGAAGTTTCAGGCAGGTAACAAGAACAGGTGAGAGCTCCACTGCGACTCTTCATCCTCTATATCTCAAAGTTGTTGTGTCTTTTATGAGAGCTTTAGTGTGCACCATTAACCTTGGTTATTGTGTACGTTGTTTCCAGATGTGAGCCAAGAGCTTTTAACCATCTGCTCTGTATCTGTGCAGTGTTTAACTCCTAAAAGGCAGAGGCCACATGGGCAGTTTTACCCTGAGCCATTTTTCTGGACTTTTTCTTTTTTTGGACTGCCATGATGTTGCAAGATCAGGTTGCAGATTTATGATGCAATTTTCACAACGATGTATTCAATTATGTAATTGTTACCACTATGTCCCTTTATAGCCCAGGTTTGTAGAGGCCTTTTACACCTCCTGTCGGCCAATCTTGACATTAGATTGTTATAAACATGCTGTGAGCGCTACCTCTGATATTATTTTTCCCACTGATCTCAGCCTTGAGTGTTGGCTTGATTGACAAATGGTTTGCAGCACTCAAGAGCTAGTCCACACACCCAATTTTCAGAATAGCCCAGAGCGGGAGGGGAAATTGGCTTGTGCTTGTGTTTTAAGCAAGAAACTTATTAGTTATTTACTTTCACATTCACAGTATGTAAATATAAATTTTTTTTTTGGTGTATTGTGGTCGTCACTATAAGCCGTGGATAGGCCACCTTAGTTTACTAGTCATGTACCAAGCTGTTACAGCTTTGTCACACTGACGGGAGAAAAATACGCTTTTGTCAAAGGGCATGCTTGGCTATGTGTGAAAAGAATTGACACCTGATGACATATTAAATTACTCGTGTGAGGCCACAGGCTCACACACATCATATTCACAGCATTTCTTTTACACTGATGACCTACAATGTGCTAGGAGACTTGCTAATAAGTAATGTAACCCAGTAAATTAGTTGCAGGTGCTTTGTAGTGATGCCGTATTTTGGCAGCCTTGAACTTGCTCTTTATTGCTATAGGTTTACATGTAGATACACAGAGATAAGCAAAATAGGGAACTCCTCTTGCAAATATGTTTTAATAACCCTGAAGCATGTTAGCCAAATATCAGCTGCTCACATTTCTTGGAACTTAGTATAAATGCAAAAGTAACTGCAAGGTAAATGCTTGTAGCTTACAGCAGTTGTACCATAGATGTATCATGTTCATATCAAACCAGTTGTTTGTGTTCAGGTAATGTTACTCTCATTTTAAGTCTGCTAAATTCAAAAAGACATGTCTTGCTGCCTGGTGCAGCTTCAAACTGATACAGTTCAAAATGCTGTGGTGTTATCCTGAAGAACCAGCTGCGAGAGGTAGCCTTGTACGTCCATATTAACTTTAATAGACCCTCGGCTCCTGCATGTCCAGTTTCCTTTGAATGTTCTGAGGCTGTTAGTTGCCTGGGTAACTGCAAAACCTAATGCTGTATTTCCCAGGTTACCCTCAGATTGTCCACAGGCGCGGGGTGAGAGCTCGACTCATGAGGCTCTTTCCATGCTCCACAGCCAAAAAGGCATCCTCCAGTAATCAAAGCAAGTGGCTTTTCCAAGGCTCTCTCCCTCTCTCTGTCTGTGATGATTTTTTTGGGTTTGTCTTTGTCTAAGATGCTTTTTCTTTCTCTGGCTTTTCTTGGTATGGGGGCACACACTCAAATACAGGCTTTAGTCGCACATGACTGCTCGAGCTGGAGTTCAGCCACATTTATTTTTTGAAATCTTTGTTTCACTATTTCACAAGGACCATTTTGGTTTTACAGTTGAAGAAGTAAAAATAAATAGTTAAATTATATAATAAATTAATTAATAAATTGTAAATAAATTGTTGAATCTGTGAGTTGCTGTAATATTTATATACAGATTAGAGTCTTTAAGTATGTTTTTCCCCCCAACCCATTTTCTACATTCATTTAGTTACAACTGAAATAAATTTGCATTTTGCAGAATGTTTTCGTCATACTCATAAGATGAACACCGCAAATATGATGTATAATGTTAAACTAGGAGTATATTATTTACAATTACAGCTTCAAGTTTACAACTTCTAAACTAATGTGATAATGAGAATGAGATGAAAGAGCAATTTTCTTTCCCTATATTATATCAATTCACCTGTCCTATACATACAAAGCATTAGCTCCATAGCAGCAGGTTAATTGTGGTCTGTAAGAAGACTTGGCCTTTTGGCTGCAGGCCACATTAAGACCCATGGAGCTAATGAGGCATTTAGACACACCAGGTATATACGAGGCCCTGCGCCAACAAGACAAGTCAAATGCGGTGCTGCAAGAACACTGCAGTCGGTGACAGGGCCCAGACAGCATCTGCCATCATTAAAGGACAATTAAAAAGTTTCACACGGTTTAGCTGTCCTCCTTCATGAAGAGGCTCTCTGCCACAAGGACTTTGTTCTGGGGTCGCAGTAACACTAATTACCACTGCTGTCATATTTGGTGTAGAGAAGAAGAGGGCGTACAGATTTTGGTGTGGTTGTGTGCAGTAACATTTGCAAATGAAAGGACCTGATATCATGAAGAGAAAAGGGGGCTTCAAAATGGAATCACTTGAATGGATTTTCTTTGTTATCGAGAAGGTTGCCTAGAATTTGTGGCCCTTTTAATGCCAAAATGTGGCATTTTGGATAGAGAGGTTCCAAATGATTAGATGTGTTTGCTTAGCTATTGCTGATATTTGGAAAGATCTCAAATTGTAGCCTTAAAAATGCTAATTTGCAAAGACTATCACCAGCATCTGTTCACATCTGACCTCCTTCCTCCTCCTCTCCAGACAGCGTTGAAGATGAGCTCGAACTATCTGCAGTCCGCCATCGCCCCGAGGGCCTGGAACAACTCGAAGCCCAGACACGTTTCTCCCGCAAGGAGCTACAGATCCTTTACCGCGGCTTCAAGAATGTAAGTGACGAGGCCGCCACGCAGCTTCAGCACCATCCATAATGCAAAGCTCAGTGGGCTCTCTCTTGGACATCAAAAAACATGTTTCCTTTGATTTTTATTTGATTTATTCTTGTTTACCTTCTTCTATCGTTTGCAGGGGTATTTCCTCAGCTCCTCTTCCTTCTAGTCCACATCACTATTCAACCTCCACTCTGCTTGTGTTGCAGTAAAATAATAATCAAGCATCTGAGGAATGCTATTTTGCTGAATCATCTAGAACTAAATACTTACCACAGAAAATTGAAATTTCTGTACATTGTTCACCGTGCCGTGAATAATTAGGCCATCTCCCGAATACACTGTGGAAGACTGCTGATGAGCAGTCAGGTCAAAGTCCTCCAGAGCAGCCCATATAAAATCCCCTCACTTCATTGTCACCTCTGGTGTGAGGCGTAATGAGATGACCCAGAATTGACACAACCCAAATTGTCTGGCAATGAAAGTGAGGAGGATAGCGAGAGTCCTGTGATAGTGGAATTCCCATAGGGCTTCAGTTTCCTGTTGAGCCGGCACTGTGCTCCAGCCAAGTCCCCGCAAAGCCTGCCCATTAGTCCGCTTCCACTTGAGACAGAGTAAGAGGTAAGAAGTGTACTAATGAGGCCTTTAATTTGTGCCGCACACTCTGCCTCACTTCCTCTGACACTGAGGGAGAGAATATTGCATATGTTTATAAACATCCTCCTCACAGTTTTTTAATTTTTTTATTTTCTACATTGCAGATTTCGCATTTCATTTTTAGCCATGCTAATGATGTTGCTCTAGGTATGATAATGTTAGTCGGTCGGTCCAGCCTGAAATATCTTAACAACTATTGGATGGTTTACCATGATATTCTGGACAGACATTCCTCACCCAGCAGATCCTGCTGCCTTTGGTCAACCCTTGGCATCACCAGCAGTTCGAGGTTTTCACTTATCCAGTGACAAATCTCATTAACATTTACAAGATAGATTGGCCCTAGAGTTTTTCTCCATGAGGTTGACATTTGAGTAAAATGTCTCAACAACTATTGAACGGGTTGCCATGAGATTTAGTGCAGACATTCCTGTTCCCCTCAGGATGTTAATAACAAAATGTCTGTTTGTCTAATACTTTATGACCAAATAGGCTATCTACAAAACAAATGACATTCCCTTCTACCTAAGCTGTGTTTAGTGCTAATTTGTGTTAACATGCTAACACATTAAACTAAGATGGTGAACCTAGTTAACAGTACACCTGCTCAGCATGCTAACATTGTCATTGTAGGGATGTTAGCATTCTGATGTTAGCATTTAGCTCAAAGCACTGCTGTGCCTAAGTACAGGCTCACAGAGCTGCTAGAGTTGCTGTAGACTGTTGTCACATCACAGATTACAGTTATTTTGTGTGCTAAGGATAAACCTCATTTGCCTTTGTATTCAAAGTTGCTCATCCCTGCTGTGTAATTAGACAGATGTTACTGTGGCAGAAGTCCAAATTGGACGAAGAGAAAGAGTCATGGTGCCTAAATTTCAGTTACTAAACCGCTTTTGTCCATCACTGAGTCCTTAGTGTAGCTCATTTTCCAGGGTCAAACAGCTCATCTTTGTTTTGCCACAACCAGGTGACATTGGCAAATAAAGGCTTTTAAGGCCAGTCAGACTAATAGAAGCTGGCATGGTTCCCAAGAAGAGAAATTTGGCCGTTTGTCCTTGGTGTCCAAGCTTTCGAAGAAAATCAGATGCCTCTAATTTGGATGGCAAGATGAGGTCATTTGTCTTGACAACAAACTTTCATTCACGTGTAGCGCAGGTGATCAAAGTGGAGCTTTGTCTTAGATCCAGCAACATGTCTAGCAGGGACCAAAACAAGACGTATGGCTCTAGGTCTTGCTGGAATTTAAGCCAAGATGACCTTAAAGGTATGAGAGAATCTGTTGTTTTATAAATCCCTTGACCCCATACTACAGGAAAATAACGCAATATTGTCCTCACGTCTGTCTAAATCTGCTGGGCTTTCACAGTTCACTGTCTGGACCAAGGCCTCGGGCATGAGATTAAGATCACACAGTTTCTCTTCCATCAGCGATGATGCCTCTGTTCACGGGCTTATTTCATTCCCCACACTGCTCATTGCCGCATCGCTTCACCAGTCTCGCAAAGGAATTTCACAGATTGTATTTGTGATTTTATTATCATGCATGAGCAAATTCTATAAGCACGGGAAATGAATACAAATACTTATCCTGACCTTTGTAATTATTTCAGTTTTGATTTAGAGGTGGATAAAGGAATATACATATATGTGAAAAATTCTAATAAAAAATGGGAGATAAGATGTAGCAAATTAACAAATTTAAATGCATCTTAACAAATTTCATTAACATCTGTGTTTCTTAAGATGCTTTGTTAAATTCCTTCAATTATTATGTAAACTATCCAAATGTAAATGATGTTATGTCCTTAACGGGGTAATTCATTCATCTCTCAGTGCTTCACTGATGCAGAGAAAAATGCATTACATATATAACAGCTTTCCCAAAAGATAAATATTAATGACTTATGTACAGAACAGTGTATGGATGAGGTCCTGACTTTTAGCTTACTTAGCAACACAAAGTTTATCCCAACAGGACCTTAAGACCGCTCAGGCATCAAGTCAGTGTAACTATTTCACTGAACTTTAAATTGAATCGCAGAGGCACTGCTTTGTACGTGATGATAACTAGATAACACACTGGCTTCATTTTCAATTGAAAATCTGTCTCCCTCGCCAATGTCATCATGAAGCTGAAAAGAGACGATAAAATACCATCAGATGAATTCTGCGACCCGTGTGAGACTCGGTTCAACAATCATAAAGTTTTACTGACCTTTAATTTTCCTTCAGGTTTGTGAGGATGAGTTAGCGAGGTTAGAAGAAGAGGCTGACTTGGAACACAGCCATTTTGTATATTACTGTCACACTTAATCAGTGTGTTATTAGTGTTGACAGCTGTAATTGCCCGTCTGTGTACAGGCACACAGGCGTGCACAGACTCTACAAGCGAGGTGAAATTACATGTTTGAAAAATCTGCCTCTCCTCACTTAAGGTACTTAATTACATGGCCTGTCCTTGCATTACTTCGAGAAAAGGTTGACTGTTGACATCCCATCCACTGCAGTGTTGTAGAACATAAACAATGGTCTAATTAACCAAAGCTCTACTAAACAACAAAGAAATACTGTCCAATGTACAAAGATGCTGTGGAGCAACTTTGCTTTTGGAGTGTTTCATGTGTAAGGTTTTCTCCCAGTGTTTAACATCTCTGCAGTCCTTGCTGGAATATAATTCTGAAATTATTTAGTAAACTGAGATACTCAAGATAAGTGTTGTGAAATACCCTTATTCACTTTCTTGCTGTGAATTAGATGAGAAGATTTATGCGATTTGCATATCTGTCTGTTAAATAGGAAGCTACTGGAGAGGGTTAGCTTAGCCCTGTAGATGTTGTAAATGTTAGCATGCTGACACACTAAACTAAGATGGGGAACGAGGCACTTGCATTTAGCTCAAAGCACCGCTTTAGCATGCTGTGCACACAATGTACTTACTTGCATAGTGAGTTTTGGAAGTCAAACACTGCCATTGTGCATTAACCAGAAATTAAGATTGCAACATTTGACCGCTTCTTCTTTTTAAAGGCGAATTGTCATTATCACAAACATTTGACCGCCGAAGTATCATTTGGCTTTCTGGCACTTGACTTTAGTTCAATTTTATTAAAAGTTAATATATAGTATAAGTTAATATAAAGTTGTATATTCACACTAACAACCACTGCAGCTTCCTCTGCTGCCATTTTCAAGAGAAACAGGTTGGTGGTTCTTCCTCTACCGCTACGTAGCGCAGACGGTGACCTTTGAGGGTGAGAGGGTGTCCAGTGTTTCACATGCAACTTTTTGACCATTATGAATGTCCAGTCCAGGTATTCATCGCGCACTGCATTTATCCATACATGACAGGGTGAACGCATGTATGCACCCAAAACAGCAAGTGAATGGAAGGGTGTAAATTTAGACACAGCATAAGGTACTGAACGAGGTTAATGTTAGCATTTAGCTCAAAGCACCGCTGTAAGTACAGCCTCACAAATGCCCTGCTTCAAGTCTGTTTGCTATGCTAAGCTAACTGTCTCCACCTGTCGCTTTGTATTTAATGCACAGACATGAGAGTGGTATGAATCTTCTCATGTAACTGCAAATACCATAAAACTTTGATTAATAGCCCGGGCTTTTATTTGCTAAAATCACTGAATTGACCCTGCCTATATTTGGGACAGGCCGCTTTTATTTTGAAGGCAGCAATGTAACAAAAACAACAAAAGGGTGCAGGATGGGAGAAGTGTGGCAGAAGTTAGCAGACAGAGAGCGATGGACTTCACATGACAGTATTCACTCATTATGGATTAATCTTTATGAAAAGCTAAAAAAGGAATATAAATAATCAAGAAAGTGACACATTCTGACTTAAGGAGCGATTCAATGGTCACGGGAGTCGGCACTTTTTCATGCTGGTTACACCAGTAAATATATAACAATTAGACTTTGGTCTTGTTGTTTCCGTTAAATGAACTTAATGATTGAATTGTGGAGAATCTTAACTGATCTAAGGATGTGTAGCATTTCCATATTGACATATTGATCATATGTTTAAACTATCTAAATCTAAAATCTAAGCAGCTTAGAAGCAGCTAAAGTGGGCAACCCAGAGGGGTTTAAGAGGTTTTATACATCCAAAGAATTTATGTAAAAATCAGACCAGGGGTTTAATGGAGACCTGCGTTTATTTGTCAAAATGTGTTCCCACACAATTGCCAATGTAGTTCAGATGCTACTTAGTTTGCCCACCTTGAACAGTAGTTTCCCCCATGCTACATCATTTGGATATATACAGCACCACACACCCCACAGTCTCAGACTGCATTTAGGTCGCAAACTTGTGCTCATTCTGTCTCCCTAACTTCCCCAAAATTCTTGACCTCACCTCACCCCACAAGATATGTAACTGGGTCTGTGAGACAACAGAAGAAGAGTCTCAGGGGAATTATGCAGACAACCTTGCAGCATCCTCTTACCTTGAAACACAAGGAGCCCTTTTGAAGCAAGACAACAAGGTTTCATCTTTATATTTCCACTCCCACAGCTCTGATTCTCAAAGTAGCTGATCCGACATGGTCACAGGAAAGAAGAAACCCGGTGTACCGTGTGATTCTTGCTACGTTGCTCACACTGACAAAATAGTTTCTCTCTCACGTCCCTTCATGCCAGAGAAATGGAGCAAATAACTGGCTGTAGCAAACTCAACTGAAGTTTCTTAGAAAAGTTAAATAGATTTGAAAACAAATTGATTGTTTTAAAAATTTAATTTGCAGATAAAGGTATACCAAATGTACATTCAGAAGTCAAAACTTATATTATTTTATTATTACTTATATATTTATTTTGTCCTTATTTTTTGTCTGATTTCTCTCCAAACTGCATCACAGAGGTGTTTGTGTTATTATATCCACCCCATGTAGTCAGAGCAGTCTGTTCCTTGTCTTTGATTTCCTACAACAACCACCACTACTGCCATGGCTTATTGCCTGGTATGGAAAACCCAGAGACATGGGGTGTTTTGGCATTTCCTCTGTTCCAAAGATTCAATATCCTGCCAGAGTGTGCAGCCTCACAACAAGCACAAATTGAACCGGCAAAACTAGCTGCCTTTATCATGACGTTGCTCTGAGGAAGGTCATCCACCAAGTCGAGACAAAAGCATGCTTCTTGGAGGTGTTATAATAACAGTATTCAGTCTTTTCGACTAAAGGCTTCCAGCGACCACAAGTGGGTGACTTTGAATAGCTATGGACAAGATATCTATTGAGGCTCGGATGGTTTGCAGCTTGAATACCACCAGATTGAACATGAGTCTTTATTTACATACTGTCTGAGAAACTGTAGAGGGTGGAAGTAACAAAAATTAAACATCAATCCGTGGTAGAATAAAATGTTACCACTCTAAATACATCTTTCCTCAGAAAGCGGCCGAATAAAATTAACTAGCAACTAATTTATTCATTTGAAGTTAAAGAGTAACTTGACATCAAACTGAAAAACACTGCCCCCACTAGTTGAAAATTACATGTCTGTTGCACCTTTGACCACACCCAAAATGATGTCACAGTGTACGTGATACACTCAGAAGTACACTTCCACATCACTGAAGCAAGGTACAAGTCAGCAAATACAAGGTTAGGTTAAGTTACTCTTTAAAGAAAATTGTTACCTAATTAATTTTAAACAAAATGGAAATGTTTTTACTAAAATAGAGTTTGGCTACAGTGGAAGGCTGGCTTTAGTTTAGGCTCTTGAATGTTAAGATCTTTTAGACTTGTTTTAAGACATATTTTTTAAAAATCCTCAAAAAAAGATTTTAAAAATAGTTTAACCGCTGGATGCAAAATTTCCCCTCCTACACTTTTCAGTGAAGTATGTGCACTGGGGGTTTTAAAGTTTCAGCCACACTTGTTTAAGTTGTATATTGGACCATGATGGACACGTCTTAAACTCTGATTAAAGGCGAGGACTTTAATATAGGAGAGAGTCTTTAATATAGCTGCTGAATGACCTGTGCAATTCCATTTTGTCTTCCAGGAATGCCCCAGTGGAGTCGTCAACGAAGACACTTTTAAAGACATCTACGCGCAGTTCTTCCCGCAAGGAGGTTTGTGTCATTATTCTTATTTAGGCGGAGCTCACTGCTTTGCTTTTTGCAGCTTGCGTTGCCTCTTACAGCTGCTCCTTATCTCCTCTGTGTGCTGGACAGATATAAATTGTCTTTCACTCATGTTTACAAAAACTGTGCCAAGTCCAGAGTCCTTGAAGTTAAACTTCCATCCAAGCAAATGTGAGTTTGAGAAAGAGAAAGCAGTTTGGGTTAAGCAGCCTGGAGTTGCTCACTGTTGGTTCTCTCGTCATTATGCAAAGATTCTACCCAAGGAACAAGAGAGAAAAAATTAGCAGGCTTAGATATATCTGTTCAGAGGGAAGACCAGTAAATATAATGTCTCACCACACGGAAAGAATGATAAAACTCTTAGCTCTAAGCATATTATTCTCCTCTCTTGTCATGGAAGAAAAAACATTCAGAGGAGCATTGTTTTTCTTTGAAAAAGCTACAGAACGTTTCTTTGAACCGTTTTTCTTGCTTGCAGTAGGTGTTAATTGAGCTTGCAGTTGCAGCAGATGGTTTTTGATTTCATGCGTATGTTTGTTCTCTCCATAGATGCTTCAACATATGCACACTTCCTGTTCAATGCATTTGACACAGATCACAATGGCTCTGTGAGTTTTGAGGTAAGCCAAGTATTGTCGTATTGCAGCTGTCAAAGGGTTTCGACAACTAACAACGACTACATCACACTTAACATTCTTAAAGCTTCAACACTGCAAGCCTCTAAAGCATTACGCTGGAGCATTATGTAACCTGCAACTCCAATAATTAGAATTTAGCCCAAGCAAGTCTTCTTGAGATGCTGTTAACATGGGATTAATATTTATAAGGGGCATATATGTGCTTATTAGGACAGAAAAGCTGTCATTATGCCAAACCAGAGCTGCACTGGCTAATGTTTCTATACGGCAGCCCCCTGTGACCCGACACAGATTATGAGTGGGCTAATAATTTGAATAACGAGGTATTTTTGTATTTCTACTGTACTGTACTCTTGCTGTTTCATCATTTGCTTCCAATTAATACCTGACATAATATCCCTGCAGAAATGTTAATGTATAAAATCAGCTGAAAATAATACCTACATTCAATGTGCATGGTGAATATTGTTGTTTCTTATTGTTTTTGTTTATCTCATAAGCTGTCAAGTGCTTGCTGTTTACTTAAAGCTGATTTTCTAATGTGTTTATTCTGCACGATTCTCAATGAATCTTGTTTTCACTGCAGGATTTTGTTATGGGCCTTTCTATCCTTCTGCGAGGCACAATCCAGGAAAAACTCAACTGGGCTTTCAACCTGTATGATATCAATAAAGATGGCTATATCACGAAAGAGGTATGTCCCTTCAGACAGTGTCAAGAGCGACTAAAATACCCAAATACCCACCTTTTTATATGAAGTAGATTTCAAGGCAAGGGTTTATTACGAAAACCATTTTCCTGCTAGTGGTATGTAGCCATGCAGATCAAAAAAATAATGACATTTTAACAAGACTCTAACATCAGCATGCTAACATGCTCACAATAACAATGGCTATATTTGAAACCGCCTACTATAACAGCAGTATGTACTGATTTTGCCTAATTGTAGTATGAAGTATGCAAACAAAAGCAGACTCTGCAGTATGCCAAAAAATACCCAGATGTCGTACTGATTCGGAAAAATCTCCAGTATGCTTTGGGCCAGTCTATCTCGTGTACTGTGTCCCATAATGCAAAGAGCTAGAACGTTCATAACAACTGGTCTTTTTAAAAAAAAATGACAAAAATGACTTTATTCAGGAAGCAACAAGCGGTCGTTGCACCTGCGTCACTGGTGGACAAGGAGGAATATAGCTGCTCTGTCCATGATAAAAAAAAATATATATATATATATATATATATATATATAACTCAATGTTAGATTTAATCTGTCTCTTATTCGCTCGCTAAGGTTATCATTGCTGTATTTGTGATATCAAACTTTAGCTTAGCAGGCTTAATAAGCGTTATGGCTTTGCTATGGGTAGTAGGACAAATGCTGCTAGCTATAACATTACGTTTGTTACAGATGTAACACAACAATGTAACACAAGATTAAATTAGAATTTTTTTTGTATGTGGTCACATATTCCTCCTATTGTTTCCCTTCACTTTCCAAAACTGGAGCTAAAACTGGCCTAGAGCACTGCACAACAGTTTCATACTACATACTACCATGAAACGTAGGCAATTCCGAATTCAGCCAGTGTCTAACAGGTGTAATGTTCTCCATCTTAGTTTCTTAGTTGTTAGCAGGCTAACATTAGATAATCAGCACTAAACACAAGTTGACCTAGTTGGAAAGCCAGGAACACCAAAGTTAGTAGGATTTATCCTCCTGGGACCATGAATCTCAGAATTTCATGGCGATCCATCAAGTAGTTGTTGAGATAATTTATTCTGGACCAAAGTTGTGGACTGACCAGCATCCATTACCATCCTTGAAGCCACGCCGCTAGTGTGCCTAAAAATTCAATTGTGAAACAGTTTGCCTGCTACTCTGGATAATCTCGCTGTGGACGGTTTTCATAGGGACTACTTCTTTCAGGAGAAAGTAGTTTCAATGAAACCGTCCACAGTGAGGTCTGTGGATTAGCCAGAGTAACTGTTTCTCTTTGTAATTAAATTTCATTTACAGTAATTATTTTTAAACAGCAGCAGAAATCTCTGAGAGGGACAGCTCAAAATCTCTGCCACATAAAACCTAAATTATCCGCAATGCTTCCCATTAGGAATAAACAAGGACTGGAGTTTCTTGTATTATGTGTGAACTGACCCTTTACTGTGTGCCGCAGGAAATGCTAGACATCATGAAGGCCATCTACGACATGATGGGCAAATGCACATACCCTGTCCTCAAAGAGGAGACGCCGCGTCAGCATGTAGAAGTATTCTTTCAGGCAAGTGTGTTGTTGGCAGCATTCATTGTACTGTAAATATCCGTCACAGTAAAGACTTAGATTTAGAAAACCTCCTTTATTTGTTCTTCATCTTTCCTTCCCTCTGGCTCCAACAGAAGATGGATAAGAATAAAGATGGGGTGGTAACCATAGACGAGTTCATCGACTGCTGCCAAAATGTAAGCCGGATATCCCGACACATCTCTTTCACTACTGTTGGCACGCTTGCGTTTTCTCATCACGTTGTTTCTTTTTTTTGTGTGTGTGTGCACAGGATGAAAACATCATGCGATCAATGCACCTCTTTGAAAATGTTCTTTAACTCTTGGCTGACTGTGGAGGCTTTGGAAGAGAACATCATCTTTAGCTTGGCCCACTAACTGACTTGGACTCATACCGTGTACAGAGTGCTATGCAGACTTTTGACCGTAGATAAAATATTGTTCATTACCGCGGGCCACAAGTAGGAGTAGGCAATACGGTGTGAGCACTCTGGAATGAGTCGCCTTTTTGAACATTTTACTGAATACTTAACTTCAAAGTTGACTTCCACCAGTTTCTAGTGAAGGGGGGGCGTTAGCTTCTGACATTATAAACACACAGGAAAAAAAGACATGCCTGATGAAGGGGTTTAGACCGGTTCCTTCATCTGTGTTGCAGCCTTGACGTGTTTTATTTACTGCCAGGTGAAATCACTGTGACTTTTTACAGCATCAGAAAAAACAAACAAACACTGAACAAAATATCGTCTGTTTTGACATTCCAGACTGGCTCTCACTTCCAGAGTGTTCTCACCCCCGACTTAGTTAACCATTGTGGTTGTGTCTTTTTGCTCTTTTGAAGGGCGCATTTAGAGAGAGAGAAAAAAAATATACATTGTACCATTTTCAATTGTATATACTACAGATAAAGCATTAGATGAGAAATCTATGAGAAACTCATGTGTTCATGTTTACTTGCCAACTAGAAAGAGACAACACGAGGATTGTATTGATGTCAAAAACCGGACCATACTATCGATGGTTTGTCTACAGAAGCACACAGGTAGCTATATTTACCATGAGTATCACATTAGCCTTCAGTGTATTTCATTAACCCTATATATGTATATTCCTTGTAAAGTAAACCAACTGTCATTTTGTTTTTGTTTTTACACTAAGAGCAGTGCTTGAAGTTATTTATATGGTATTATGGTCACTGTACAGCATTAAATGAAAGTTCGCGCTCGGGTGCATTTCAGGTCTTTAGATTTCTTCATGTTTTTATCAGAAAGGGCAGTGGGCTTTGCTTGTTGATACAAACACTGCAACTTTGTATTATACTCGTCATTTTTGGACCATCGGCTAATGCGCTTCCTGCTGTTTCCCTCCTCCTCGTCCCTGCGGGCTCAAGTTCAGCTGCCTGCACCTATATAGCCTGATTGGTTCTTGCTGCCCGTGATTACAGCACTGTTTGGCGCCCAAAATGTGAGCAAACACTAGGCATGCTGGGTAGAAGTCTCACTCACTGACTTCCTGTTGCTTGTTGGAAACTACTGGATCACTGGGAGAAGTGTCGCCGACATTATGTAAGTAAGTTACAGCGATATGTCATTTTTTCTTCTTTTCCACAATGACTTGGATCTTGGATACAGGAAGTGTCCATCAAACCAGCTACATATTTGAGAATCGGTTATTTTTTGACAGTTTATCGTGTTAAGATTGTGTTCAAATTCAATGTTCAGTCAGTATGCCACCACCCTGTATTACTGGGAGTAAACAGTCATAAAGATATAACTCTCCTCAGTGAGGCATGTTGCTCATTCATTTGTTGAGTAAAGAGAGTAGCACATTTTCTCAGTTGTATTCTTTTACTTATGTTATAATGTATGTGTATTTCCATCAAACCTGCCGTTTCTTTGCTTAGTTTGTGTGCCTTACTGTTTGTAAAATGATTTGTTTATATTTGGTTGGCAGTAGTCTCACAAATATGGTTATGACCTGATGAAATGGTGGGGCACACATTTTTGCAACATTATCCACTTTTAAACACCTACAATAGCATTTCTGCATTTCTCCTGTAAATAGTATCTCAAGCTCAGAAAGGTGAAAAGTGAACAAAATAAATTATACACCTTAAACTTCCAAAGTTGTGTTAAATGGTTTAACATACATGAAAGGTTGTATAAGACACTATAGTAGTGCCATTTAAAAAAGTGTTTGCATACACATTATTAGGTTTTCAGCTAGGAAATGCTCTTTAACACTTTACACATTTTCAAACTGTTAAGCTTAGAGAGGACAGAAACATCATGTTGGAACAACTGAAGCTATATCTTTAGCAGTGTGATAAATGCACGTTAAATCAGTTTAATTGACTTTAGATGCTTCATGATGACCGTCATGGTCAGAAGAAATGTATTGTCCAACATAAGCAGATCATGTTGTGGATCAAAAAGCACTTTATTCTGAATCGTCTCTGTCTGAGGAAGAGGCATCTGGCGCCCCCTCGTGGTGGCAAGAGGATAACACACCGCTGGACTGCATTGAAGATCATGAACAACGTGAATATTATTTGCTGTGTGTATAATATTTTAGTGTTCATTTTTGTGTTTGTGTTCAGTATTTAGACAAACATATTCAAACTCATTCATAAAGAGAGGCTTGTTTCATTTTGTTTGCCTGATCAACTTTCTGTACTGTAGAAGGCTAAACAACAACATTGAGCAGCATGGTTATGTCAAGAATTTAATTCATTTGTTGAGTTTGGAATAAAATATACATGGCGCACCAATCCCATGAATTTCCACAAGTCTACTCAAAAAGATTTAAAAAAACATCAACCGTCCAGCTTTCCAGTTAAATTGAAATCACTTCTTCCAACTTGAAATAGTAAGGTACTCAAATTACCTGAGATAAGTTGCATACAAACCAAAGAGATTGAAATCAGCCATAGAACTCTTGGACACATATTTTGACATACATTATTTGTTAACGACTAATATATATATATATACTTAAGGCAGATGGTAATATTTTGAAAACAAGAGTCATTGTGTATTTCATGTACAAAAAGACTTTGTAGGCACATGCACAGAATCGCACAATATTTATCAAATGCATACATGAATTACACTGAAGCAATTGCCTTTTATAAAAAATAGCAATGCAACACAGTATGTCACTGTGCTGAAAGTCAAGACTGAAATGTTACATATTATTATCAAGACAATTTTGCAGATTAAAGGAATTGGTGTAACACGATTTATACTTAGTTTTGGTTCAACAGTAAACTTCCTTTACACTAAAAGTCAAAATTTGACAACCCAATAGTAACTAATAAATCTAATATAACTGCCCTGACACTTTAGCCGCCGATTGTGGCGTCCTGACAGGTAAACTGCTTTCCAGTTTGTTCTGAAGGTCAGCTGCTGGAAAAAAAAAAAAAAAAAAAAAGTATTTCTCAAAATGAATCACTCCAACAACAGCAGATCGGATTATTTCCCCTCGCTGGATTGTTGTGTGACAGTTTTAAGGAAAAGCTTCATATATTTGTTCCCTAAACTTCCTCCCTTTTCCTCCCATTAGCAGCCCATTCCCGTTTTCTCATTACAAACTTGGATAAGTCTCCCTTCAGCGTCAATTTTTAGTTCCACTTCTGACTTGTACAGTGTAGGGAGGAAAAAAAAGCGTGTGTCATTTTTCATCAGGACACATGAGTGGGTCCTTGTTCTCTATGTAGAGCAACAGCTGTGTTCATTTCATTTTATCCTCACAACACCCAAACAAAACGTTTTCTGCGTCACCGCACACTGTGAAGATCAGAAATCCTCTACTATAAATGGTCAAAAAACCAAGTTGTTTTTTTTTGGTGGGGGGGGGGCATGTGTGTGTGGAACTGAATCACTCATGGTGTAGTGACAGGAATCATTTCTAGTCCTGGCAGCAGAGGCTTTAACTTCTGCTAAATAATAAAGTACCAGGTACTGTGGATACACTATTTAAATGTTTATTTTAAGTACACTTACCATCAGGACAGCAAAAGTGTGGTAAAATGTAGGAACCTCCAAGTTGTTTAGATACGGTAAAATGTCCTATTATATTATTTAAAAGAGAAACAAAGATTTTAAAATGACTCCTTACATATTTAGTCTTCACGGGAGAAAGTATTACAAAGACTGGCACACTTTATTGAGTTTCAAAGTGAACATCCACAGTATTGTCCACAAATAACCCCTTGTCTTGACACTGTAATTTCACACAGTGAAATGAAAAAACCCTCCACTTAACTCAATTTACAGCACAGCAGAGATATGTGTTGTATTGCTTTTGCCAGCAGGCCTTTTGCCTAAATGCATTCCGGCCTCAGGCACTGATGTCACACCGGCCTCCGCAGGCCATCATACACAAGTGTCTGTGTGGGAAATGCAGGATGTGTTGTGTCCATTTAACTTCTTCCAGTTTCATTTGGAAGTTCTACAAGTGACAAGTGGTTATTTGAAGATGATACTGTGTGTGTACTAAAGGATAACAAAAGCATGTGGAAAGGCAGCTTTGGACACCTCAAGGTAAAATCTCAAAATGGCTCTTCGTGGTTCCTCATTTCTCTGTAAAACACTTAACGAGTTTCTTTCTGTGGACCGTTCTCAAGAGGGAACCAACTGAGACTGACCCTGTGAGATTTGTGCATGGTCCGTTTGACGTCGCGTTTCTCTCGGGACAGTCGGGAAGGGGGACACTGAGGCCGAGGGGGGGGTTAAGTGAGCAGCTGCCGGATCTCTCGGTGAACGTAGCAAAGGAAGTCCATGTAGGAAGCTCCGCCGTGCAGCCCTTTATCCTCCACCAGGAACTGACGGAACAACAGCTCTGGTTTGTCTCTCTGCCTCACAATTTGGAGCTGAGAGGGGAGAGAGTGAAGAAATGTGATCTATTTCTTGTCCAAATGCAGGTTGACATGTGAGCGTATTCTTATAGATTTAGAGTAATAAATGTTATTCTAACTCCTCCTCTGCAATCGACCCATGCTAACTGCTCAATAGCACTGGGCCTGCAGTGAGTGTCAATTTATTTTTACTTTTAAACATTTTAGCATATCCATTTATACATTAATGTGATCAATAATAAAAACAAAATACATTAAATGAGGCTATTGTAGTTGTGGGGAGACATTTTAACTTACTAGCTCCACTAGAGGGAGGCAGAGATCAATAAAAGCAGTGGGCTTTAATTCAATTTGTTTCCCCCTGTGTTATCTCAGCTAATGTTTTCTCTAGTATTTATTAATTTGTTCTGTTTTTGTCATTTGACAAATTAAAGCACAGGCCTTTTTACATTGCTGCTGTGGATATCTTACCTTCATAGAGTTAGGCCTCTTTTCAAGCAGGCCATCAATGATGGATCGGACCTTCTTTGACAAGGCGTTGTCCAGTTCTGGCAGCGCACACTGCAAAACACAATTAGAATAATTATAGTAAGGGTTAAATAAGTCCATGTATACATGTATTATATTTGGACGGGTAAAAGAGCATTGTTACATCATGATGTATTGATTAGAGGATGGGAAGCGAGCCTTGATTTTATAAAGCTGAGATCACTTAAAAACAAAATTAAAAGAAGTTGTTACTTTTTCCCTGAATTGCTAATACTGACTAAAGTTGGTCTACTTTGACACATTCCTGCTCTACGTTCCATTCCTCCTCTTATGCACCGGCACCACATGTTGAAATGTTGTTTTGAGTTCTGCCTGGAAAATAAATGTCAAACTTTGTGTGAGGTTTATGGGTTTAATTCCAGTATGGTTGACTCAGTCACTTGAGCTCATTTTACAGATTTAACTTGTGCAGTGGATCACTACTGGATCAAATCATGATCAGATGTAAGATTTTATTTCCAACGATCTTTCTGGGTTATAAAGTGCTTGTTTCCAAGCCACATCGCCTAACTAAACATCCAGACGTTCTCTCACCATACTGTAATGCGTCTGGGCACCACAGAGGTAAGAAGATGTCTCATGTAAAAAAGCATGTACTGTTTCATTTGTTTATGAATATGCTGAGGTCTACTGAATAAATTCTGACCATGTGTCCTTGCAGGTGGGCGAGGGAGGGCAGGTTAAAGATGCTCTGGATGAGGTCTGGCGGGCTCGCTTGGCCCAGCCACAGAAACATGGAGTGGCCGTTCTCCAGCAGGAACATGCCAGAGTCTGTCAGACGCTCCTCCGAACAGCGCACCGGAGCGGGCAGAGCCTCGCTGCTAACGTCCATGTTGTGCTGGCAACAAAAAAAAGAAGACATTTATTAGATTACAACACTTGAAATGGGAGAGTGCAGTCATTTAAGACCCCCACAAGCTAAATGCACATGTTCCCTTGTATACGCCAAATTATCTATTTGGTTAATTGGTTAGTCATATGAAAATCTTTCTGTAGCTCATCCCCCTTCACTGACGTCAGTTTAAAGGGGGGGGACTCAATAGGAGATAAATGCATAGTTGGGGAAAAAAAAAAAGTATGAAAAGATAGTGTCTCAAAAGTGCTCTGTGTGTGTGAGTTTGTCCCCTACCAGCGGGGTGAGGCGTGGGTAGAGCAGCAGCTGTGAGTCCTCCACCCCCATGGCCATGACCGACAGCCTTAGATGGGCTCTGTCGTCTGTTGAGAGCTCTGTGCTGCCGACCAAGGGAGCCGTTTTCATCAGGCTGTTCATGTAGACCGGAAACACCTTCATGGCATCAGGCAGGATCAGCTACATATGGACACATGCGTCAAAATGTCGCTCTATTATTGTGTTCCCGATGCTACGCACAAGGTGTTCTTTGTATCCTGTAATCAAAGCCTAAATTCAACAAATGTCATCCCAAGCGCTGTTCTGCACTGACCTGGCTGGCAGCGGAGGGGCTGGCACAGTTCTTCCTGTAGCAGGCCAGCATGTGGGCTGTCTGGTTGACCAGGATCTCCCTCACATTCTTCAGAGGCTGGTTCAACATGGCACGGTAAGCTGAGTGGGCACGAGAAAAGGTTAGTTAAAATACAGGAGAGGGGGAGGCAGGGGCCTGACTGGCAGCTAAGGGGAGTGAAATGCAAAAAGATGAAAGATGAGGGGAAAAAAAGATTTAGGCGCAGAAGAAAGAGAGCACGGGGGAGCTGAAGAGTAACAGGACGAATGAAAGGAGGCAACTGAAGGTCAGTAATCCAGCTGTACTTGAGGCTTCGCTGTGTGCAGATTACAGAAAGCCTCTGTCATCAGTACTTTATGTGAAACATGTGGTCCTTATTTTCACAACTCATTCTTTTACTCATAAGTCTGCGAACATTAGTGGATCATCGAGAGATGCGTGGGGGAAATTCAACAAAGGTCAGGATGATAGCACAGTACATCAGCAGGCCACGTCTGCACTACGTTAGACCTGCAAATAAAGAGAGCTGACAGTGCGGGGTGGCTTGACCTCAAATAATGGACTGTTTAAGAATCATGGGAGACAAAACAGTTTTCTTCCTGTTTCAGTGTCAGCAAAGGATGTTTCAAGTTAGTGTGTGTGGCTATGAAGAATGCAAATTTAAAGATAAAATGAAGCCGTGAAGAGACTAGCTTTGTGAATTTTAGTGTCGGTAAACGTAAAAGGACAGCCACCTGATTTGGCAAAGAAGTTGATGAGGGAGTCGGTCTCGCAGCTCTTGAACATCTCTGACAACTGCGAGCTGCAGTTCAGGTTGAGGTTGTGGATGCGGAGACGTCGCTGCCCGTTGATGGTGGTGTACAGCAAGGCGCACTGGGAAAACGGGGTGCAAACTAAAGTTAGAACCGCCGCCTCAGGGATTTGACTCCTGACAGCACCGAAAGCAATTGCAAGTACAGGCACGTACCTGCATGAGCGCCCCGGTCTCCTCGCTGAGCGCGTCGTCGTGCTTGAACTCCACGGTCACGACCTTATCGCAATCCACAGCTGCCATTTCTATATCTGTGGTGTTGTTCATGTGGATGGCACCGAAGAAGTCTGTTGCTCTGAAGCCTGAGGGAAGACGCATACAGAAAAATGTACAATACTGGGCTCATCTCCTTGTAGCACATGGGTAATCTTGGGTAATCGCAAACTGTAAGTGCTAAAGTCTCATTCCATTTCTTACCTGTACTGGTACGAACGCGCATGATGGCGTCAAATCCGATGCTTTTCTTCAGGTCTTTCCTCAGGTCTCTCAGGAAATGCTCCCCGTCTGTCTCCACCTGACGACAACATCCGAGTGCATTTGAGTGAGCAGCAGATATTTTTATATGCACAAGCTTCAACCAGCAGGTGGCAGTGTTGTCACAGTTCAGTCCTGTGTCAATGACAGCACGGGACTAAACTGCGCACACAAATGTACCTCAAGTAATTCAGTCTAATACCACAAGAGGTGATTTGTTTTGTCATTTTGGGAGAAAGTGAAAAATACATGAACACTAACTGTGATAATTTAGCTTTTATGGAGTGATAAAATAATGTAGCTCTTAGTGACATATTATGTGATTAATGCCTGCACTGTACTGTTATTTATAATGTATTTCAGTGTAGGTTTAGGCCATGTGCGTTAAACTGCATTGTACTGCCTCAGGATGTGGTGTGTTTGTAAAGTTTGGAGCAATTTCCCATGCTTGTTCCACCATTCCTATGGGACAGGTCTATAATAGACTGCGGGTCCTGAGCCAAAGTCATTACGTGGCTACAACTATTTTTTTTATTAGGCTGCAAATGTCTTTGCCTGTGTGTTAAAGAAATAAAAACTGGGGAGGAAAAAAAAGTCTGTCTGCAACACTGTCAATGTCCTTGTATGTGCTACTGTAAACCGGTATACCTGCTGAATGTTGTACCTGGAAGTTGTTGTACTTGTAGACGGAGCCTCCGGTGTGCGAGGGCACGTCTGCCATGGTTGCTAAGTCTACGTACTGGCTGGGGAAGAGGAAGAGATCCACGCAGCAGCCCTGCGCAACACACTCCTTAGAGAGCTGCTCATACACTCCTTTCTGAGGCTGGAACAGGGTCTAGGGGAAAACACAGACAACATAATTAGAGCAAGTCAGCAGCCCCCTGAAGAAGCAGTCTCAGATTTCAAATAAAGCTTCAAGACATCACCCACCAGATCCTACTCTCTCGTGCAGAAGAGCACACGTTTAAATATAATAATTTCAAAATGAAGTTCAAAACTTAGGTTTCTTGTAATGACGGGCATTTATATAATTTGGTAAGAACCCTCTTTTGTTGTTGCAGTTTTAAAACTGAGCCCTGGCCTGCAATGGCTGTTTACTCAATCTACATTTGGCAGCAGTCTGTATTTGGAGAACACACTGTGCAACAAGCTACTCACTTTCTCTTTCTCAGTGTTGACCAGCTTTTTGTCATCCCTGTTCTTCAGTTTGCCGGGAGCCTCGGCAGTGGGCATGGAGGAGTGGAAGATGAAGAGCTTCCCGCTACATTCTGCTGCCTGGAAGGGAGACAATGATGATATTCTCAAAAGAAGGCCGTGTTGCTGTGACGCGTTGTTTATAGCGTTATAATGAAGTCGTGAGGTTACAGGGTGCAAGTTTTACACTCCTGCAGAGGATCCTCTTCTTCTCATAATAATAAACCTTATTTACAAAGCCCCCCCGGATAAAGAAAAGATGTAAGCAGTGCCCAAACTAAAATTCTGAACATGGACAGGCATGAACAAATAAATACGTCTCAGGCTCTTTGCTGTTGTGTAATGTCACAACTGCTTCCAATTAAAAGCTGTGTGTGAACTTTTCCTTTACTGCACTCCAGAAGACTGACCTCACATCACTGGAAACGGACTTGGACTCGAAAATAAACACAAACATATCAGGAGGAGAAAAAAAAAAAGAATCTTCGCCAAGCTGATAGGTCGAATGAGTTCAGGCGTTGATGCCAGAGTCGGGGTGAGCGATACGTTTGTTTTAGTTTGTCTAAATATTTCAATCTTGTGGGTGCAATTTTTCTTTTGTTAAGATTTAAGCTGCAGTAGGCCCATGGTCTCCCACTTTATGTTGACAGATGTCACACTGTTGCTAACCTTGAATGCCTCGATGCCAGCCTGGATGACGGGGGCAAAGACCGTTTCGCTCTCGTTGGTGTCGGCAAACATATCAGGAATCTGGTCCAGGAGGCTAGAGAGAAGAGGGACAGGATTATGGCTCTGTCGTTGTAACTCACAGCCAGCTGACTTGCAATAGACTCATCTACTGTATTATGATTTACTTTTTTTATTTAACCTATATTTATTCAGAGACCTCACTGAGAGCAACCTCTCATTTGCAGGAAGGCCCTGATCACAATCACGCCGTTACACATTCACACCTGGAAGCTGCCCAGTACAATCGCTGCTTGGTCTGCTGGCCACTGAGCAGTTGGAGTTTTGGGCCTTGCTAAAGGGCACCTCAGTGGTGGTAATTGAGGGAGGGGTAATTGAGGGAGGGCAAGCACTGCTTGTTTTACTTTCACACCCAGATTTATCCTGCTTGTCTGGGGATTGAACCGGCAACCTCATAGTTACAAGCCACCACTGCCCACTACTACTTAAAACTACTTAAACTTGGGGGACAACATGCCTAATTCTCTCTCCCCTCTACTGCGTGGGGCATCCAGGATAACCACTTCTTCAACAAATTAATCAAAAGTTGTTTCTTACTTGGAGATAACGGCCCTCGAGTCCTGGTAGTTGACGAGGAAGCCGTCGAGCAGCGGGACAAACATCTCAGCTGTGTCTGAAACCACCATCATCTGGGGCTGGGCCAGAGCGCTCTTCACGTTGTAGAAGTGGAGGACCTTGTTGTATGTGACGAAGCCAACCTTGATCGCAGAGCTCTCCATGCCGTCCTCTCTGGTGAGGGAGAACAAGCATCAGTGAGGTCCAGGACATTTCTAGTAAATCAGCTGAAATGTTATTTGCAATGGCGCCGTGCGTGCAGTGTATAAAATCTAGTTTGATGTCAAAGCTGATTTACAATTTACAAGAGTTCACTGTCAAACCGCAGCCATTGTTGATATCTTACTCCATGACTGCTTTCAAGACCTTTTGTATATTTCTACTACATAGCAGAAAATCCATTTCATCCATTTCAAGCACTTGTCCACCAAATAAAAGGGCCATTTCACAAACCAAGTCAAACTGGCAAGTGTAAACATCCGTGATGGACTTTCTTTTTATCAATGTTTAAGCCAACGTCCTAATTGGTGATCCAAAGAGAGAGGGGAAGGAAATAGCAGCTACAGGTTTACTCAAGCCGAGCAAATGTTGGTCGGTAAAGAAAACAACCAAACCCATTTACTTGTGAGTCATGCCTGCTATTTACATTTTTTTTACTCCCTCTTTGTCCATTTCTCTCAGTATTATAGCCAACTTGCTTCTACATTTACTATTAGAAAAAGGGGCAATGCTTTATTTGACATGTCTGTATTTTCCTAAATATTTCCGCGGGGACATTTCTGGAAAGAACAATGTACATTTTTACCATTTATAGGAACAATACATGTCCGTGAAAGAACTGCCTCATTTAAACCAAAGTAAATATTAATGTTATTGGAAACTTTATTTTTCATCTGCATTAAATTGTATGGTTGCATAAAGACAAATGTGATGTTTAGCTGATTTGCTGAGTACTGACTAAAAGATGAGAATGATAAGAGAATATTAAGGAAGTGTAACAATTTAGCACGGTCTGTTTTCACTTTACTTAGTACCATATTACAGAAACGTTTTCGTTTCATTAATTAAGAAAAGACTGACCTATGAAATAAAGCGTTACCAAAAAATGTCTTTTGTCTGTAGATGAAGTGCTACTAAAAGAAATAAAAACATGAAAACCCCTGACATTTACCAGAACACTCTGAACATGGGGTGTGGAACGGGTAGCTGAACCACAACTGTACATCAGAAAACCTTTCACCATCACAGTCATTTAAAAGCGTTCTTTACTGACGCTGCCAACTGCAGTTTGTAGGTCTCTCTTCCTAAATCATACAGACACACTGAGAAACATATAATGTGGCTTGAAACCGTTGCAAACGTCCTTAGAAGTAAATATGCTGCTGGTCAGCCATGAGCCCACAGCTCCTCCGTGAACATCAGCCGCAGGTGCTGCTGGAAATAACGGACTCAGAAGGGATGAGTTTATTCTGTTCTTTCTCATACCAGACAGTGATTAAAAATACCAGTGATACCAGTGACTCCATGTCTACATCTGCATTTACTTAAACCAGGCTCTAGCTTTATCTGGAGGGGATTAAATTAAATACTGCAGAATTACATGAACTATATAAAAATGCATGGTGTCCAAATGCTTTAATTTAGAGCCTGTACAAACAGAAGTTAAGATTCAAACATAGCTGAAGAGGAGGGGGGGCTTAACTGAAGTACACTTCTACTAAGTGTTTTAAAGATGATGTCATGGCAGTAGACAAATATGGCTATATTGCTGCTGGAACTATTGGTTCTAATGGAGGTGGTTATTTTATGAGTAAGGAGGTCAAGTACATCATTCTCTCTTCTGTGATAAATCAAAAACTCACTTCTGTGGGGGGAAATGCTTACACACAAAACCAGAGCTGGCTGTACGAAAACACGCTTTTTGTTTTGGATGCCGTTCAGAGATGAGAGCTTTCACCATATTTTCTATTTCTGGCAGGCTCAGCACCCTCCCTAACTGATTTCTGCAAAACTTCATGCGAGCATGTTCAGCTGATGAGAACAAATAGTTGGTTGTGTGTTGAAGACTTAAGGGAAGTCCTTATTGGGCATGGTATATTATGTTGGATATGAACAGCATTTAGTTTATATTTTAAACTGATTCTGGGACACTTGAATATGTTGAGGATTTGGTTGATGTGGAAAAGTGGTGATGTGGAAGTTCTGCTAGTCTCTTATGCTGGGCTCTAGGAGTCCGTATGCATGGCACCTAATGTAGCAGATGATATATATTAAAATCCTTTTTTGTGATTCATTGTGTGTACCTGGGCAGATTCTCCAGCAGAGTCTTCAGCTCGTCACATATCAGTTTGACCAGTCCACTTTTAACGTTGTTGTAGGACACGTCAATCATGAAGATGTATCCAGGAGGATTTGGGGCTTGTTGTTCTGTGGGAGAAGAAGGCGGCAGGTGTAACGCGGCTTGACAGGCATGCAGCATAAAATATCTCATTTCAAAAGGAAATGAGAAAGAAATGTTTTATTGTGTGAACTCTTGAATAAAGCGGTTATGAGCAAACAAAGGATTCCCCTTTTCAGTCCTGGATCACCTAAATGAAGGCTTTAATCATCATACACAGAGGCCCAAAGCCTGGGGTCTTCTCTTATTAGTTCTCTAATCCCAGAGATGTTTCTGTGAGGACACCACGACAGTTATGAATCCCTGAACGGAGGGCGAGATAGTGTGTGTGGTCTGTCAGGAGGACGTTGTTATGTTTCCCCAGTTACTGTACAACCCATGACAAGACACTCAACTTGCAGGCTTTTGTCTAATAGCTGGCCTGCAGAGGCTGTGTATAAGTCTTAATAAACAGAGCAAAAGTAGGCCAGAGGAGTGACTCAACTTTGCCAGCTCACTCTGACCCTCAGCCTCCATAGAGTCTATTTCAAGTGACAAAACTTTTATGACACTTTACTTTCTGTGTTAAATCATTTTTTTAAAACTCCAGCAAACAGTCCCTAAAATGAAGTGCCTGTTTCAAGGTAATTCCCCCTGCATAATGTGTATTGAGTAGTTGTCAATGGATGTTAGTAGTTGTTCTGCACCTTGCAGTATTCCAGGGTGGCTGCAAACTCGTAGGACCCCAGGGACAGCTCAGGCCTCTCATACAGGTCCACCCTCCGGCCCATGTGGTCAAGATGTTGGAAGTAGAAGGCTGGCACTACAGCAAGACAAAGAAATACAACTGAACATAGAACTCTGCATAATATCTTCAGTTTAACACTGCCCTGTTGTCTTTCTTCTGTTCTTCAAAGTAAAGTCAATTACTTTTCGTTTTGATTTCAAAAGTCAGTGTGCATGTATTTTTTTTGACACTGTATTGTACCTTCATTGACACAGTTGCAGAAACCACACTGGTAGCGACGACCTCCATCAATAAACTGCATGTAGGGACACATGTAGGCCTTGCATCGATTGCAGCGGATTGGGCCCGTCTCGCCGTGGTTCACAACATATAGAGGAGTCTATGCAGGGACACACACAAGACTTCATGGTCTAGTTTTCAACAGCTGTTCCTAAATTAAAGCACTGTCACTGAGTACTGTAAGCAGGCCTCTGACCCTAACCCACTGTTTATTTAACACATTCATTAAAAATGTTTGCCTCAAATGGACTCACCTACCCTAATACACATGCAGACAATGCAGCAAGCAGATTTATTATCAGACTGGAGAGTTTAACGTGGAGAGTCAAAGTGTTTACATTGTTTTAATAACCCAGTTGTTTACCAGTGCAGAGAACAAAACCTGTTGGATCACAAAACTTATGCATACAGCATCCAACAACAACATGCTCTTTGTATGTGTATGTGTGACTATGCTCCATGCTGCACTCGATGGAATCAAATCTGCAGTGCACTCAAGTTTGATTCCTTTTGTATAAACTTCCCTTTCTTCTTCAGTGGTCCCTGCAGATCTGACATTCGCTAATTAGCCTTATGCCAGATGAGAGAAAGCTAACATTGCCTAAAAAGGCCAGTCGGTGCCTGGGACAAGGGGGGGGGGTATTTCTAAGGCAGGATTCTTGGATCACATATGAACCAAAAGGAGGTCATTCACGAGAGTAATGAACTTTTGTAGTATACAGAGACATCTATCAAGTATATTTGGTGGTTGCATGTTCCAAATTGGCTTTTTTTAAATAAAAGAAAATTAAAAGAAAAGAAAATACCAAACTCAATTCTACAGGTAAATGCCAAAGTGGAAAAATCATAAACAAAACCCTGTGTCTCAATTAAGGCCTGTAGTAGTGAGATTTAAGAGCTAGATTTTTGACTCCTCAAATTAGAGAATATAGAAAAATCCTTTCTGGGGAAATGCAAGAAGTTGGGGTCTACCACAAGTGTTCTTTAGTCATTCATAAGTCATTCTTGAGATGACACAGTGCGCTCTGCGGATAGAAATGCTTTGGTGTGGGTTCAGTGTTTTTGTGTGCGCCGTTTGCCACATATAGAATGTAGGCCCACCCAAGAAGAGTTTTTGCGTTTTATGATTTTCTTTCCTTTCAAAAGTCTGCGTGGAAATGCGAAAAGTACAGCTTGACTGAAAATATTTGAGTAAACATCAATGCATCAGAAAAGAATCATCAAAAGTCAGGAAACAAGGCGGTGACGCAGCCTACTCAAGCGGCGACTGATGCTTCCCACCAGGAAAATGTGTTTTTGCACAGCGAAGCTAGGAATCTATTCAGTTCTCTCTCTCTCTCTCTTTTTTGTTTATCGTAACAGATGATTATGTGTCGCTGAAGTTATTTGATCATTTTTAGATGGTGCAACTGGCCTTAAGTTAGAATGTGAAACCATGACTTACCTCATTCTTTGGCAAACTGGCAAAGGGTTTAATGATGGAAGCCAGGGGCACTTGGCACTGTTTGGCCAGGTCGGCGGTGCAGGGTAGGGAATAGGTGGTGCAGCGTATGAACCTGGGACTGGCATTGCCTGTTGATTAGCAAAAAGGAGGGTTAATGACGTCACTATTACGACAGAGCACATCTGTATTACAACTCTCAAATGCCTGTGGGCTATAATTCTCCATGTTTAACTTACCATTACTAGAAATAATAATTAGATCAGTCAGTAATTAAAATTCTCATGGAAATGTCATTATTTTGAGCAGAAGCCTAGAAATTATAAAGTTCATACCACAAATGACAGAAATGACTTAACTCGATGTGCTCAAGTATTAAAAAAATGTGTTTAAAAAAGTCTTATTCCCCCCTCCAAATATATGAAAACTGTTTTAATCGGGATAATTGGATGTTCACCTACAGTTGCAACAGATTAACATCTATTAAAAATGTTTGTGCTTAAAGAAAAGTTTACATGTTATTACCTTGGTCATGTACTGTAAAGTCAGTGGTGACCAGAGGTGGAACCTGTCCTCTGACGTTTGTGTTGAAGACCTGCCCCCCATGTTTTGCTTGGTCATCCTCAATGACTTGGGTCTAAAGCAGGCAAGTTATGCATTACAGTACAATAGGATACAAACAGATACTTCATTAACAGTTACTGCTTAAATACATGTCAAAAAAATAACGCAATGTTCATCAAGTTTGCTTATTAGTCAACTCACTGTGCTGGGGATAGAGTCAGGGTCCAGTTTCTTCTGAGGGGGTCCCGCCAGTCCGCCTGGTGCTCCAGGGAAGGCCCCTGGCATGCCTGGCTGGGGCCCGGCCATTTGTCCCCCAAACTGACCTGTACATCAAAACAGGATATATACTGGCTGTTAAATGGCATGAAGGTCAGAATTGTGTGTGCAGCAGAGCTCTGTTTTGTTGACTAAATGTAAGCTGTAGAATAAGTTCTGATCCGACTGCGCCGACTATTCAACATATAAAATTGTTCTATGACACAGAGCAACCTCGGAGGAAAATCAAGCCTCAAAGACATTTTCTGTCGTAAATGGCTATATGTTTTTTTTTTTTTTTTTTACTGTGTTGTGGTTTCAAATATTTCGGCTAATTTCTGACCACACAATCCATCCGCTGAGAATAAGTGGGGGTGGTGATGGTGCAGTGGATAAGACACATGCCTTTGGTGTGAGAAACCCAGGTTCAATTCCCACTGTGACACATCCATTAATGTGTCCCTAAGCAAGACACTTAACCCCTAGTTGCTCCAGAGACATGCAACCTCTGACACACTTGGCAATTGTAAGTCGCTTTGGATAAAAGCGTCAGCTAAATTAATAACTGTAGTGTAAGTAACTAATCTTACATGAAAAAAGCTGTAATATCCTTTTCAGAATACTTCTTATGACTGGTGTGAGTCAAGTCAAGTCTATTTTATTTATAAAGCTCAGTGTCACAAATCCTCCGTCCCTGTTTTTTTGGTTTACAGTTACCTGCTTGTTGTGGGTATCCAGGTGGACCAGCACTTCCTGGACCGGGCTGCTGAAAACCTCCAGGTCCTGGAGGAGGTGGTCCGGGGAAGGGTCTACCCATGCCTGCCATCGGTGGGGGTGACTGCGGTGGGGACATCTGGGGGGACATCTGGGGGGACTGCAGGCCTGGATGCATCTGTGGGTGGCCCATCGCTGGAGGAGGGGCTGTTTGGAAAGGCTGCTGGGCTACAGAGTTTGGTGGAGGAGGAGCGCTCTGCATGGGACCTGGGGCTACACAAGTGAGAAAGGAAATTCAGACAATTAAAACAATCTGGTGAGTCCATTCTTGCTGTAATTTTTCAACGCCCCGCCTTATCCCTTGAAGTATGAAGTATAAATCATTACATATCAAACATACCATAGTTGCCCAGGTTCATGGCACTCATCTGATTGGTGAGCTGCTGCGCTGGAGGCGGGGCCGCAGAGGCCATGTTGTTGTATGGGGACTGTGGAGGTTGTCCATAAGCTGCAGAAGCAGCTGGTGGCGCAGGGTATCTGAGGAATATAAGAAACAGTTATTAATGTACAGCAGGTACAGTACTTAAAGCTGTAACATGCAATGTGAAAAAACACGGTCCACACAGATCTGTTGCGCCTAATCCTTGCTGATTAAAACTTTTTTTTTACCTGGACAATCACTCAGTTTAACAATGAAGAGCCCCTTATGGTTAATGATCTTTATATATATTCCTTCATGTATTTCCACTGCAATGCTTACACATTTATAATCTTCCTGTGTTGATTTCAGAGAGAAATGTGGCTGTGCCAAACAGCTGCTGCTTAGTGAAGATTGTTACCTTTGTGGATGTGCTCCATTCTGCTGGATGTTTGGATTGTACTGACTGGACACTGGAGGTGGAGGCATACCGGCAGCAGAGGAAACTGGCTTCATCATACCTGCAGTGAGTAACAGACATGTGTCTACACTGTATCAGAGGTGTTATCCACACCAAAGTAAGGCTTCAAAAAAACCTGACTTTTTAAATAAATGCCTGAACACATCTCTTTGACTGAAACTGTTGATCCAAACATCAATCTGGTTCCAGTGCTGCCCACTGTCCATTGTGTCCACTGTCAAGTATAAGAATAAGAAAACCTTTATTTGTCCCACCGTGGGGAAATTGCGGTTTGCAAGAGCAAAGACAAGAGCAGAGATAGATAAGTGTACAAAGTAGCATAAACAAGTGTCAGACAAGAAAGTACCATTCTTACAGTAAATAAAAACAAAGGTATTGTACATAAGATAAGACTAAAGTGTGGCTGCAGTTGATCTCCACGCTGTTGTCGAGGAAGCATTTCAGTTTCTTTGACATCATCTTGACCGTGTTTTATCTAAAGACCTTCAATATATCAGTGTTTCTGCTGAGAGTGTATGGACTTCAAAAATGGGGTTACACTTTAATCATATGGAGCTGGTTGTTGTGACACTTAAAATAAAGCCAATAAAGTCACTGTATCTTCGCTCGTGCTAGAACATGCGCACTATCACAATGGTGCAGCACATGAATTATTTAAAGGCTAGACACACAACTTCACTCCATGACACATAAAACATAATGAAATATATGATACAAAAGCACGTTCAGCTGCAAACTACCACACGTTACGAGCCATTACTCATATTCTTCAAGCCGGCCAGCCCAAAACAGCAAACATCATCTCTGAAAGCTTGGGAAGTGTGAGCTTTGCTTCAGCTGACACAATTCAAGTATGAATGAGCTGCTGTTGCTAGGTGGCAAGATTGAACTTGATAAATGAAAGCCGAACAACCTTGTTATTCGGTAAACAATCTAAACACAAGAGTACAAGTCCTTTACCTGTTGGTGGAGTGTTGAACACCTGAGGCGGCCCCCCATAGTGCCCATAGTGTGGCTGTGCAGGACCAGTTCCAAATCCGCCTTGGTAGCCCCCGATCCCTGGCTGGGCCTGGGAGTACGGGGGTGTAGCAACATAACCCTGTTGACTCATGTTGATGGGATGACTGTTACTGTCTTCTCATGCCTGGGTGAATGAGTTTTAACAACCTGTTAAGTTGATAGAGTGAAATTTAAAGTCTGCATGACATATACATGTACTTTAGTGTTTCTACTTAATTTATGACAACAAATGATACAGAAATAGAAACTGAAAATGAATTGTTCGGGACAGTTTGCATCTATGTTATGAATGTATATCTTTCATAAATGTAGCATGTTTGCAAAGCCACACCAATTACAGCTGATATATGACCTCATGCTATCATCAGCGCCCCTATCATTTGGACCTTTGGCATCTCTTCTTGAGAGATAAGGCAAGGCAGGCCTATCGTCGCAAATATTGTCTTCAAGTGCACAAACATGAGTTGTCGCTTTCTGTTTTTGCTGTTAGAGCTACAATTAATTCACAGCTATTATAACTTGCAGTGTTTACCCTTACATTTGCATAATACAGGCAATATGAGTACCCATTTAGGCCTGTATAATTAAGGCCATTTATACACCCTCTTGCAGCCAACCGCACCTTTTGCACTTTGTCTAAGTTTTGACCTACAGGCTGTCAATGGACTATGAGTTTTTCTGTCATCTGGGACGCAGTAAATAATGAGTTATAAAAGCAGTTGGTCTGTATGGACTATTTAAACAAGTTGAACTCCGGTTGAGTAGGGTCAACAAAAATAACAGCTGCGTACTAACAACTCCACGAAAGCCCTTTATTGCTACATAATAAACCAAGTGAACACATGTTACCCAAACAGAAAGCATAAGGAAAAAGAAATAACCGTGGTTATGTCTTCAGCTCAATAGTTAATTGACCTGTCTGTTGTTAATCTGACACTTCCGAGAATTGCCACGTCAAAGACCGTTATGATGGCTAACGTTAAACATCTGACAGCATCCCTGCCTTCCTCAGATCCAGCTGAACGGACACACATGTTGTCCTCTTTTTAGCACAATACTGTGGCTACAAAACGCACGGCTTCACACCTTGTCGAAACAGCGCAGTTAACGTGACAGCACGGCACCTCGTCAAGTGTTGATGAACATTAACACGTTGACAGAGCGAGAGAGAGCATCTTGCTAGCTACGCGGAAATTACTACAAAGTTTTCCACTGCACAAGAGGCGCTTTCATTTAAAGGCTTATAAGCAGTCAAACAAAGCCTCGCCTGAGACGGAATTACACATTTATTCTGGCTACGTGTAAATGTTGTCGTGGTGGTATTTACCTGAATATTGGGCAGAGTCCTCTTCGCTGCCTACTGCCCTCAGTGAAAGCAGAGTGCCACGTCAAACTACACCAGAGCGCCGGTCCACTCTGCTGGTTACGCGACGCAAACCAGCAGTGTCGACACAGTGCATATATTTCAAAATAAAGCCATCTACGGCGAATAAACGTTATTACACTATATGAATGACGCTAACACAACACTCGTTTGTAAAACCGTACTTTTTACATCTTAGTAAAACAAATTTGATGCTCTGTATACCCGTGTTATTTGTTTGAAAAACGTCATGTTATGCTTTTATCTTGAAAAATAAACAGCTGGACTTCTGGTTTTGGTTGTTGTGTTTTTGTCTAACTTCATTCGGCTATGAGCGTATTTGGCGCTGTACGCATGCGTGGAAAAGAGGGAACCCATACACGTCAGCACAGGGGATGTAGACCTGTGCATCCCTTTATAATCATGCGTTTCATCATTATGACTGCTTTCACTCTCTACACTCTCTCGCCTACACTAAATATGTACAGCAGTTCTGTTAAATCGAAATTACATTCTAAATTACAATACCAAGAACTGATAGCCTACTCTCTCTCCCGTAGAAGAGCACAGCAGCAGATGGGGGAAAGAGAAAGTGTGGCAGAAGCATGACAGAGACCAGAATAAAACAGAGCTGTTTGCTGTTCTCATTTGTTTTTTTCAAAATTAGTGTTAATTTTACAATAGTATGTAACCGTTAGGCCTATAGCTCAGAGTTAGTTTCAGTAAATGCTCCTAAAATCAGTTCAAGGACCAAAAAACGTAGGCTACTCTGATTGTCACTACTTTACAACCTCTACAGGTCCTCCTTCCTATCTGGAAGGTGAACAACAGACCATATGTGTGCTTTCATCCAGTCTCAGTTTATAAGAATTTCTTTCTAGACAACAAATGTGGTGTTTTAGGGGCAAACTGTGATTCCTATCAGTCTATTCATGAAAGGACAAAAGTCAAATTACATTTATTAAAACAATATGACAAGTGGGCTATGATATTGTATAAGATAGGCTACATTTTGTCTGTAATATCAATATTTATTAATTAATCAATATTATTTCTTAAGAACAACTCAATCAATATTGGCCTACTTAATCTAATTTCATTCAAGGTAAGTTGAGTGGGGAATTATTTTCTTTCTTTCAATTAGGCTTCCTGTATGTAGGGTTTCCCCTTAGAAACTGATCAAGTGGCAGCACCCAAAATGGACGTGTAATACCATGGTTAACACGCTATTTTGTGTCGTCTCAAGACGTTTAAATTTGTAGTGTTAAAAGGGTGTTTTATGTCACCTTGAGACGACATTTTTCTGTGCTAATCAGCCAAAAAACTTTACTATCTGTAGAATTTGGTCATGTCCCTACCAATAATCAGCTTCTACTGAATTGTCCCTAGCAATAATTTTGATCAAAACAATTAAATATAGGCTAACCACTGTTGTCTGTCAACATGTATCGATGTGTTTGGTAACAAATGTCGTCCCTCATCTGGCCCCACCAACAGTGACGTTAAATGTCCTTGTATGATACAAACACATCAAGCGAGACTAAGCTTTAACATGGAAGGAATCATGAATGAATGAACATATTTCCTTACATTTATTGATTAGGCCATTAGTAGTTATAATGATACTAAGTTATAAGACCTAGCCTACATACTCACACGTAGCCTATATGCCTATCAGCGATGTAGATGGTATAGGCCGTGTGTGGAGTTACAGTCTCTGAACATTTGTGAGTCTGCCACAAGCTGTGGAGAGATTTACATTCTACATTTACACACACATCACAGTGTGTTTACTTTCCTGCAGTCTTTGATTGAGTAGTATTTATCTAGGCCTTTATGGCAATTTTCTGCAGAAGCCGGGTGATATTTAGTAGTCAAAGTATCATGTAGCCGCTCCCCCCAAGTTTATTAGGATGCCATAGCTCGTGGAGGTTAGACAGAGATGTAAAAGTCCAAGAGCTCACAGTTGCATGCAACGCCTGCAGGCGGGTCCTGTGCGCCGTGACGTTTCCTGAGCGGGCTGGACTCAGGGAGAACTCGGATGATGGGGATTATAGTAAAGTGCTGCTGGTCCGGCTGACAGCTCGATGATCGCGTTGTGGTGCTTTGGCTGAGGAGCTGCGCGCAGCATGGGCACCGGGGATTACATATGCGTAACGCTGCGAGGTGGCGCACCCTGGGGATTCAACCTGCGAGAGGGAGAGGGGGACACCTACAGACCTTTTTTAGTCTCCCAGGTATCTATCTATCTATCTATCTATCGTTATTATTCAGATGATGCAAATGGCCCTATGAAAGTTTGCTCATCTTATTGTGGAGATCATATTAACTCCCCTGTTTGGATTACAGGTTCCATATCTATTGTATGTAACTGAGTAGGAAAAAATATTTCTTAAAAAGTTGATCAAACTCTGGTGGGAGGGAATGTATTCGGAGCGGTTGCGCGTCGCTGCATTTTTGTGTGCGTCGGCTGTGTTTTGGTGCGAGATTCCTCTGGACCCTTATATGGTCAAGGCCAAGAGAGAGTGTGAAGCTGAGGGCAGTGTGATCTGTTAACACTCACAAAGACTTCAACGAGAAAGCAAAGCATTATTCAGACGAGTAACTGACCTGCTGAGTGAAAGGTATGTGCCTAATGCAGGAACACCAATGCAAATACACACACACACACACACACACACACACACACACACACACACAAAACAAGTTGGCTAAAAAAATTGATGACCATGCAGATATCACTTTAAAATGATATTCAAATAAATGCCAGATAGGAGATTAGGCAAATTATAGGTCATGCTTGAAACCATGTTGGCTCCATAATATTTGTCTAGCCTGATGGTGTGGTAATAAAACTTACAGGTAACAGTAGAGGATTTCATCAGCCCACTTGTGCAGCCACTTTTCTCATGACACTCAACAGGTTTTCCTTTACACAGCATTTTGAGGCAGCATAGGATGATAGTTTGTGGCATCAGGCTGTTTATTTGTGAACAATTTGCATGTCAATATCTATATTTTTACACATGTGACATGTGCAGGCAATAATGTGCAACTTTTCTATGACTTAAAATACAGATTAGGATACTTTTTAGCACTAACTATCCAGTTGTGAGGACCCATGGCATGACTTTTCTAGTAGGCCTAATCCATATGATTTCAGCAGTACATGTTACATTCATTCTACTTATAACATAACTAACTCAATACAGTACTACTACTACTTCTAATAATAATTATTGACTGGATGGACTATATAATAAATCTCAAATAGATTAGGTAACATTCAAACATTATTTTGCTTGTTGGTTCTCATGAACTCAGTCTCAGTTACTGCATCTTTAAAAGTAAAATGTTCCAAAAAAAAAAGTCAAATTAAAATAAAAAAAAAGCTGACAGCTGATTTTAGGATTACTTTTAGATGTTTTGCTGTGACGTAAATGTGCACTGAAAGAGGTAAAACCAGGTGCCTTTACTCTGGAGAGCTGCTGAGACTCCACGGTAAAACAATTTCATGTTCACAAGCACTCAAGCTGCTCAGATCCCTTATCAACTTGTCTTCCATGTAGTGGAAATGTAAATGTTTTTCTTAAGATGCATTCCTGTGACATCAAAGCTCCACCGGAGGAAAGCACTGAGGGTGTCCATCGACGCTTAACCCATTTTACACAGGTGAAGCCACAATTCTGAAGTTCATTTGTGACTTTTATCATGATTTTTGTAGCAATATAGATATTATTTCTGCATTTGTTGGCATGAAATGGTTGGCATGAAAATGGATGTGGATACATGTCCATGATACAAGTTTCAAATTAGCTCATAAACATCTTGTTTGATGACTAAAAGAAATCCCTTATTGTTGATTCTGGCATTTAATGAGTGGCTTATTTCATAGTAAAAGCATAAAACAAGTGAAAATTATTTGATACCCTTTTACTGTAGGACTCTGTTGAAGAAGTTGTATTAACATATGTAAACAAATTGACTTCACACATCAAATGTGGGCTGCAGACATCTTCAAGATCCAATCACAATTTTTAAACAAACTAATTCTTGGTGATTCACGGCAACTCTCCAAGCATGTTAATTTTCATTTGTATAAACACCCCGCAAAGTCTTGTTCACTGCTTGGGGAAATTATTCAGCAAGAGCCAACAGAACACTTTCAAAATGCTATGCCAGAAATGATCAGCAACAGTGAGGTTTAGCAGGCAAAACGACTGTAAAGGTCTCTGTCCTTTTCCCCGCATGGGGAAATTCTGCCCACTACTTCTAATGCTTGTTTCAGTTTAAATTTTCTCTTGAATTTTTAACGTCAAATCCTAGACAATGTAGTATTTTAGCCTCCAAAGTGTTCTCACGTGTTACATAAGGGTCTTTTAGGTGTTATTACAGTGAAGTAGCTACATATGATGCATATGCCTCTTTCTAGGACATCTGGGTTTTTTTAGTCCACCTCATCTGGAAGGCATAACTCTAAACATACCCCCAATCTCTTCTTGTGAGAAGGACAGAGAGCCAAGTCAGTTCCTTAAACGTCGAAAAAAGCAAACATACCAAGATCATGACAAATACTCTGAAGCTAGAGGCTCTCCTGTGTCTGATAAAATGTGTGTTTTTTTTTTTTCAAGCTTCTGTTGAAAGTGGAAACTGTTTTGTTTCCTGAGAGAAAGTGATTGTTCAGTGTACTGACAGGCGGTGCCGTGTGAGGGCACGGGGTATCCACTCTTAAAAAGGTTCTTTCCATATAAGGTGAGGCAGTATTTTTCTTCTCATTTAGAGTCCTGGCCTGAGTACAAAGTTGATGAGGTCACTTTATTTTTAAAGCTACAGAAACGGCGTCATGCAAAAGTCTACCCACAAATACGCCAACACACGTTTAGAAAACATGGAGCAGTTTTCATCTGATCTACGGCAGCGGTGTAATGCTCGTTCTGGAAGCCTTAGGCAAAAAAACCCCCCACTTACATATAATCTGTATTAATACGCAACAGATATTCCAGAAAATAAATTGCTTAAATCCTACCAACCTGAACAGGAGACATTTTGGCCTGCTAATTACTAAGGTATGCCATCTTGGTATGTGGAATGTCAACATGCATCAGATCAGTTATGGAGCCCTGCATGACAAAGCAAATGTAATCTAACTGCGAGACTTTTCAGAGTCTAATAAGAATTTATACAAATGTCATCCCCATTCCATTAAATTATATTCCTAGCTTGAATAAAATGTCCTCTTTGCCTGGGTAATCTGTCCCTTAACAGAGCAAATATGCCTCTTGTTGCTGATGCTTCAGTCCTAATAGTGCACCATAGGAACCTTATTAAGCTGCCAAGCAATCAGCACAATGCGGCTGCAGCATTCATTCAGTGTCGTCTTCTCAGAGTAAACAAAGGGCTTCACAGCTCCTTCCATTACTGGATTTTTTGGCTGTGTTTTTCAGCAAAACATCTACATCCAAGAAAAGGCAGTGACCTCAGATGATGACTGTGCCCCTTTTTTATTTCACATCCTCTAAACAAATGAATACTCCATATTTTGATAATGTGTATAGTAATAGTGTTTGTATGTTTATCAAAATAGGGATTTAAATTGTAGTTCGGTGAGATGTATCATCTTTTTTTGTTTATTTGTTTTACACATTCTAACACAGTCACTTTTATTTTCCTCACCTGACAGCACATAGTGGACGTGTACATATAGATGTGTACATATAGTAAGTTCAATGATGTCTAATGTGTGTCTGTGTATGTCAAGTCACGTTTATCTGTATGTGTTTAATATGCTGTCACTAGTAACTCAGAGATGCTGGTCCTAGGTGACTTTATGTTTTAAATAGCCTAAAAGAGATATGTGACAATCTAAATCTTTCACAGCTGACTGAGGAACCTAATTTAAAGGATCCTTCCAAATCTACATTAATAGATTTGATTTTTGTCCAATAGGAGGGACAAAATGACTGGCTCTTTAGTTTTTGTACTTGGCCTTAGTGACCACTGTCCTCTAGCCTGAGTTAGAAGTGCTAGACTGAAAAGGTCAATCTTTGTGATTGTTAACAAAAGAAATTTAAACACTTTTAATAAACAGGCTTTCCTTAGTGACCTTGCTGACAGTAATGTATATCCCACCTCTGAAATGCCAGATATAGATTTGGCATTGGAATATTTTACAAATGTATTGCTTTCCATTATTGATGAACATGCGCCTCTTAAAAAGCTCATGGTTAAAGATAGATCGAGCCTAGTTCTCTACAGCATTCTCAATGATGTTCAAGGAAAGGGACAAAGCCTGGAACAAATAAGACATCAGAGACTTGCCATGGTTTTAACTCACATTTCTGCTGCTGGACATTTATTTATATATGGTGTACTTTAGATCAGTTCTGGATTATAATCCTTTGGCTCATGTGCCCTCCCCCAAACCATACTGCTCAGTTCACCATACAGGCATTCACGAGGAGGAGGCACTCCTTAAACAATCAACTGCAGGAAAGCAACTGGTGAGGATAAACTATACCCTTATATCGTGGAACAATTTATATGTCTTTTTAATATCTCCATTTCTACTGAAGTTATCCCTCAGGTCTTAAAATCTGAACATTTAATCCCACCACATGAGGGTGGTGATGAAAATCATCTCAATAACTATTCACCAATTTCCAAACTGTCCTGCCATGCTAAGGTCCTGTAGTCATTAGTTAATGATCAGCTCTTATCAAGTCCACACCAATCTGGTTTCAGAGCTATAACTTTGATTATAAATTATATTGTATCTACTGCAGACAAAGTGAAATAGTGTGCTGCCCTCTTTGTCAATTTGAGAGAAGCTTTTGACATTGTTGATGATATTACGCTCCTACAGAGGTTATGTGATGTTGGTTTTAAAGTCCTAAAAAGGGTCTGTCTCATAGACAGAAATAGGTGATTTTACCACTGTCAAAGGGGGTTCCGCAAGGTTCAGTATTGGGTCCTGTCTTGTTCACAATTTAAATCCACAATATTGCATCCGCTACACTGCACACTCAGCCACTGAAATCCTACAACGAACCTTTGACAAATTTAAAGATGCGCTCTTAAATTTGAAAGTAGTCCTAAATGCAAACCAGACTAAATACATTCTATTCTCTAGAGCTAGAGCTATTGTGGACTATAATTTGCATGTTACCACTCTGAATGGAATTTAGAGTCTCAGAGTATAAATACCGTGGTATCTGCTTTATTTTCACAGTGACACACTTGTCATCAAGTTGTGAAAAATACTTGTACAGGAACAGAGCAAATTTTCCTATGTTCAGTGGGAAACCCACAATTAAGACCGTATTCTTGTCTGTCTTGGACAACGATTATGTTATCTATAGACAAGCCTCTGCCTCAACTCTTAAACCCCTAGAAACAGTTTATCACTGCACCCTAAGATTTATTACCGGTGACAGGTATTGTATTCTTCAGTACATGTTGTTGTATGGAAAGTTTGTATGGGCACCTCTAACAGTAAGACAAGCATACGTTTATGTTTATTTATAAAGCCCTAAATGGCAACTAACCATTATATACCACTTCCATATTAAACTGGACCAATAGTCATTATTCACTCGTAGTCACTCGTTAAAGTGATTTGCAAAACTCAAAGTTCCGCTGTCAAACATTAAATTTGGGAAAACTACTTTTTGTTTTTGTGCTGCAGTTTACAACACACATTAAAACTTAACAAACTTGTACCTACTGGTCAATTTAAAACCATGATTATATTGCATTAGTAGTATGCCCAGGGAATGTAGATAGAAACAAACTTGTAGTTAAATCTGGTACCGTACATCACTTCTATTTGCATGTGAATAATGTTTTTTGTACATGGTCCGTGACAAATAAATGTAATGGACTAAAATAATGCCTCTCTTCTAAGACAATAAAAAGGAATAGATGAGTGAATTGAGACATTAAATTTTACTATTATCCCACATGGTGTGAGCGCTACCTGTAAGGCAGCTGGAAAATATTTGCCTGAAATGTAAAAACATAATTGCTTAAAGCTGTGAAGGGCAGGAACCGCCGGGAGCTATGTGGACACATTATGCAGTCCTGTGTTTCCTGTGATTTTGTGTTTTGTTTAAGCCTATTAAATAGATAATTTGAAAATGGGCAACCCAGGATAAGACAGGAATACAATGTAAGTAGTAAATTTTTACGATCATGGCAATGGTATTTTTGGAAAGCACTTTATTTAAAGAAAAAAACAAACAAAACACTTTTTATGTTCTTCTCTTCTGACACCAGTACCATTTATTTATCATTTCTTGCACCTAGAGACACTAGGTGGTATCTGCGTCCTTTGAACACTGTCCGACTCACTGAGAGAGAGACAGCGACAAATGTTTCCCCTCCTTTTTTGGAGCATGAATGATTGCTGTGGCGTTCCAGACAATCCGTCCTCCGTGTAGTGAGGGGTGAGTCCCAATAGACAGACTTGCAGGCTGCCTTATAGGGTCTCTTTGCACACTGTTAACTCTTAAAAACTCAGGGATGGAGTTGGAGGGGTTTTATCTGAAAGTCACCAGCTCTATAAAGCAACTCATACATTTTTTAAATATATGGCGAAGTAGGCTTGACTAGACTCAGGCTTATGTGTTTAAGGTTGTGTGATGAATAAGTAGGTACAGTATTGTTCCTTGTATGTCTATGCTGGAACACTTACTTTTGATGGATGCAACAATACAATTTCATTTTGCATCTGCTTTTGAAATACAAATAATGAAACATGAGCATCAAATGGAGACAGATGGTGAACAGTTTCATCGGGATGGTTTTTCATATGGTAGCAAAACACTAAATCTTTGCTCTGCATTTGGTGCAGTCTCTACAAGTGCTGTTGTTATGCTCACGCAGGGATTCTCCTCTTCTTCCTTCAGCACTAAAAGATGTTTGTGTGTGTGTGTATGTGCATTGCCATCTAGTGACAAGCTTGTTTTACTGCAAGTATCTCGAGTTGTATGAACGTCCATGGAGATGGTGCTGCAAGAGTTGATTGATAATCTCCATTGGTGTGATATTTGAGATGAATTTTTTTGCCGCAAGATTATAAAATTATTTATCTTGATATCTTTGCAGTGGTTTTGGATTTTTTTTTTTAGATATTTCCATCAATAAACTAGAAAAGAGAGCAAGCACATTTGTTGTGCCAGTAATTGTGAAGAAGGACTTTTTGGTGTGTTATCCCCATGTATTCAACCGTCTACATTTTTGCCTGTTTACTGTCGCCTTACCTTTGTGACTGTAGTTTCTGAAAATCCTCCAAGGCATGCGAAAGCAACATGGATTTTCTGTGTGTTGTATTGTTAAAATAAACAGGGATAAGTTTTGAAATGCCTGAACTCTGACCTCTTTGCAGTTCCACAATTTATGTGGCTGCTGCTTGCCAGGAAGGTTTTCTGGGTAACATCAACTTCAATATAAGAAAACTAGGTCATTGTTTTTGTTTATTGATGGTGTGATTTAATAAATTAACTTGAAAAGAGTGCTCCCACGGTAGCCAAGGGACATTAGCATGATCGATGATTGGATAGCATCATCATTTACTCATGTTCAGTGTCATCAAAGGTTAACCTTGACTCTGATGTATCTTAAACATTACCGAGTAAAAGTCACCGAGGCAAAGATTAAGACACATTACTTCATTGTGGTGAATGAATTGAGTTGTGGAGCTTTATCACTTTCAATATTTAAAAACTACTTCTTTGCCATGTATAGAAATAGAGAGAGATTGTATGCAACAAGAATTAAACTGAAGATGTCATGGCGCACAACACGCTATGACATCTTCAACACAAAAACACGCATAAATGTTGGTAAATTCTGAAGTGGTTACTAATCTCAAGAAATAATGACATAATAAACCTTCTTTTCAAAGCTATTTATTTTATAGTATTTGCAAAATACATATTTCCTGAGAGAATATCCTCTAATTGCATGGTACTGAAGTAATTATTTATCCCCCTAGCTGGATAAATGGCATTTTGTGCAAAAGTTATGGGGTATTTTTCCTTATTAAATCCTTTTATTAATGGACCATTTTATAGGCCTCAGGAACCAATTACAAGGGAACAAAAACATCAGTCATCCGTTTAACAGTTTAAAAAGGTGCCCTTTAAATGGATCTGCACCTAGCTGGCCTACAGCAATAATATGCAGCTGCAGGGTTGAAATAAAAGCTAGACCCACTTCTAAATCAGTGACACTGATTGGACATAGTAGTACAAATTGTGCAAATTATTGTTTGACTCTACTGTGACTTGTTGGTCATGTACTTTTACTGAGTTCATTCCCAAAGGTTTTCTAATTAATTTGGGGGAAATGCCACTAACTCACTCAATTAATGATCCAATCTGAAAACATGTTTGGATCTGATTCACTTGGGATGTACTTCACGTAGCACCTTACAGGGAATTATTGCCCTCTACACACACTGTCATCCATTGCCTGGCTTGAATTTGATACACGTCAAACGGGGTAATCCATTCAGGCTGCCTAGGAAGTCTTTAGAGGCCTTCAGCATTGCGCTTATCTTAGTGCTAAACATAAACCACTTTTCATTTACAAACATTTACTATTTTGGTTACATTATTGTTTACAGGCTGACTCTTGTATTTAATCTCCACTTACAAGAAGAATATTTTTCTCATATTATTCTCATGAGAATGCATGTTGCATGAGAATGCATTACTCCTTTTTGTAACCTAAAAATACGGTTAAAATGGTCCTCTTGTTTTCCCAGCTAGAACTCGATTTATGGCACTGACCAGGGGGAGAATGTATTGTATTATGGCCTTAGTAGCAACTGACAACATTTCAAAGATGATTTATATAGACTTCTTGTAAATAGCAGCGCTGTCATAGCCTGGCTGTGTATGAAGGTTAGAGGGCACTTCATCCTCACTGTCCAGCTATTTTCTTTATCTGAGAGAGTACATTTGTGTTTTGGGGGTCAGTGGCAGCTGAGGATACTGTTATCATAGTGACGCTCAGATGCTGTCAGTGAAAAGTTTACTTATAATAGACATCCTGTGTGGGATCTGTGTGATTTTCTAGCTTTTTGTCCTTTTACTAAGATTTTGTCTTTCACAGGTAGAAGAAGGTGGTCGTGCCTTCCAGGCTGGAGTGCGGGAAGGTGACGAGCTGGTGTCAATCAACGGAGAGCCGTGTGCTGATCTCACCCTTTTACGAGCCTTTGCCCTCATCGACGCATCAATTGACTGTCTGCAAATGCTTGTCAAAAGGTAGTGGCCAATATCACCCATTATATTAATGATAGTGAAGTGGTACACAAAGAACATTTGTGAATTTCAGATACACAACATCATAGTTAAAAAATGTACATTCAGTAACATTACAATATGTGCCATGCACTACTCTAGGTCCTACTCACGACAGCAATGCAATTGATTATTGCACCACTGTATTAGCATTTAGATTGCATGTAGTTTTATGACCTGTGCCCCTTTGCATGGTTCAGTGAACCACTGACTGTCTGTGTATGTGTGTGTAATAGCGAGTTGTGTGTCAGCCATGCTGACCTTCCAACTGGCTTGGCCAATGTGTTGCTGATTTGTGTGTTTCATTGACATGGAGCTGCTCAGCCGTTATTCAGTGGGTATCGCCAGTGTCTTTATCAGGATGACATGTCCTCAAATATTGCTGCATATGCCTGCAGAGGGATATACATAGGCATATTAAAGTTTAATATAGTTCTCTTCTAATTTAAAGTCGTGCTCTTTGTGGCTAAGCACACAACAGGATTTGTATTAAGACAAATCTGATTGCATGATTATAGAATCTTGTCTCTGTAGACACGGAGAACAGATGACCTCAGCTCGTGGCTATCAAAATGTATTATGATATGTCACTCTTTCCCATTTGGAGGAAAGGACTAGTCACTGAAGTCTAATTGGCTTCAATTCAATAATTGCAGTTAGAGATAACATTCTGTCATGCTATTCATTACTGACCTTGAAAATGGAAATTAGGCAGAGCGATGTCGAAACAGGATTACTTTCCTCTTCAGTGAGCTGACCCTTTTGTTTAACTTGCTGCATGAAGATTAAATCTTTTTGATTACTTTGACAACTTCAGCATTGGCAGATAAGCTTCCCTTCCTCAAAAATCCAATGGCTCCATACCTCAGTGATGATGTATTGCTTATCCAAGTTATTGAATCGGACTGTGTTGTGATTAAATGAGCAAAACAAAGATGTGTGTGTCACACCCGTTTTTAATATGGAAGTAAAAGTATTATAAGGAAATATTTGATGATTCACAATCTGATAGTTTAAAGGCAGCATGGAGTTTAGTAGTTGTCTGAGAGTGACTTATCTTTGAATGTACAGGTCCAAACAATGCCAAGTTTAACAAACAAATAAAATAAGAGGTGGCATCTTATTACTATTAACAGTGGTTATTGAATTAAGAAAACTTGCACCACTCCCTCATTCCTGTTTTCCCTTCTCCTCTGAAAGATACTGCCCCACCCCCCGTGAAGACCATGAATCAGAGGAGACATACTGCGGTGAGAGGGACTCTTCTGGTGAGGCTTTGGAGAGCACCACCCTCCACATCTTCTCCCCAAGGCACAGGTCCCAAAGCCCAAGAGTACTCCACATATCTGAGTCTCAGGATGAGGCCTACTATGGTGAGTTGGACAGCATCACAGAGTTCCCCAAGGGAGCCCAACTGCTTTGCACCCAGCTGCATGCTCCCTCATCTGGTGATCGGAGAGGCCGGAAGCCTGTTTTTAAAGACAATGATGAAGAAGTACGGCGGTGCTTCTCTCCTGGGGACATGGTCGAGCTCCAGGTGTCCCTGTCTGAACAAAACTTGGACGACGTGGGCTGCACCTCTCTTGGGAGTGCCCAAGGGATCCAGGGAGAGCTTTCAAACAGAGAGGCCATTGAGACGATCCACGCCACCACCACCACCACCTCACACTATGTGCCGTGCTCTGTCAGAGAACCGCTCGGCCAGCATGGAGTCGTGCTCAGCTCACCTTCGATGCTGGGGCAGGTGGAGGTCATTTTGCAGCAGTCAGCAGCATCAGGAGCAGGGAGGGGCATCCTGAGTGTGGGTGGCCCCAAGGTCAGTGGAAGTGTTGGATCCCAAAGCGAAGGAGAAGAAGGAGGAGGGAACTGCGAGGGAGTTCCTGGGTCTTTTACTGTCTCATTTGGATTTCCCTCTGAAGAGGAGACACCAGCAGAAGAGCAGGACTCTGATTGTGAGGGGGGTCAAGACAAACCCAACAAGCACCGGGCAAGACACGCAAGTAAGTACCTATGGGCCATAGGGGGGGGGGGGTTAATAGGGACCTATTCTTTAAGGGGTAATCTGCAAGCTAAATGGCACTAAATTGCATTTGTCAACAACAACTGTGCATTCCAATGCCTGATGTTGTGTGTGTGTGTGTGTGTGTGTGTGTGTGTGTGTGTGTGTGTGTGTGTGTGTGTGTGTGTGTGTGTGTGTGTGTGTGTATACTCCTCAAAATAGTATATGTCTCTCACTGCAGTTGGAGGAGGGTGCTCATTCCTTCAAATGGAAGGGGACACATCCGGGTCTAACCTAAATTACAACTGAATCAAAGGGATAGTAGGGAAGTACAGTGCATATAGGATGGTGACAGAAAGCTAAATATAAAGAATACTAAAAAAAGAGACAAAAAGAAGCTATCTGAGAAGATATGTCACTTTGTAAAACTTAAATCTTCAACTATCCATTTGAAGAGCCTTGATGATGAATATGGATACTGAGGCGTTCCTCCGAGCTGTTTTGAAGACATAAATATAACACCAGCACGCTGATGATGCCTGCAGAAGTGGCCCTTTGACAGACACCAGCATGTGCTCCCCTAGACCGTTACCTGATCCTTTCAAACTGGGTGCTTTAACTGAGCTAAAAAAGTAAGTCCATTGCTCACTCCCGCTGTCTCCTCCACCTTCAGGTTAGTCTTGCAGGAATATAAAAAAGTAAGCCGACTTATTATTTTTATTACAGCTTTGCATTATTGGATGCTTTGTCGTGTGATGTCTGTTATCGGATTGTTCTGAGTGTCGGCAAAAATTATGTAAGAAGAACAGAAGGTTTTAAGTGGACAGCTTGTGAACTTACAGATAAGGACTGGTAAAGACACTCCTGTCCTGGGGGATGTATTGCATGCAGGCTATCTTTAATCTTTATCATTTCCTATTCCTGGCTACTTTATGGGGATGAACAACGGTTTTAATGTAGTTCATTGTGAACAAATGAGGATATTAGATATAGGTCAGAGATTTTTAGTATTTCTTTATGGGTTGTTGTTTTATAATATGTTCAACTGAATGAGCAAATTAGGAGTAATACAATCACAAATGAGGAAAAGCACATGGATATAGCTGGATAAATATTACATGTGGAGGAATCAGTTAATAGAGCTTAGTATATACCATATTAATTGTGTGGTCAGATCAGTTTAACAGAGCATATAGTATTAATTGTTTTTAATACTACTGCTGCTTTTACTAAGAACATTGGATGTATTTTTAAAACCTTTTTTTTTTTTTTTTTTACATTGATATCGGTGTAATGTTACTCTGAAATGAATTGCTTTGTGGCTTGCTTAACTCTGTTTCAAAACTTAATCTTTTCATCTGTCACCATGTTATTTGTGCATGTTCTATTTTTACTCTTCAAATGGTGCTAAACCAAACTGGGGTCAATATGATGAAATATCATTCTATTTTTTGACTGCTATTCAGGAGGGTATATTATTAAAAGAAACATTCCACATTCATAATTTGAAGTAATTTAGTCCACTACAATTACATGGTCAGTACAGACACAGTGTGCAGGGGCTGCCTTGAAGTTGTCCTTAAGTCATTGATCAAAGGGCTAAAAAGTACAAACAAAACCATTTCAAATGGAGACATATTAAAGCAAGCTGTTTCAAGGATTTATCTCCAAAGATAAAATTATTTGTGTTAATCTTTACTCCATAATACCTATAATTTCAGGTGAAATCCATCAAAGAGTAGCATTGATTCCCCTGTCTAAGACCCTTTATTCTGAACACTGAACGCTCTCTTTTTCTTCTCTACACAGGACTCAGGCGTAGCGAGAGTCTGTCTGAGAAGCAGGTGAAGGAGGCCAAGTCCAAATGTAAACGTATTGCTCTCCTTCTTACGGCTGCGCCGCCCAACCCCAACAACAAAGGGGTGTTGATGTTCAAAAAACATCGGCAGAGGGCCAAGAAATACACACTTGTGAGCTACGGCACAGGAGAAGACGAACCAGAGGACAGTGACGAAGACGACGAGGAAAACGACGACGACAAACAAGAAACCCACACTGTTGAATTTACCCTTGTGGCTCCCAACAATTCTGAAATAGACAAGCATTTCCTTGCTAATGCCCATAGTAGCAAAGGTGTGCTAACTTTCAACTGGGACAGGGGTCTCCTTGAGATTGAAAAGAACCTGAACAACCAAGCAGAGATGGAATGTTTACCTGAAACAAAGGGCAAGGGTGCCCTAATGTTTGCCCAACGGCGTCAAAGGATGGATGAGATTTCTGCTGAACATGAGGAGCTTAGGCGCCATGGGATTCCAGTGGAAGGAGTGCCAGAGGCTGAAAAAAAGATAGCGGAGCACTCCTACATGCAGTCCACAACAGAGGGCCATGCTTACATGGATGTAAATATACACCAACAAAGCCAACAGCAACAACAGTACCAGCAATATCGGGAGCAACAATACTATGAACAACAACAGAACTACCAACAACAACAACAACAACAACAACAACAACAACAACAATATCAACAACAGTATCAGCAGCAGCAGCAGCAGTATGAACAACAGCATTATCAACAACAGCAACTGTATCAGCAGCAGCAAGAATATCATCAAGAGCAGCAGCAGATGCAGCACTATTCTTCAAACATCAATGGCACAGTCCAACATCAAACCAGTGAAATGCAGAGTTCTTTCAGCAATCGTGCTGCAAAGCCTTTCTCAATAGAAAACATGGCGGATACCCCTTATTCACCTGCAATGAGTGGGACCAATCAAGATTCTGCGGGCCAAGGGGAGCAGATAGCTTCCCGTGATGAGCGTATTTCTACCCCTGCAATTAAGACTGGCCTTTTGATGGATGCAAGGAGAAGAAATACTGGCAAGCCTATGTTCACTTTTAAGGAAGCACCAAAAGTATCACCTAACCCAATATTGCTAAACCTCCTCAACAGAAGTGATAAGAAGTTGGGCATTGAGTCAGGACCTGAGGAAGACTACCTTAGCCTTGGGGCTGAGGCTTGTAATTTCCTCCAGTCTCAACGAGTTAAACACAAGACTCCTCCACCTGTGGCTCCAAAGCCTGTGATCAACCCCAACTCTCCTCCGTGGTCCCCACAGATAGAAGTGACCAACCAGGACATGCCTCAACAAGCTGAAAATAGTGTAGCCACACCTGCTGTAGCCCCCACCACTTTGACTACCCCTGCTCCAGAACTAGAGCCAACCCCTGCACCTGCCCCTGATCCCTCTGCCCCTCCTGCCCCTCAGGAGACTCCTGCCAGCAACCCCACAGAGGAACAGCACACATGGACTCTCCCAGAGTCTGAATCTCGACAACAGGCTATGCAAGTGACAGCTCAGGAGGAAAGTGGTCATATGAATTCTACCATGCAGGCTGAGCCTGCTCCTGTGACTAGCTGGGCAGCAGCACAAACACAAGCACAACAACAGCCATCTACCAATTCTTGGCATCCAGCTCAAGTACACCCCCAGGAACCACCTCCAAATCAGACCCAATCACAGCCACCTTGGGTGACAAGTCAGCCTTCTCAGACCCAAGCACAGCCTCAACCTCCCAGAAATACTTGGACCCCTCCAATGCAGCCATCCTGGAGTCAGCCTCAAGAACAAGCTCAAGCTCAGACACATGCTCAGCCATCCTGGGCCCAGCCTCAAGAGCAACCACAGTCTCAGCAACAGGTTCAGCCACCCTGGATACACTCTCATGAGCAGCCAAATCTGCAGCAAATGCAGCCAACTTGGGGTCAACCTCAACAACCAATGCAGCAGCCACCACAGGCCCCGTGGGCACAGCCATCACAAACCGACTCCAAGCATCAGCCACTATGGGTGCAACAACCCCAGCAGAAATCCCAAGCACAACCTCCTTGGACTCAACAGGTTCAGCCAGAATCCCAGCCACAACCGCCATGGGTTCAGCAACCACAGCATCAGTCACCACAACAAGCATGGCCACAGGCCCAAGCACCAGGTCAGCCTCAACCACCTTGGGTGTCAGCTCAGCCTCAACAGCAATCTTCAATTAGTGCATGGCCTCCGTCACAAACTCAAGCCCAAGTTCAGCCACCTTGGATCCAAGCAGCTCAAGTACAACCTCCAGTGCAGCCCCAAGCAAATTTGAATCCATGGGCGCCAGTACCTGCGCAGGCGCAATCCCAACCATCATGGGCTGAGCATCCTTCAGAACATGGTCAGCAACCTATTAATTCTTGGGCCCATGAGCAAAATCAAGCCCAGCATCAACCACCTTGGGCTCAACCAGTCCCACCACAGCCTTCACCACAGCCAAATTGGCAACAGTCCACTTTAAAGACTCAAGCACAACCACCAATGAATACATGGCCTTCAGCTCAGACTCAGCCTCAGACACCTGTGAATGCCTGGGCACCACAGTCACAGCAAATGCCTGTGAATGTTTCCACGTCAATGGTGAACACTCGTCCCTCACCAAAACCTTGGCATCCACCACAAAATGACCCACAAAACCGGACCCCTCCACCTCCACCACAGCGAATGCACTCTTTTACGATTGGTCAAAGAGCATCATCACCCATAAACCCAATGGCCACTGTCTTGAACCCATCATCCCCAGGTTCAGCTTTTGAGATGCCAGCCGTCAGAGGAAAAGGAGCTGATATGTTCGCCAAGAGGCAGTCTCGTATGGAGAAGTTTGTTGTGGACTCTGAGACTGTGCAAGCAAACAAGGCAAGCCGGTCAACATCACCAGTTGCGTCCTTACCAAATGAGTGGAAATATACACCCAATGTACGTGCTCCACCTTCACGGGCATATAATCCTATTCAATCTCCCTCTTATCCCCCAGCAGCAACAAAGCAGGCCCTTCCAAGTAGCTCTTCAGCCAAAGACAAGAACAAAGCCAAAGAGAAACCAAAGCCTGCCCCCAAACCTCTGAATGTTATAGATGTTATGAAGCATCAACCCTATCAACTCAATTCCTCACTCTTTACCTTTGGCCCAGCAGCCGAGGATACCAAGCCCCCTACATCTAAGCCCGAATGTTCACCTCCTAACCCACCTGTTGAAAACCAACCAATTAGATATGAGCAAATGGCCCCCATCCAGCCAGCTGGACCATTTAATGCTCCATACAACCACCAAGCCTATGGGATGCCCATGCAGCCTATGATGCATGATGGCCACTACCAGCAAAACCCTGCTAATGTTTATCCTCCCTCCAATCCTTATCATCAACCTTCCGGTGGTCCATACCCGCAAGCATATAACCAACAGTATCAGCAACCCGCCCCACTTGCTTATCATCTCCAAACTCCTCAGTCTCCAAACCTTCCCTACCAACAGGCACCACAAGCCCCTTACCAACCAGCTAATAGCCCTCCCTACCTGGCACCTCCCTCAGTACCTTACCAGCCACAGCCTCCCAGTAGCTATGCTGCTCCTTGTTTTCCTGTACCTGCAAGACCTGAGTCTGTATCAGGTGGTAACACTACAGCTGCTCCTAAACCTAAATTTACAGCTAAAAAGAGCTCAGCTCAGGTGTGGAAGCCTACAGCAGTTGATAAAGAGTGATTCTGATAGAATCATGAGACTTGGTGTCTGCTTAAGTCAAAGGTGGTTGGTGCTCTTGCAGTCCTCTGCCAGGGGGACTATTGAGCACATACACTTGCTTTTGCAATGACTATCTTCATTGAAAGTATTAGTGTCATAGGACAGAGCTTGATGGTTTTCAAAGTTTTGAGGGCTAATGTGGATAGCATCTCCAACACATTAAGAACATAAGAATAAGAATTGTTTCTTACCAGACATAAAGGAGCCAAATGCTTCTTTATAAAGCATGTACATTTTAACATGTTAATAGAAAATGATGCATATGCATACTCAGAAAATTGCTAATCAATGTCATTTTATGTAAAAGATTCTCAAGTGATGGCTATATAAGAATGTAGGAGAGCATGATGCTCGGTAAGAATTCAAAGAAAGAAGTGCGGAAAAATAAGAAATGGAATGAAAGAATGATATCAGATAGTGACAAGAGGAAGGTGATTTTTGAAAAGAAGAAAAAACTAAATGTGTCTTATCTTATTTGATAAAGAAACAATCAAAACAAAAAACAACTAAAATGCAATAAAGTTCAATAAAAGAATCAATTCAATGAGTAACGTAAAAAATAAAAAGTAGTGAGGGAGAAAGGGTGGGGTCTGTGGGATGAAATGATACCAAACAGAAGGCTCAATTTGTCAGTTTGTCAGTGATGTCATAAGTACAGCGATTATGTAATAACTGTGACATTGCAAGTGAAGGCCGGAGAATACAGTACAGATAGTACTCCTCACTAAAAGTGACAACTAACACTGGTTGCTTGAGTGTTTGATTAGTATACATTTATTCCTCAGTGTCTTTGCCATAACACCTGCTTACGTGAGTTAATTTTATTTTAACCTTTTTACCAGCTGTTGCATCATGTAAGGTACTATATTTAAACTGCCTCATGAGAGGCAGTGCTGAGGTCCAGATATAGTAGGCTTAAATTTCAACTGAAGCCAGTCAATGCTACTATATCTTAGACCCTCACAGTATTTTTTCTGATAACAGAAAAAAAAAAAACATTATTGCCCTCTCACCTAGCTTCACTCTTCTGTGCATCTTCTCCAGGTTTTGTTTTATATGAATAGATGATCAATTATATACAAAAGAAGAATTATTGAAAGGACAACCAGCTTGATAACGTTCACAAATATATTTTTGGTACAGGGCTGCTTTTGTTCTTCATGTTCTTTTTCCTTTTCCTTTGTGTGTTTCTCTTCATAGCGCACTTTCTGTATGATTCACTGCAGTGCCATTAAAATGTCTTTTATCCTTATTTGGATTTCCTTTCTTTTGTCCTTTGAGCATGCTTTTTGGGTTTCTTCTATTTCTAGTCTCTTTTCTTTTGATCTTGCTTAATTACACCACTTCTCCGCCTGTACTATAAATACAAAGTTATGACAAAGTTACTCTGTATTTACTCAGACAAACATTCCAGCTACAAATTAATCAGTTACCATTAAATTAGACTAACATCTAATATCCTTTTGCAAAAGCAGTGGTTATCGTGACAATAAAATTAAATGAAATACACTCTACAAAGAGCTTTTTAACATCAGCCAGAAACACCTCATTATCCAAATCACCTACTTTTACAGCAATTGAGGTGAATGCTTGAGTAGCAAATTCCTGCAGAATGACAACCTGATGATGCATGTACAAAGGGTATTATTAGATTGGTGATTTCACTGAGTACAGGCGATCCCACTGGATAAATCTGGAGGTCAAGTGAGCGGCCCTTGCTGAAATGTTGTTTCACGCATTTTGAAAGAGGGTGGAGATTTGTTAAGTGGAAGTTTTAATATCAAACGTTGTCGTAAGTTAGCAGATTTCTGAGGCTATATCTGGAGGAATGATTCTTCCAATGATTCTAAAGCTGATGATACACGGGGCAACTTTTTGATTGCTGGGCAATCTTGCTAGTGACAAGTCCGGCTATGTTTTGAACGGATAGCGGCAGTGCAGGGCAGAGTGGTGGGGGAAGAGACGGTAGTACAGTAGTAATCTTTATTTATTACCATTGTCGACAGTGTTGCCCTGCACGATTGCTCTAAAAGTTGCTCTGTGTATCATCAGCTTTACTGAAATGGTTAGACTTGACACCCAATCCCTCATTGGTTGATTACAAATGCATCTTTATCTCAGACAAGTGGTTGTGATATTCATATATATAACAATTTAAATATGTTATTTATGCAAGAAAAGGGAAATAAAATGGATATGATGACCAAAGATTTACTCTAGATTCAGCGCCTGCACATACTCACAGTGTTAAATGTATGCTGATATTACTAACTTTGGTTCCTAATACTGTATATTATCAATGCTTAATTAAACATTCTACTCTCAAATATACTTTCTTATAGATCTGGGATTCCACAGAAACTCACCATAAATCTACACAAACAAAGCCATAACATGTCTGTCTCAAAAAGTTTCTGTATGCACATCATCATGGACACAAACTCTTAAGACCAGCTCAGCCCCATTTCTGAGATATATGTTAAATTCTGGAGACTGCCAGCTAGATATAGACAAATATAATAGGCAAATATATAGTAATTTAGGAAATCACCTTCAGTAAAATGGAAATATGACCTAAGATTGTCTACTAATTACTCACACATTTTTGTGTCTGCCCTAATCCAGGATAATGCTGCCACAGGCAGATACCTGAGTCGGCAGATAATTTATTCATCCTTGACTCATTCAGCTACATTTGTCTTTTTTTATGACGGCACTATCTTCTATTCTGTTTCATTTTTGCCACCTCTTGCCATGCTCTGAGCTTACACCTCTTTCTCCACATGATGGCAGCACTGCCTTTTTTCCGCATGTCTGCCATGTCTAACAGAGTTTATTGTCAGAGACAATGATGAGTGCAGAGGTGCTTTGTCACCCCACATAACCCATGTTTGTCTAATGGAGAATGCAGTCTTGAGCATTGGACAATTTCACCATCTCATAGTCATACTGTCAAAATGTTGCTGTCTAGCAAAGCATATCCAGTGAAAGCAATCTGAATGTGGCTTATTCAAGGAAGCCCATGGCCTCTCATAAACCAGTTGTTCTAAAAAATAATGGGCAGTCCAATCTGCTGGCACAAATGCTAAATCACTGGGTTGAGGGGGATTACTGTGTAATGGACAATCAAGTAAACAATAGGTTTTCTTAGAGCTTTAAAAGTAAATTTATTTTGCATCCTATTTCATGGTTTGACATACCCATATGTATAGAATCAAGAACAGAGAACAATGTAAACATAAAAAGCTAATTTGATACAGCACTGAAAATAAATGTGTTGACAAAGAGCTACTCTCTTTCCAATGTTTTCCAAGCTGATTTGATTTCAGCCAAACAAAAATGCCCTTACTAAAATAAACATGTCTGGATCTTTCTTTATAGGCACTTGGCAGGAGCTACTCCCTTTCCCCACCAGCCAGAGTACCATCCACAGGCCAGAAGTCAGCTTCGGCTTGTTCTTCCCCCAAGCCTTCGGCTCAGGCCTCCACAACTCCCGCAGCAAGGCAGACATCCTGGCTGCAGAAGGGCCACAAACCCCCTACTCCCTGGGAGGCTGCCTCCCGGCATCCCCTGGGCCTGGTGGATGAAGCCTTTGCTTTCCAGAACCTCCAGCAAACCCTTGCCTCAAACGTCCGCTTGGCAGCTCAGCGCAAAATGCTGCCCGAGCCGCCAACAGAGTGGAAGGCCAGGGTTTCTTACCAAGCCCTGCAGAAAACAGGCAGCCAGACCTGGAGCCAAAGCCGCAGTCAGAGCCGAGCTCCTCTGCCATCATTTCTGTCTCCAACAAGGAACGCTGTCTCCACCCCTGCCGGTCATGCTGGTTACAGGTCTCTGCCCAGACAATGGCAGCCTCAGAGGTCTGTGGCAGACGCAAACCTGGGGCCGTCAGTGTCCAGCCCTGAGTACAAGATGCCCTTGGGAAAACAAACTTACAAGTCTGTGTACACCAGCAACACTTGGAGTTGGAAGCGGTAGGATACAATTGAACCTGTGTAACCTTAATGAGTAAATCACTAATTCCATAACACATTCAAATGCAGTTTAGAGCATTTCCCTTTTAATTCAGCAATATATTAACAAACAATAATATGAGTGAGGAGAGTGAGCTAATATATAATGAAGTGGACATTTGTGTGAAAGATTGGTTCGTACTGGTTTGACTGGTTTTAACATGCCAATATCATTTCAAAAAAATACTTTGTACGTTAAATCTTTAGTATAAACATTTTAGATAAAACATTTACATGCCATAATCAAATGTGAAAAAAGATGATCGCTCTATGTATGGAGGCTTAAAAATGACTTCAGTAAGATTTAACTGACAACTTTCTAGCTTACACCAAAGTGGGCCTGTAGTTTACCAGAAGAGACAATGAGTATGTTGTTCAGAATGGATATAATGAATGTGAATGGATATGTTTAGTACAAAATAAGTGGAAAGATTTGATTATTGTATAGTGACAGTATAGTACAGTAAGTGTTGACTGTTCAGTGAACCTTTCAGAATAGTGAGAAAGGTAGACAGTGACATACCCATCCTATAGTAAGTTAGAAGTAAAGATTGTCTTTTGAATTGTTTTCAGCTTGTGGATGGATTTCCAGTTCATGCTGGTTTCATTTTCTGCTATGTACGTATCTAGCATGCTGGTTCTTGCAGTGATTGTGCACTTTTCTCTCTCTCTCTCTCTCTCTCTCTCTTTTTGTTGATGGTTTTGTTTGAAACTTGGGGAAAGGTTAGCGCTATAACTCAGCATGTTGTGGGCGGACATGTTGTTATGTAAGACGTAATAATTTAGATAAATGTTCTTATTTACCAGGTGCATTTTAATTAATGTGTGGTGTTAATGTGGTCACTAACTACTCAGAGATGGAAGATGAGAAGCCAAAAATACGTCTTCCTTTCTACTTACAGTTTCCAAGACTGTTTATTCTTAGGGCATCTAGAAAAACAAATGAATTGTCACATTCCAGCGCAGTGTATGAAAAAAATAGGATGGAGTATGAAGGAGGACAATGGAGTTGTAGATGGGCGCAAAAGTTGAATTGGAGAATATTGATGTATCCTAATTATGACTACAAAAGAGATTTTATTAAGAGAGTTTATGACACTGGGTGAATTGCTTACAGCACGTGATGGGTTTGTGGCTTTCATTTGGTTTGGGATTTTGCTATAGACTTGTAATCATCTCCAAAGACTTAAGCTAGGTTGGTGTTTCCACAGAGTGTACATGATGTCCTAAAATGATTCTCACCAAGCGGTCTCATAAACATAAATAAGATTTATCACACAGTATTGTGTTGTGTCTCACTTGACTCACTGAACATCTTGACTATAGTCAATCTATAGTGTATCTGTGATAATCACACTGTATTGCTTCCATTCAAACAGCATTATTATGGTCATAACACAATACCAGTAATCAATTTCTGCTCCAAAGTAATTTCGATATGGATTCACATAAAGCATTTTACAAAATAAATGGTACAAATAGCACTACTTTACAACTTGCACTGTGTGTTTGTGCTCATTCCTCTCTTTTGCAAACATAAAATACTTGGCTCTGGGCCATTTGTTGCTTGCTGTACCATCCCATAAAGCTTTTTGCGTGATGTGTTGTCTTGAATAGTCGCTCCCTCCGTATCCAGCTGTGGGAGATGCGAGGGGTTGGTGGGGACACGTTCCCTTGGTGACCACCAGTTACATAATAACAGTGGGTACCCAGTGTATCTGAACCATTAGTGAATCAGAGATAAGGACACAGAGGGAGATGATAAACCGAAATTACTTCCCTACCAATTTATTATAGATTGTGAATATGCTGTGCGGGATTCAAAGGCTATTAAAAGAGTGGCGCTTGATTCAGAGTATGAACAATCATAAAGTGCAACACACATAACTTTAATATTTCACTTTGATTACAGGCATAGTTATCTTTATGCGAGACATTGCAGTATGTCAATGAACTTGCTCCTTTGAACATCATACCTTATGCTTCCCTGCCCCACTGAGTGCTGCAAACTCAACCTGCCTTCCTTAATTTGTCTCTTTTACCAAGTAAAGAAATATATAGGAGGTAAATTTAATTTAGCAAGGTCAATTAAAACAGAGTGACTGGATAATAAGGTGAGTGACCCCTGTTAGGGTTTGGTCCCTCCTGTATCACATAATGGCTTTTAAAACAAATAGTATCTGATTGGGCTGCAGGGCCTGAGGGAGCCGTATTCCCATGCTGGATGTCCCTGAATATATTTATTGTTGGCTGTGTACTGCAACTTTGGAGTGCAGATAAATAGAATTGCAGCTGACACAACTTTAGTTTTGATCTTAAAGCTTTGTCAGGGGTTTCTAAGAAGGATTTCATCCCGTTGGTGCTTTACAATTCTTGTAGACTATATTTGCAATGCTGCAAAGTTGCAGCACATTATTAGCCTTTGTGTAGTGTCAGTGGATCACAAACAAGTTGGCTATCATATCATATTCCAAATATGATTATTTCAATTGATTTGAAACTGGATATTATTTAACTAATTATAGTCTATAATTATGGAAATAATACTGGTTGTTACAATATTTTGTTTAAATAAATGAACTAATATTCAAGTCTGTTTGGTTAAGTATGCATTTTTGGCCCTACCGCTTGGATTGGCCAAAGCAACACATTTCAAGCATTTACTACTTTTAGCATTTACTACTTTTAGCTGTCTGTCACACCTATTACTTGTGGCAAACTATTTTAACCATTTATCCCATACTTTTATCATTTATCTATTACGTTCAGCTATTTCAATGATTTATCCATTATTTTAAGCTAACCATGTATCACCTGCGGTTTAACTGTTAAACTGTTTTAGCCATGTAAAGCCATTAACTTAGGCTACTTTTAGCCTTTTTATATACAGTCTAAGCTTTTAGCCTATTTCAAACATTTATCTATTAACTGTAGCAATCTATTTCAACTATATGTCCATACTTTTAGCTAGGCCTACCTATTTCAACCATTTATCCCCTACTTTTAGCTAACTGTTATAACTTAGGCTATCCATTACTTTTAGCTATCTGTTTCAACTGCTTACATTTAGGCTGTCTATATAAACTGTTCATATATTAGTAGAGTTATTTCATCTTTCCACATACGCTGGCAACGGTGAAAGTACCCCTAAGCAGGCTTACCCCTGGCTGGGAATCACCATCCTGAGCTACTGTAAGGACACTAGCAGAGAGAGAGACAGATGGAGGGCCAAGTGAGCAGTAGGCTAGTGTCAGCGCTCTAAATTTAGATTACCCTCTGCTTGTGAACTAAATACCAATGACAACAGATCAACTGACACCCACCCACCCACTCATTCAGCCACTCAGTCAGTTCAGGCTGCAGCCCCCTCCATGACAAGCCCCAGTCCTGGGGAGCGCGAGCACCCACACGGGTCGCACTACCCAGCCTGACCCTCTTGCTTCTCACCTTTCTGACTTCCTACCCCGAGGAGACAGGCACAACTTGAGACTCCCCCCCGAGGGTCCTTTAGGACAGGTAAGCCATCACAAGGGCTCTCCACAGGTGTGCTGTGTAGTTCTAACGTGACACTTTGAATCAAGCATGATTCTCACTACCACCTGCTGTTGTTCCCTCTACATTTCCCTGTCAATCACACAGCTTGCCATGTGCACAGTTGAATTTTAGTTCAGAATTTTCTTTCTTTTTTTTTTATTGATATTTTGTCTTATTGCTTGACATTTCTATATAGGGGATATCCTGATTTAACAGCAGGAAGTATTCATGAATCATGTTTATGCTGTTCATTTGCTTAATATGTTTAAAAATGTACATACATAAAACTGATAAGATTCTTAAATTGATTTATTAAAATAAAAATTAAACTTTTATCTTTGTCTTTTATCTGCTGAGTCCAAATGAAGAAGTGGTATGCATGCCAAATAGACTTCGGCATTTGCTATGAAATGCTCCTTTATTTGTTCCATCATCAAAACTTTGTGAAAAGTGTTTTGGATTGGAAAGGAACATTTGTGTTGTGTTCACTGGCACCTTGGTGTAAACTTTCCACTGTTCTATTTCATCCACTGTCTCACATGTTTGCTGTGATAGCACCATGTTCTATATCTGTGTCCTTTCAGCCCACTTGGGTAATTTCAAACATATTGATTCTCAGACCCCTGACACAGCTGGTTGCCATGTCTGAAAAGCATGTGCTTGGCGTTTAACAGCCCAAGGTTATTTAAAGGGATGTGCTAACTTTGCCCTTTTCACTGCCCCAATAAATTCTATCTGCTTCGGTGGGTCTTTGTGCGAAGTGTGGAAGCTTGATGTGGAATAATCAATGGCCAACATGCAGCTGTGCTGTCTTGCTTTTGTGTATCTTTGGACATTGGAACAGGCTGTACTGATGTGAGCTTTCTCCTGTGACTTTTTGCCTCACCCCTGACTCCCCAGGGGCAGCCATGTCACAGTTTTCCACCATGACAACCAGGGAGAGGAAAATGCAGGCAGCAGCAATCTGCAGGGAGGTTCAAGCCCAGGAAGGTAGCTATATCATTTCCTTTTCACTTTCTGGTCTTCAAATCCCTCTGACCTCTCAGTTTCTCTCTCTTTCTCTTATTACATCCTTTTGTTGCTTCTGTTTCCATCTCACCTTCTCTCATTCTCCTCACATCCTGCTCCTTTCACCCCTCTTCTTTCTCTTTTCATCATACATCGCAACATAGACGCAGATTTGACGCCATAGCTTACAGTAAACATTTCATTCTCAGACATTAACTTTACTGTAAACACCAGCTCACCCTGCCCGACACACACATGCACTGGACACTGCCACATTCACTTAATAGGAAGTATGAGCCCACCATTTGCCAGTGCAGCAGTTGCCAACCCTCCCTTATACGACCCTGACTATAAATAAACAAATGAATACTTTTATGGGCCAAAGTAACTAATCCCTTTGTCGTTGTCCTTTGAACACGCTATTTCAGGATGAGGACAACTATGTGGCTGAGATAGGGAGGGTCTGAAGGCTACTGACAGCTGAAAGATATTCTGGCAAATTATGCACCTCACACTTGGATATAGGCCTGTGACATCTCCATGATCAGCATGCAGTAGCTAGCACGCTGCGCTAACCACAAAACAAGCGCTGGACATGAGTGGATTACGGGGGAAGATAATTCCTCGTTCATCATACTGGCAGGAATACCAAGTCAGCAATCCATGTGGAGGGCTTTTTTTTGCAGCAAGGGATCCCCCCCCCCCCCCCCCCCCCCATGTGTGAATATAATTTGTGCTCCATGAGGTTTGATATGTGGGAGTATGGGAGGACAAGAAGTTTGTCTTTTTCAAAAATCAGATCAATTTACAATTATATATTATATTACACAAGCTCTTTGGTCTTTTGCTTGTCTCCTTGTGTCCAGATATAGAGATGGATCTTGGGAAGAAAATGAGCGTGCCTAAGGACATCATGCTGGACGAGCTGTCTTATGCCTCAAACCGAGGCTCCCGTCTCTTCAAACTACGCCAGAGACGCTCAGAAAAATACACTTTTGAGAGCACACACAATGAAAACAACGTGCAGCTCAATGTAAGCACAAGCGGTGATGCAGTAATCACATGTGAATGAACAAATCTCGTCTTATCAAGTCAATTCTGTCTAAATTGTGTTGTTACAAGAGTACACAGACATTTTGGGAAATACACCAAATCTCTTCCTTACCAAGAGTTAGATAAGAAGTTCAATGCCACTCACAAGTCTGCATGTTAACTACACTCATGGAGCTAAAGCCAGGAGGAGACTGTTAGCTTAGCTTAGAGACTGGGAGCAGGGGGAAAGCAGCTAGCCTGGGCTCTGTTAATTCTCAGCAAGAAAGAGAATTTTCATATGTCTCCAAATGTCACTGTTTTTAAAAAAAAAAAAAAAAAGCTCATAAATTAATGGTAGATCGATGTGGATGTCAACTGTTAAAAAATCCTTTGATAAAGCACTTATTGTAAGTGTTTCACACTGTCAGAGTGTGTTTTCTTCATGCACAGTCATCCAGTTTCACCACATCTTTTGCCTCCATCATATAAAAAACATACACACAATACTTTACATCCTGGCAAAGCATATGTGGGAAAGATTAATCACTTGAAGTGTTTATTTGACTCATGCTACAGACATGGAGCGACACAGAATAGTAGTTGTGAAAGTCCACCCAACTGGTCCTAAGTAGCTTTATTAATGTCCCTTTGTGTATGTATGGGCAGTGTGCCAAGTCAGCATTTTCTTTTCCCAGCAGTAGACTGACCTGGTCACACATAAAGCAATTTATGTACCAAAGCTCTCAGTAAAATTGAATCAAGATAAGCTAACTAAGTTTCTCTTTGTTATATCTAATTAATTAGCAGCACTAGTTATATCCTCTTTCATTTAGTTGTGTGGTGGCCTTGTGTACTTTGTATTGCCCTCTTGAAGTCCATGCATAAAATAATTATTATGCTCCAGGGAAGATCCCCCCCCCCCCCCCCCCCCCCATCTTTGAAGTGAGAAGAACTGAGATATCTCTGGTTTATTTATTGCTCGAGGCAACGGAGGGGTTTTGTTTCAAGTTGTCAACATTTCCTGAGGAAGTCCTGGAGTAAATCATCATAAATATCTTTCAGAGGGATGAAAGCGGGATGCATGGGCTGCAGCAAATTTTTTCCCAACCCACAAAACAATGTTTATAATGTTATGGAAAAGTGGACCGTTTCTCTGCCTGATTCTGTTTTTGGAAAACATGTAAAAATCAGTCCACATGAAAATATGCAACACTGAAAACCGGAAAATTCTGTTTCAATTGGAATCCATAAAGCTGTGGCGCCACAATTTACTGTGCATGCAAATCATTTTTCATTTTAATTCATTAAATCTAAATACGTTGGAAAATGTTAAGACATAGTTGCTTGTTTTTTGCCATCTGTCACAAAGTAACCCAATGTGTCATGAGAGGAACGTGCTGATAAAATAATCTCTTAAGGCCCCCTTCACAGCTTTCGATGCTATTACACAATCTTTCTCAGCAGACTGAGTTTGCTCAGCTGTCATGGAAATGTAGATTTTTGTTCGTCACATTTGGGATTATATCACATAAGTGAAATACAGATATATAGTGGCTCAAACGAATGTGTGCGAGTTAAAGGTGTGGCTCGTAGTAACAAATGCACAGAGAATTATCACCTGTCTCTTCAATTCCGTTCAGCTCTGCTTTTAAGTCTTGTTCTTGTTTTCGGACCCGCAGTTTTATTGTTTTGATTCACTCTCAGGCTCTAATTAGAGTCGTTTCCATCTGTAGCAGGCAGCTGTTGATAGTGCAAAGCTTCGATAAACCCACAGTATTCTACCTGCCCAGCACTGAAATGGCAGATATTTTACTCAGAAGTCCTTTAACTGAGCTAACAGGAGAGTTAATATTAGACTTAAATTTGTCTGATTGCCAGAAACACAACTCCAAATGAATATTGCTCCTTATTTGCTGGATGTGCTCAGTGATTAACTTAAAAACTGATTATACGTCAGTGTTACAACTTGTTTCCTTTGCCCCCAAGTGGCCAAAAGATCTGTACATTTCCATGACAACTGGGAAACTCCATCTGCTAAGGAGATGGCCAAAAGCTCCAGAAAATCTGCTAAATGGGCCTTGTTTTGCCAGCTACTTTTCCCAAGCTCAACAAGGAGCTTTCAATCTCTCAAAACAGATAGGAAATTGTTTTTAAATGTTCTTTGAAGCTCAACTCACCTCTTCCATCTTCCTTTTAGAACGCAACGGTTTCTCAAACTGTGAACGGGAACAGCGGTGAGAACAACTTGGGTGTCGCCCAACCACCTAAAGAGCAGTCCGACACAACAGATACAAGAATGGTGCCGAATCCACACAGTATTGCCCCGGGTAGGTGACCCTGGTTATACAATATCCTGGAACACCAGTACATTTCAAGGACCCAAAAAACATTGCAGCGGTGACATAGTGTAGCTAAGGTTGGCTTCGACAAATCAGTTGACCTCTGTCCAACTCAGTGACCGTACTTAGCCTTTGTTTCTGCAGAACAATACTCTGGAGCTACTTTCCATTTGTTACATCACTGATAAAGTCCAGTCCTGAGATGAGTATTTTACCTTAGTTTGTCACTGTTATATCCTGCACAGTTTGGGCTTCCTTAACATGTTTGGTATAATTTTGCCATACTAAATGCTCCTCTTTAGTTGAGAAGTTTAAAAAACCCAAAAACGTTTCAGTATATTGAATATAGTGCACAGCTGATGGGAAATGGTCCTGCTCCTGCTGGACAGACTGTGTGGATGTGATCTCCGCAAAGCACTGGATGTGCCGTGTTTTGATAAGGATTCAACAGTTTTTTGTTGTTTGTCCTCATGCAGGCTTTGATCAAGTAGGAAAACAATTTCTTCTTGCCCGGAATCTGCTGGCCTCAGGCAGAATATGATTACACATTTTTTTCTCCCACTCTCTGCCTGTCTCCTTTCTTTCTTTGTCTTTTTTTCTTCATCCCACTCCTTGGTTTCATGTCTACTCCTGCACATTCCCCCAATTTTTTCCCACCTGTTTTTTTTCTATTTATTTTACCCCTCATTGTTAGTATCAGCTTTGACCATCTTTTTAAAAGAATGTTGAGTTGTGTTTCCTGTTTGCCTCTCGTGCCACAGATACCATCAGCTTTTTTTCACTCACATCCTCCCTCGTGTCTCAATTTTGCCCAGTTGACATAAAACCAATACTGATTTAGGGATGAGTATGTCTACACAGGGGCGGGTTTTTATTTCTGGAGCTCAGGACACCGACCTTCAGTGTCTGAATGAAGTCACTCCAGCTGTGGTAGAAATCAGGCCAAAGTGTGTGTTAGGTATCAAACAGTAAGAACTCTTAAAATAGCACACGGATCCATGTTCCATGTGCCTAGCAGCAACATGTCTTAACCAGGCTATAGTGATACACACTCCACGTTCTAGTAGAGCTAAAATAAGACAAAATGGCAGATAATATGCTGAAAGTTTTAGCTAGTCAAATAATAATTCACCATTCATTCATTTTCAAAACAATATAGTGCATAGAGCTGGGTGTGTGGCAGCCCACTAAAATATCAGCTCAGCCAAAATGTCCAACCACTAGAACAATATTCACTGGCCTTAGAAAGTCTCCTGCACAGTGTTTTGTAATAGATTCCCCCCAAAATCTGTAAACTTCCCCACAAGACTGTTTGGTCTCTCCTGCTTCCTCCTCAGGGCAAAACATAAACTCAGGAAGGGGGATTGTTCATTGTGAGAGGTTAGGACGTGACATGACGCCCCCTGTTATGTAATGCCTGAGCTTGCAAGCCCCCCCTGAGTGAAGCGCTGGGTTTGAAGGATAGTGCTTTGGATAGGCCTCTCCCATCAACACACATAGACTACGAGGGGAGACATACATGCAGGCCTGCACATACACAAACACACAGAAACACGGGGAAGCTGCTCCATGATTTGTTTTGCTGTGAACTTTAAGAAGGGATAAAGAAAAATGTGTGAACAGTATTGCAATGTTGTGCACTTAGACTGATGTTAATGAGTTATATATATATATATATATATATATATATATATAGATCTACATAGATATAGATATACTGTTTTTATGGATTGTGTCAAGGTCTCTTTTGTAATTGGACTAATCAATTGAATTGGAATATTTAATCTCTCTTCTCTCACACACAATCTGGTTTGCAAAACAAGCCTTCCAATCAATGTGAAACAACAATTCTGTGGGGAACATGGAGTGACATTTGAGAGAGAGTTATTAAAAAGATTACATTTCACATGTAAAAAACATTTTACACAGTGCTAAGTACTTGAAAGCTGAAAAAACACAACTTTGACTTTTGAAAGCTCCAAATAGCACCAAGCATTTTTTTACTTCAGTACTGAGAAATCATATGATGAGACATCAGCAAACTGCATGCACTCCTCCTCAAGTTTACACATAACCAGCTGACTAGTTTTTATCGTTTTAGATAAAATGACATCAAAGGGAAGGATCCGCTTTCTTTGGACAGCATGTTTTCTTGTTTCAAATTTGGCTCTTAAGTTTCACTTCATTTCCAACCATTGGGGGAATGCCCAACCCCGGCAGCAGAATTGTTTTGGAAAAACAGATTTCAATCGAAAAATACAAATAAATGTGTATTAAAAAATGTTAAATTTAATAAACTGAAAAAAAAGAATGGAGAAACTCTAATGCCTGTTCTTTATTTGACAAAACCTTGTTTACAATCACTGTCTGTGCCGTAAACCCACCCAGGGTACGGTGGTCCTCTGAAAGACATCCCTCCAGAGAAGTTCAACAGTACAGCTGTGCCAAAGTCCTACCACTCACCCTGGGAGCAGGCCATTATCAATGACCCAGCCTTGGCCGACACTCTCCACAATCGCATACCCGAGCCAGAGCCCCGACAAGACCTACCAGGATTCAAAAGTTTCAACAGGTATCATCCACCTTACAGATGGACAGCAAGTCATTCATGAAATAAATTTGCTACAAAATGCTGTGAGCTGTGCCCACTCCGTATCTGTCTGTCTGTTTATTAGTACAGCACTTTAAACAATGCAGTATTTTGAATGAGCTGCAGCTAGTGTCATCAAGCTGTCATGCTAGCTTGTTGCTGTCAGTGCTAATTGCTGTAAATGAGTCATGTCAAAAGGATGTCTTCTGTATGTTTGCATGTACTTACTTATCGCCTTAAATGGAATATGTGTGAGAAATATAGCAACATATAATACTAATTCCTCTCTTAATGGTCTTTAATACTTTTGCATGTTTACTGCTGCTTCTTAACCGACAGAGTTAATTAAATAACTGAAGAAAACCTGAAGTGACTGTGCAAATGCCAAATTTAAAGAAGCAGACTCAAGTATACTGAAATGTGAATATTTGGATGATGGTAAATGTTGCTGACCATGCTATACAGTAGCACAAGTAGAGGAGACTCAGAAAGTCAGAAAATTTACTCACTAAATTTGATTATGTACAGAAATATCTAAAGTTTGCTAGCATTACCCACCATAAGCTACTGGTCATACCAGAGGGTGGCTGGAGCAGCAAATCCCTGAGTGGACTGAATTGAGCAAGGGTGGTTTTTTGTTACCTATAAATTCAGATTTTTTTTTTCATAAGACGATAATTGTGAAATTGTGTTGTTAAAAATTGACATAATCTTGCGTACTAATGCTGAGTAAGCAAAACAAGTGCTGCCCTTCATCTAGCTCACAATGAACAAAAATATGCTTCTCACTCTAAGCAGCTATTTCTTAGATTATGTCCCCCGGTCAAACTCTTTACTTGGTTTTAATTAGTTGCATCACTTCAAATGTCACTTCAGTCTCTCTCATTAGCACATGTTGACTACTGTTAAAACACTGTCTCTCTGTCACCTCCAGGGTGGCAACCCCGTTCGGTGGCTTCAGCAAGGCGCCCAGGCCTGCTCCCATCAAGCCCCTCCAGCTGGAACCCGTCCCTGACTACCCTGAGCTCCAAGGGGACACGGCGATAAATCGACCCTCCTTCAACAGATCTGCTACGGGGTGGGTGTCGGTGGGCGGTCCAGTCCCCCTCCATACCGTTTCCCTTGAGCCTGTGCTCATCCCTGAGTCAGAGGACCTTTGAACCCATGAGGTCACACAGAGATGCTGTCTACTTAGGTGCTGCACCATGGTGAGCAGGGCGAGAGAAAGCGTCCTGTTGGGCTTTGATGGTTCAACTTATGCAGCATGTACGGTTTTCTTGGTTCTTTCTTGGTTTTCCAGGGATGTAAGCTATTGCACTGCATGAATTCATCACCCTGTACAGTAGGCTGAGACATTACTGGAATAAATGGAATTTATTGTATATTAATGTGCATAAGAGTATTTTATCTTGCGGATACAAGTTTTTGCTCAATAAAATGGTGAAAGAAGTCCAAGTTATTTTTTCTGTTTTTTATTTTTCATTGCATTTCATTTTCTTCCACTGAAATTGTTGATAAAATGAATACGCCCTTTCAAGATGCTTCTGTTTTTGGACATGGATGCAAATCTGTAACATATTCCCCAACATGGCCCCAGGTGATACTTTCACAGTGAGTTGGTCTGAGCTGCACTGAAGGCTCACTTGAGTGAATGATGCCTCGCCCATGTGTTATAGTGGTTTGCAAACCCATCACTTATCGCATCGTGTGAGACTCCAAAGATACATGTGAGCCACTGTAAAGCAGCCTGAAGGTTACACTGCCTGACAAATCAAATCTGCTTCACTGACATGAGCGGCTTGACTGATGAATCTCTCACCTTTTGGCTATGCCCACTCGAAGGAATGGGATTGATGGGAGAGCTGTTTGATGAGCTGTGCCCCCTCCGGCTGTTACTACGGCACTTAACAATTTACAAGTGAAGCACATACAAAGTACAGTGAGTTAACTATGTTTGTATTCTGCTAAAAGAAGAGAAAAGTTAAGTTTTTCATCTTGTCTTGAATTTTGAGTATTTGAGTACTTGTAGACAATAGTCAATTAGTAATATTTTGGTATGGGAATAAACCACAAAGCTGCTTTTTTGCATGCTGCAGCTCATATCATCAGCCAGCTAACATGCTAGCTTGTTTCTTAGAATGAGTCATGTTTGTATGTACTTACTTATCTCCTTAAATCTAATAAGTGTGAGGAACATAACAGCAATTTATAATACAAATGTGTCTCTTAATGGTCTTTAACAGCTTTGCCACTTCTTAACCGACAGAGTTATTTGAATGACTGAAGAAAACCTGAAGCAGTGGAGAAGGTTAAATATTTCACAGGCCTTTTCCAGCTCTTTTACTTTTCCATTTACACTATCATGCTCTCTAATCGCTGACCATTCAGTCCATGTGCCACAAGGTTAAAGCCATAAAAGAGCATATCTTCTCATTTCACCTGTGACCACAGATTAAAAGTGCTTTGACCTTTGAGAGCATTAGGTTGCTACTAGTAACTGTGGGTTTGGTGTAAAATGCACATGTCATCAGAGAGGCATGATTTTCCAGGTCAAGTCTGATTGAACTTTTATGTGTGATTGACATGTTAGATTACTTGGCATAGTGATATGATGGTGGGTCTGGTTTGCAAACCATGTGATAAACACAATGTTACTTGTTCTTGGGGTTAATGTCAGTTGTGCTTATTATGGGTACGTTTTTAACAATTTCTTATGAGTAAATATCTTTTTTGTTCTTCTGTTCATTATACAATGACAGTGACATACTTTATATCACCTACATGTCTGAAGAAGGTGATGTGTTTCATTTCATAACTTTGTCTTCTCTGTCTCCAAAAATGAATTAGGAAATGCCTCCCACATTTCCTTCAGCCAGCATGTGACTAAGTCCAGCATCAGCATTCCTCGCCTCTGTCGGAGACCCGTTGGAATGTGCAGCTCCCGGTGCCGCTCCCTTTTTGGGTCCTCTCGCCAACCTCTTCAGGAGAACGGTGTGTACAGCACGCCAACACAGCATCCGACAGCACCAGTAGCTCTGCCAACGACCACAGTAAATATTGAGCAGTGTTTATCAAGGTCCAGGCATGAACTCTCTTTGAACTTTGATTGCACCCATTATCAAAATGCAGCAACGGAAATATTATTGGCAGAGACTGAAGCGTAGGCTGGGGGTCGGGGAGTCGGACGATTTGATTATTAGTCTCTAAATGCAACCAGTTTCACCTCAGGCGTGTTTGCCTTGGCATGCTATGGCACAGTAGGCACCGGATACTGGATTATAGGCTGCTCTGGACAATAGGGTGGGCTGGTAGTTAGGGTGGCTCTCCTATACCAAAAGGGTGAAGTTATTTGCAGCAGTCGACTCATAGTACTTCTGAAACGCTCTGGAGAAGAGCATCGGGGAAAGTGAGGCAATATCATGTTGGAGCGCAAATACTATCATTTTAGAAACTGCTTTTGGAGAGAGAGAAACTGCACACCTGATAGGAATCTAAGACTGGAGTGACCGTTTGTTATGCCACAAAAAACCTGATAAGACAGGAACATACTGTGTTTTTTTGTGTTTAACAGGTGCAAGACATGCAGACGTCAAAAGTGGACTAAATTTCATCCTTCATCCTATGTTTTAGACCCAGCTCAGTCTATAACTGAACAGCTGGCCTTCAGCATCTTTATCAGCAGTTAACAATGGACTCTGCTGCTGTTTTAAAGCAAAAGTCCCTCGGGTTTCCATCTGCACACACAGCACCGACCACTGCAAGTGTGCAGTCTGCTGCTGACACAGACAACTGCTAAAAGGTTGAGTCACATGAAACTTTTTTAAGCAGGCATGGGTCGGGTGAGAAAACAAGTGTGCTGCGAAATAAAAACTGCAAGGCCGTCAAGCTGTACCCAGGAGGGAGACATATGATTCTCTGAGAGGTTTTAACATACAGACACACTCTCCTACAGTTAGATTTTCCACCAGACACGTTGGAAATCTGGGATTAACCTTGTGATATCGTGTCAAAGTGACCTCCTGACATAGGAAATCCATAAATGGCTGAAAAGCATAGCTAATTGCGTATCAACATTTCAGCCTTGCTCATCTGATGACACGATAGACCTAGCCTGATGAATGTGCGCAGCAGGTGGTCATCGTCGAGGGAAAGTGCAAAGCTCACTGGGATATCTAAAAATATGAGGGAAAATAAAGCATCCCAGGGGTCAGTGGGGTGGCGTCGGGTTGCCGATGAGGTGAGGTGAAGGGGGACGGGGGCACACATTCCGCTACTGAAATGGGGTGAAGTGACGCTTTGGGTTGAACTATGTTTCGCTCTGAGAAAATGTTCAATCCATCAAATGTCAGCAAGGTGTGCATGGGTGGATGCCTGCATGCGCACACGTTCATCCATTAACAATGACCAGGGTGCTTGTTTGTCTGGGTATGTAAGCTTGTGGGGAATATATTGAATTGGAGGGTGCACTAGGTGAATGACAGAATGACTCTCTGATCTTTTGGTAAAAATAAATACGGAAAACGTTTGTTGAGCAGTGTGCACTCATTTTCATCAAGCACAGAGACGTTAACAACACAAACATTCCCCACTGTGGAAGGATGCGCACAGCTAGGCTAGTAATTAGCCTGTTTGGACAAATGAACATTCAAGATTGTGTTCCTGTTTACTTGCAAAAGCCCTCGAGACCAATTACAGTTGTGCTCTCTCTCGCAGTAATCCAGCCTCTGACTTTTACCTCAGGGGGCTCATCTATATTCCTGACTGGTCAATATATGTTAACCTCTCCTTTTTGATTAACAGTCAGTGAAGAATTATTAACTTACAACTGCTAACACAACCAATAAAGTCAAAGCCAAGTAAACAAACTGTAGCACTCAGACCTTTGGGTGACAAGTAAAATGCTCTTTTCTCATCTAATGTAGCTGGGAAAGAGCAGAAAATAGCTTTAAATGTCCTTAATGTGGTGGTGATAGCCCATTTTTGATGATGTTGCCGGGGAAAGAATAATTAATGTGCCTTATCTTAGTCAATGAAGGGTATTACTTTCCCTAACAGACAGCACTGAGGCGATAGCATGCTTTTCCTGTGCGCTGCAGCTACCACGGATACGGCAAATACAGCAGTGAAATATATCACAGTCAATCCTTTGGCTGCACTCCAGACTTAATGTAACGTGGTTGCCAAAAAAATTGTGCTTATGTCATCCACAGTCCTACTCGTGGATTAGAGGGAAAAGGTAAATTAGTACAAATGAATAGAAAGGGTCTTTTCTCCTGGATGGACAAAAACTCTCCAATTCCTTAACCATTTACCATTTACTCTCACTCTCTTAGTGTATGATTATGATTAACACACCCATGCTGGGACATCATGCTGTGTTTGAGGGATTGCTAAGTCATCATGATAGCAAACAAATACCATTCCAGTGAATAACATATGATGTAGACAAGATGCTCGAAGGGATACTTTGTTGTGTCTTGTCAGTGATTCTTGGAACTATGTTTTTCTGCCGGCCCTTATGTTGAATTTGGAAATGGATTGCCAGATGTCACAACCAAGAATACACTGAAAAGTGGTTGAACAAAAAGTCCTCACCAAGAATTGTTGACTTAATTGTTCCTGAGAAACCTAAGGAGTGGTTTCGTTCCCCAAATCTCATCATTAGCAGATTTTAATCCCTGGTTAAATATAGCACGAGTTGCTTCAGAGGCGTTGCCTCCCGTTGCTCCCCATTGTGGCGTTCAAGCATGTCTAATCTCTTACGTAAAAACAGGGCATTCACTACTGTGTGTGTGTTGCTCATTAGTAGTAACTGAATAGCAACACAACAAATGGTGTTCACAGAAAAACACTGCAAACTTAGTTCAGTCCTTTTCGTGTTTTTGCAGAAAGTGTCAAAAGTGCGTTTTCATCTAAGTAACGTTTAGGTGACAATCTCCCAGTTTGAACTCACACACATATCTTAACAAATATCCCATATTTGTTTGTTTGTGTATATGTGCATGATCAGGACGACTTGTGTCCTCATGTTACTTTTCATTAGTACAAGCTCTTCCATTTGAATTATTTGTATTTCCCATGACACCACACACATTCATGCGTGCGTGTACACAAACATGCACAAAAACTAGGGCATTTATAGTTACGTAGGCATTTGACGCTTTCCATTTTGCAATTGTTACTACTACAGCAGATGAAACCAGCAGCACAAGAAGGTGTAGCTTTTTTTATTTATATAATAATATATAACAATAGTTACTTACACTGTATAGTCACAGTCCTATCAGTAAATGGTTAAGGAATTGATTCTTGCTTTGTGATTAATCAGATTCATTTAATATATTTAAACCTTGTGTGGTGTATTTTGCATGTGCCCTGAAAGCACAGACTACTACAAAGGTTGTATGGTTTTGGAACTGTTGCCCCACTTTTGCTTTGTGTCTCAGGACTATAGAGTACAGTAAGTATGGATTGAAAAGCCAGACAACAGTGCTAAAAATATCCCACTTCAAATGGCACAGCACATTTGGGGTGAAATGGAATTTAGCTGCCCAGTGACCCAATCAACATCATCAATGAATCTATCTGAAAATAAAAAGCCATTGGCAACCTGGCGGCTGTGTAGTGAGAGGAAAAAGCAAAACAAAACATATCACGTTGAAAGTAAATTTGATTCCTCAAAGCTGACATGTACAAAGGTTCTTGTTGGTGCTGGTGAAAATGTAAAAAATGGCAATGCAGGTAAAGATAGGACACAGGTTTGTCATTTGAGCTGTGTTTATCCACTGTATTCAGCAGTGGTGAAAAGGTGAAAAGGTTTCTCAAGGTGAAAAGTCAGGGCAATGGCACCAGCTCCCAGCGGGACATCTGCTGTGTACATCGTCTCCTTGCAGAGCTGGCAAAATCTTGCTAATTAATCTAAATTTACAATGCCCTTCACAATATAATCAAAATTGTGTGGATGGACTCAGTGGTTTGCTGGGCTGTTGAATTTGAGTTTAAGAACATTCAGCAGGTTATCCAGATAATCAAGTACAATACAAGCAAAGTAGTGAACATTTTGATGAAAAAAAAACATATAAAAAAACAATGAGCCACTATTCTACAGAAGCCATTCAAAGTGCATGTCAGTCAGGCAGCAATGTGTTAGTTCAATGATGCAGTCATTTTTAGACTTTTGGCTCAGAGTAAGGCAGCAATGCTGACAGGGCACATATTGTCAAATTCAGCGGCCGGATTCCAAGCTGTCCACCAAGGTCAGAAAAGAAAAATTTTACATTTGTGGAACTTGTTAAAGACCTGATCTGTTTGAGCTGTCTGATCCATTATTTATAGGGAGTGTAAGATATTCAGTGGCAGCACTTCAAAGCGAGGAGGCCTACAGCCTGGGTGAGAATGTCCAACACCACAAAGTGGGCTCAGAGCATCACACTGATAAGAAAAGACTTTTTTGGGGGTAATCCTGTCCAAAAAGTTAGGAAAACACCCTCCAGAATGGATAGTTAAAGCTCACATCACTCAAACTGATTATTACCACACTCTCAAACGTTTTTATATTTTAAGAGGAAGCATTATATATCCCTTAAGGAAATATGTGGAGAGGGAAATTGCATTGTCTCCTCAAGGGGCCCTTTCGAGTACTTCCTGGGGAAAGGCTGGACTACGCTGATGCATTGTGACCCCTCACCGCACACTCCATCAATGCTTACAGTTTCCTCAGTCTTAATGAGTGACAGCGCTGATTTCTATTTTTAAAGCAGTTGGCACACTGATTCACAACTGATTCTTTTGGTTTATCTAATTGAGGATAGACACTGATGTTGGTGGGTTCATAGACGATGACACAAAGCTCCACTGAAGTGAATTTCCTCCTACAGTATTTAATCAAAATTTAGTGGAAATTCCAAATGAGTTCGTAAAAATGTGTTTTTAAAAAGCCAGTGTGGAATTTGCAAAAGTGACGGTCAAGGTGGTACTGAATATGAGAGCTACAAAGAAAGAGGCAGCAGAGGAGTCGACCTTTGTGAATCAGGAAGAGTGCTGATTACAAAAAATATACAAATTCCTCCTTGTGCAATCAGTCATGTTGGCTATAGCAAAGTTGTGTTGGGCCACCACAATATACAGTAGGATATATTTAGAACCAGGGATAGCACATGTTAAAATGTTATAACCTACAGTAGAGATGGTTTTTGGAAATAAATTAATTGAACATCAAAAATGTAGTTTATGGCCTCATAATTATGCATCCCATAAAATATGCCCTCTTGTGGAGGCTATCCAAAATACTTCTTTTAATTAATATACATTTCTCCAAAGAAAAATGTGGTCAGCTTGCAGGGGGCCTTGAGCCATGAAACAGGATAGGGCTACACTCAGTAGTCTCTTGCTTCAGAGAAGGGGAGAAAAGCTTTAATTGCACGTATTTCTCATTGCTTTCTTTATATAACAGGATCAGGCAGATGGTGTTTGGGGAACAAGAGTCTTACATCACTTTCCTCTGCTGTCTTCATAATCACCATTATGTGTTATAATTGTCCTCACAATGTTGGGGCATATCCGTGCAGGTAAATGTTTAACACCCCCAAAAGCATGTTTAATCATTGCCCACCACACCACTGCAATGCATACTTCATTTGCAAATGCATGCAGAGATTCTATTGGTAGTTGCTGGCTTTGTCACATTTTTTCATCACTGCACGCAGGCAAAAAAAGCCAAACAAAATGTATTACCAATAGCCTCGTGCATTTTAAGTGATTTTCCAGTTATTTCTGAAGGGTACGCTACTTTTAAAAGAAATTTTAAAGTATGTATGTGATGCAGTTTTTGCAATAGGAGATGTAAACACAACACTACGCAGCATTGTAGTGGGCAGCAAACTGCAAACCCCTGCACCATGAAGCAACATTAACGAGCCTGCCAGCAGAGTTGGCGCTCTGCAAGTGTTAGAGTGAATGCTTGTGTGTGTGCGTGCGTGCTGTAGATGTGGCAGCGGTGTACAGTAGCATGGCAGACTGCAGTAAATACACAGTTGAAGAGGCGGGGTTTGACATCTCAGCTCTGAAAACATCTCTAATCCAGTATTTCAGGTGCCGAAGTCGAACGAGCGACCATTGCTCACTACCGCCGCGCGTCAGCGAACTGCAGCAGAACCGCACGACTCCAGAACCCGGAATATCCTGCAAGTGGACGCAGACGGCTGCCGTGCGAGTTCCCGAGAGCGAAGAAATCCCACAAAAAGCCGGAGAGAGTGAAGTTTCAGCGGCGCGAAAGACAACACTTTGTTTTCCTGCTTGGTGTTTTAGTTTCCAGCGTCTGTTTCTGTCTCGGAGTGACCAGCAACTCCCACCGCGTCTCAGGTCCTCCCCCCGAAACTCAGCCAACACTTCAACTCTTGTGCTCACTGGAGGATACTGCCGCACTTTGGGATATTTTTCTTTCCTAGGTGAGTGGCTCTTTATTTGAGTTTGACACGAGCAGTTCTTCAAACTTCCCTGGTTTGTGTTTTAGCCGCAGTGCGTGGGGCGGAAATGTAGCTTTACCTGCCTGGAACTCAGGTAAGTCGGAAACCAGGTAGGCCTAGCGTTTAGCTTCTTCCAGGATCCCTGTCGGCCGTCTACCTTTTGTTGGCACACTTGTCAAATTACAAAATGTGGTGTGTAAAGGTTTAAAACACCAGAAGTCTTGTCATTTCGACATTTTAATTTGTGTACCGTTAACTTATCGTTGGTATTTTTGTTTACAAGTCCAAATCGCATTGTTGCTGACAGCTGGCTATGTGTTGCTTTATCGTTAAATATTTAAAATATGGAGCTGCTCTAACGAATATGAGCTCAAGTGACCACTACTCTCGTATTCAGGTTTAATGTCAACACAACATTTCCTTAGTCTGTGGAAATATGTATTTACTGGCAGGTAAATATGCTTTGAATAATTTTATAACGTAAAAAAAAAAAAAATCTGCTTTCCTCTATATTTTAGTATTGTTACCTCCCTGATAAACAAGCACAGCCCAAGCTAACTGCCAAGTCTCCTGTTATGTTTTGGTGTGGGCCGAGAGCGTAATATAATTGCGTAATATTTGCACACCCTGTTCATTTTTGGACAAAACATTCGTTTCATTTATAGGAATTCATTCAGAGCTCATTTGCGGACCCCCATCCTGTGCACCCTGTGAACTGGTTTCTCCCACTTTAATTCATCCCACTGATGAGCTCCCTGATCACCAGACCTCAGGCCCACACATCCCAGAGATGATGAAGCAGTGAGCTCACCAGCCCTGTAAACATCATGCACACTCATGCTTCATGATGATGCATGTGAAACACTTCCTTCAGAACATCGAGGCATGCTGGAGAACCAGTTCTAACAATAGTTCCTCTGTTGCCTCTTTTGTTTGGAAGCATGTGGAGCAAGAGTACTTGGAAAAAGTGTACTTTTCTCAGATGTTCTTGTCTCACTGCAATGTGTTGATCGGCTGCTGATAAAGATTGTGGCAGGTGATTTGCCACTTTTACATTTATTTTTCTGACTAAATATAATACATTATATTTATATAAAGTTGAAGATAGGTAAAATAAAGGGAACAGAATTGTTGGCCATCGTCATCACACTTGATATTTATTGGTAAGCTGCTGTCAAATGGGGGGACATTAAGGAAGCAATCATAAAAGCTCAGAGGAGGATGTTATATTTCAATCCGATTCTATTCTGTATGGGATCCTGGAACTTGTGCTTTTGTTCTTCCTTTTCCTCTGTTGGACGCAGAAAGGAATAATGGGTGACTCAGCGTGGTGTGGGTGACCTGTTCAGTTTCACAGGGTTGAACACGGTGACCGTGTGCTGGAAAGCTGCAAGCCTTTGAGCAGGAAGCCCACACAGGAAACGACCAATGCATTGTTGCCCGAAGGCTTAAACCATGTCTGCAGTCCACAGGGAATTTTACAGTCAAGTTTCACTGTTTATTTTAGGGTTTCAGCGTGCAGGGTCACATTTTTTTTGCTTCTTCTGGTACATACAGGGGGCCACCTGTGCTCAGGCTTTTGTATATTTTCAGACTTGCGTGTGTTTGCCCAGCCCCAACTCAGCCCTTTATTAAAATAAGCAGACTGACTGATTGAAAGCACAGTGCGTGCAATCATAGAACATGAACATGGTGTCGACAGGGAGGAGGAAATGTGGTGAAAAATATTTATGCCCAAATGTGTCAGTACTTTATAAAAAAAAACTATGAATTTGATGTACTGAGTGGGAGACTCAGCTGTATGACTTCATTCCTGTGTTAACTGTATGAGTCATACTTCTAAGAAAATTTACATGAGTGCATCGGAAATGGAGAGCTTTTTTTTACTCCAAACATGAATAATGTCAGTAATTGTCCACTTGTTAGCTGACTCTGTGTCCCAGTGAATGATTTTTAATTCAGTGGGTGTAACTCAACACTTAAGTAAAATTCAGACATGTGCATTGGGCAACAGGAGTAGTGCGGCCTTTGAAATTTCAGTTTGTAACCACAAACACAATATAGTCCGTTACTTTGCTCATCATTTTTTATTCCATTCATTTTGATACTTTTTGTTTGTCCTCCCAAATGTTTGCACAACACCACCCAGGCAATTTTTCAGGTGAAGCTAATGGATCTCAAAGGAGCCGTTTAAGAAATGGTTGCCCATACAATCTGTTTCGCGTAAAAGTTGGTATCTTTAAAAATATTGGTGTTTCTTTGCTACTCCAGTAACCGTCTAGTTTCATTTTAAATACCATCTAATTATGTTGTCAGCCAGCAATTCAAGTTCATGTGTGGTTTACGTCAAATACTCCTGTGTGGGTTACTTACGTGTAGGCGTGAAAAAGGAGATAGATCTCCCCCCACCCATGCGACACAAAGCATGACTCATCGTACCTCTGAAGTTATTTGTGTAAAGGTAAAATTGACCACTTACATTTGACTAAAAATAGAGGGGAATATATGCACAAAACTTTGCTACCTATAGGAGTCAGGGTTCCCAGAAAGGAAAATCAAGTCATCAACAGTACGCCAGAGTTGAGGACAAACAGGAGGGAACGCGCTCGGTTGTCATGCAGGTGGATAATGTACCAGCTTGACAGAAAGATGTATTGATCTGCATTGAGAAAAAGGTAGACTGTACTGTGACTTTTACTCTCAGAAGTTGTAGAGAGGCTAAAAGTTGTGCTACGGGGCACATTGTGCTTTATCAAGGAAAAGGTGGATTAAAAATTAATTTAAAGGCAGCATGTGACCCATGGGCAATTGTTTGCATTTGGGCTGGTTGAAAGAACGATGATGGTGAGAGAATTATCAGCCTGAAAGTGAACGTGTGAGCTAAACTGTTCCAACAAAAGCCTCTAAATACTTTGAAAGCTTCTTCTCTGTTTGTGCTGATCTCAAGATGTGTTTCTGTCGCATCTTGTGTGACTCAATTTACCACAGATTGATTCATAAGCGGCTCACTGCATTACCATATAAAGGAGATCAATTGAATCATTCTTAATGAGGCCATTCATCAACAGATCGCTAATAGAGAAATTATAGCATCCGACTCCCCACGCCTTCACACCCAAATTACACACACATTACGGGGTGGGGGGGGGGGAGACTTTGCTTGACAAGTCTGAGCGAGCCTTTGTTTATAAAGGAATACTGGACTTCCTGTACTGGTGCTCCTGGGACAAAAAGTGAAATGACTTCTTTTGTTTGGCTTCTGCTCAGATCTGTACAACATTTTTGGCAAATGTTCAATAATGCAGAGAGAGTGGTGTTTGTTCTGTTTTATACCTGTAAATAGTTACAAATATATCCTAGAATGCCACAGTCCTCCTGGCAATAGTTGGGTTTGAAATGATTAAGAATGGCACACATGCACATAGGGCAATTACATAAAAGGGTAATTAAATTGTTAAGTTTAATAATTGGTGTAATAACGCTAATATTAGGTTGTTATTGAAACAGCCAGATTTTCATTTTAAAATGTGTGACTTGTTTTTGCTTTGTTGTAAAATGTCAAAGATGCAGGGTCTATCTTAGTATTATTTTTTTCCTTCAACTAACTTTTGCCAATCAACCCCAGCATTTAGGCCTAGGTTGTAGTAAATAAGGCCACAAAGTACGAAGAGCAGTTTTTTGTCCAGACTTTCTGATTAAATAAATTGTATAAAAATTTAATACAATATATACAAGTGCAGCCTCCTCACTAATCAACAGTGAGGAAATAATTTCCACTGGATCATACTATGGACAGAAATATAGCAATCGCAATAAAAATACTTAAAAGTAATTTATAGCACAGAGAGAAATTGTTGCAAACCGGTACAAAAACTCTCCTTTGGTTATAAAACAACTATTAATGAATAATATCAGTAATAAATAAAATATACACTGTATTTTCTATACTGTAGAACTCTCCAGGTCCATCACTGCAACCCCAGAGAACATACGATGTCTCTGTGACTAGTTACAGTAATTGTTCTATAGACTAAATAATAGATTATATTAATGCAAAGTATCCCCACTGGTCTGTGATATGTTTGGTTTAATAAAAGGATGAATATCTTACTTATTGAAGAGTAGTTCCTTATAATGCATACTAACTTTTGGTCACACACACACACACACACACACACACACACACACAGCTTCATTAAGTCCTATTTTCTTCTCTGCACCAACAGCAGAAATAGTGTTGCAGCTAACCGTCAAATGTTATAAATATATTCATTATATTAATGTAGTTTCTTTTTCCTAACTTAAGCATAAATACTATTTTCACAGACTATGTAATAAATTCCTTTTTCCTGCTAATTCAAGGGATGCTTTTTATGTTCAAGTGGTGTGCTTAGATTCTGTATCTTTTACCTCACTGAATAATACTTTTGGCTGCAGTTTTGACCTAATTTCGTGTTATCTCATATCAAATGCAATGCTCTCGATATGTCAGTGTTGCATGTGATTGAACCTCTTGAGCTCATAACTGAATTGCAAAACCCAGGGTCATCTGAGCCATGTGTTATCCAGGATCACCAATGGTTTATTTAAGTCAGATGATTCAAAGAGAACTTGAGTACAGTAAGTTACCTGCTTTGCAAGACAGAGGAAACAAAGAAATGACCATCATATAAACAAGAAAACGACAATTTTAATATGGACAAACTTGTAAAGGTCAACCAAAAGAAAGGAAAATGGTTTCATTCACCTCTTGGAACTTGGAAAGGAAGGGCGTCAAAACAGCTGTCTTAGCTTACATTAAGTAATGAAGTAAACCTGGCTTCTGGACAATATTGTGACCGGCCAGTTGAGTCATTTTCCCCAGCTGGGTTTATAAACAAGGCAGCAGATATTTCACATACCTGCATTCAGTTGAAGTCAATTACGATGGGATCTGTTTTTCAATATTTGGGAATAGGGCATTTAATATAAAATCATGAAACCGCAACATATGGAATACAGTAAGAACATGTGTAGCCACCCGCAGGGTTGGGTATCGTTTTAAATTTTATCGATTCTGATTCTACTTATCAAATCCGGTTCTTACCGAATCTCGGTTCTGATTCCAAACCCCTTCACCACAAATCTTGTCACCGCTAAGGGGCATTTATCCACTTTCTCCTTGCTCATATTCCCCTTCGTGGCTAAAGTGAAAGGGGTTTCTGCACTAGAGGGGTGTCAAAGGTGACTTGTATCTAATAAAATTATATATTGGATTAATTTGTAGACATCATTCATTGACCTTCAATATAAAAAGGTGAATGTCAGCTCATCTGTGTTTTGTACCCGAGCGTGAGACGTTGCTACTGATAGCATTAACTGTATCTGGGGCATCATTGTAGCTGGGAGACCATGGTGCAGTCTTTCAGGTCCATCCCCTTCAGGTTTTGCATTTTGCTTTGTTATATTTTTTTAGTGAAGCTAAGTCAAACTTTTGAGCGTTTGCTGCGGTCCACCGTGGTCCAGGAATGTAAACAGAAGTTTTCTCTTATCGCATGTTTTGGTGACTTACTGCATAACAAATCATGTGACTTTAGGTTTAAGCAGCAGGTCCTGGCAATTAAGTGCAACTTTTATGGACCGTAAAATGCTCACTGCAGTTCAATTGGAAGCGCGACTGAAATATGCAAAGGGTTAGGAAGCAGTAAGCAGAATTAAAATGCACGTGTCGCCACAGTTCTTGGAAATTTGGTAATGGTTCCAACTTGAAACCGGTTCTCAATACCCAACCCTAACTATCTGTGCAGACAATGTACATCATTCCTTCGTCACTCTTTCATCAATCCCTGCTTACAGGTTAGGTACGATATGCCACTTTAAACTAGATTGTAACCCAGCCAGTCCATGTTGATGAATTTGCGTCTGTTCTGCGGTGCAAACGCTGTAGGTTCCCCTTTTGTCAGACAAAAGGTGTCATGCTTTATCTGAAAGCCTAGAATTTCACTGTTCGGTGGCAGAAACGGTTGCTGGGTCCTCCTTAACACTGACCTCGTCACAGAAAATGTAGTATTATTTTCCTGAATTGAATTGAATGATGCTCTTTGCCTTCAAGCAACAGAGCATAATGTTTTAAAATTATGTCATACAATTGTAGTCAGCAAGTGCCAATTTTGCTAAGACTAAACGATAGTTTAACTTAAGTGAGGTTGACAGTTTTTTCAAGCGGACCACCATAATGCAATAAAATGTCTAGGACCAGAAAGGCAGAGCCATATTTACTCTAGCTGTTGTCAGCAATGTCACAATACAAAACACGCGTTGGCTTCATTCTCAATGCCATCAAATTGACGTTGAATAATGTGTGTGTGTGTGTGTGTGTGTGTGGTATTGTTTTTGCTTGCCAGCAAATTGATAAATAGGAGATGCTACACTGTCATGTTTGACTGTTGTCTTTTAAAAATATAGGACTTAACTGTGGGAATTGTTGAATTGTAATGTCCTGGAGTGACTGAGCTGTCAAAGGGATGCTAATACCACTGCAATAATAGTAATACTACTAATAATACAGAATCCTATACTAATATTTTTATTAGAATAAATGAATAATGAATGAAAGAAATGTGTTTCCATTTCATCACATGCTAACAAATTGGATGTAGGGCAAAAATGTTAGCAAGATAAATAATTTGATATCATTTGATAATGATAATTATCAGGAGAAATGTCAAATCATTGTTTCTTTCAAGTTTAAAGGCTGATTCTTGCTCCTGAGTGAAAGTTGAAGAAACCAGATGGTTAATTGTGGTTTAAAACTTTTCTTTACGGTCAGAATAAACACTTGATGCCAAACGATGGATCGCTTCACAAATCTGAGGCAGAACATTTAAAACTATTAAGATAAAATCTTTTTACAACAAATATGTGCAAGAGCAAAATTTTTTCAGTCTCTTTTCCTCAACAAAATAAATATCTCAATAGAAAAACAAAGGGATGGTGATGATGCAGTGGATAAGACGCATGCCTTTGGTGCGAGAGACCTGGGTTCAATTCCCCACTGTGACGCATACACCAATGTGTCCGTGAGCAAGACACTTGACCCCTAGTTGCTCCCAAGGTGTGCAACCTCTGACATAAATAGCAATTGTAAGTCGCTTTGGATAAAAGAGTCAGCTACATGAATAAATGTAATGTAAATGTAAAGTGCTGATTCGTTGATGATTCAAACAAATTAAATCAAACACCTTATATTGAACATTTGTTTTATTGTTATTGAGGAAAAATATTGTGATAATAATTTTTTGTTGCTCAGCCCTAATTGGATGCCTGGAGACGTCATATGATGAGAAAAACAGGTACTTCCAACATGTCAGGGCTTGTCATTACTAAAGGTGGGCTATGTAGGTGAAGTGTGTAGTTTTCCACTTGCCCCTCCAGCCCTCAAACTAATCCGAAAACAGTGGCTCTTAAGCAACTCTGAGCTTAAGTGATTGCTTTGGAATGCTGTTGCTATGGAGTCCAGTTGCACAGTTGAAGTACAGCAGCAGAGACATTGTGTGAGTTTTGTTGAACCATGTGAAGAAATGCCACATGCAATTACTAAACTTCAGGTTGCTCCATTAACCCTCTCTAAAGTTAACACTGTTGCAACATCTCCTTCCAGTGAGGATTCCTGAAACACCAGGATAGAAATCTTGTCCAGCTGGTTTTGGCAGAAACTTTGTGTGATTCTGCGGCCTGTCACAAGTGGGAAGTTTCATTGTTTGTGCAAAGTAGGGCAGTGTTTTTTGTCCTCACTCTGAATAACAAGACGTTTGAGGTTTATTCTTTTAGGTTATGTTTTTTTAGGTGTTGGAAAAGAGGATGAATCACGGTGCATCACACAAGGAATCATTGCTCATTGTTGCTTCTTTGTACTTGTTATGATGCTGGAAGTGCTGCTTTGCTACAACTTTCTTTAAAGTAAAAGGACTTTTTTGTTGTAATTTAGAATGACATACAGGAATATCCTGTAAAAATCACAATAAATGAAAACATACAGGCTGTGGCTATGTGCACCTCTTGGGGCATTCACTGTTATAATAACCTACACACAGCTTCCACTGCCTCACTCAGCACAAACGTATTCATCCATCAGACCTCTCAATGTAGTCTGTGTGTAGCTTTCATAGGTGTACAGTGCACATTCACTGCAGATTGTGTTGGTCTTTGTCACTATGATGTTTAAGCTGCGTGGATTGCAAGTTTCCTAAATTGAAATGCATCTTCAGTGGTTTGGTATGTCCTCCACTGCTCCTCGTGTTCAAAAATAGGTCAGGCCAGTGCTCTTTTATAGTGGTGTTTAGATAAAAATGACAATGCCAGGAAAACTTTTTTAAATTATATGGACATTATTTAAATCTTAGGCCACAAATTGCTGACCTACAACCTCAGTTTGGGCTGTCATCTGGAGCTACAGATGCAAACTCTGTTGATTGAAACGCATGAAAACATGGCAGCGTAGACGGCACACAGCTATATTGTAAATCTGTAGGGCGGGAAGTTGGCCAGCAGAAGATGAATCAATGGCAATTATGCAGACCTTTAATTATCTAATTGGTGGTCAATTTAAAAAAAACGTAATTTTGGGCTGTAGTTGTGACACTAGAGGAGGACATCTGCACGTGTTAGGTTTTACTTTTGTTTGAGTGGTACTGTATTTGTTTGTGTTCCTCATGTACAATTACAAAACGGTAAAAAAAAGTATTTGCTCAAAAGAAGTCAACATATTAAAGTCAGCATATTAATGCAAAGTCTGCTCTAGGTCAGCATAATGCTTGTTTTAAGTATCTTTTGGCTTCTGTTGTCTATTGTAAGGAAACTGCTATAAATCGTGTCTGAATTTTAGTATGCAACTTTAGCTGGGGCCGACTTTAGTTTTACACGCCCCCAGTGCAAAGGGTGTTTGTAAAAGTTAATGTATAAGCTTTGTTGACATATCTAAAAAGTCCAGTTTGACATGAAACTAGAATGAGCACAGACATGAAGACTTGAAGTCTTGCATATACAGTTATTTTCACTGTTATTATAGAATCACTTTTTATAAAACAACTAAAATGTTGTCCAGTTAAAGGACCAGTTACACATATTAGTACTAATAGGGCCTACATACTAAGGGGAAATAGTTGTGATTGATAATAAGATCCATAATGTCATCTTTAATCTCATTTAATCTCATTCTCTCTTTCTTTAACAGCACATCAGTGTTTGCTGTCCAGCCTGGGTGAAACTTTACACAATAAACCTCTGATTGGGCCAACTGACTGCAGCGGTTATATTATATTTTCAGTAGCATCAGGACCATGTGGCAGAACTTGCGTACGGGGCCCCACCGTCCCTTCTGAAGCTGCTGTGAAGCTTTGTGCAGAGCAATCAAGATTACAGGATGACTGAGGGATGTTCCTTTGTCATCAAAATGCACCTTATCAGAAGTATCAGACCGCTGATCATCGAAGGCTTCCCAAAACAAAGACTTGGATTGTAATTTAGTTTGTGTGGACTTTTTTTTTTTTTTTTTGAAAAAGTGGCAGACAAAGTAAAAGGACCTTCTACATGAGCTGCAGAAATGGACTAGAAGCCCATGTGTAGCAGGGTGACTGCTGCAGCTTGTGGAATAACTTAGCCCCAGACTGTTCGGGAGTCACTCCTTCAGGGGTCCTGGGATCTGATCCCAGCACCAGACCTCTCCCCCTGTCGTCGTCTGACTATCCCACATGTCTGTTGGCAGACCCAACTATCCAATGGCATGGGTCAAGTTCTTCAGGAAGCCGGGGGGCAATCTGGGGAAATCATACCAGCCGGGGAGTATGCTGTCTCTGGCACCCACTAAAGGACTGCTGAACGAGCCGGGCCAGAACAGCTGCTTTCTCAACAGTGCTGTACAGGTCTGTCTGTCCTGTTGCTTTGGTTGTTGGTGGCTGGATTTAATTCAGCATTTTATGACAGGATTAAGCTATCAATCATGTGCCTTTGTCGATACTTTTTAAGGAGTGAAGTAGTTAAAAGTATGTCTGTTGTGAGGAACCAAGGAAGCCTCTGCATCCTTTAACCCGAACTTCGTAAAATTACTTATTTTTATTATTTACTTCAATCAGTATTTAGAAGTGTATTTTGATAAAGTTGAATAAAATCTTGAACAAAACTTCAGTCTGCAGTCATGATAGCAGCTATGGGGAGCTGTCAATGCCTTTTACACTAATGCAGCTAGTTAACAACACTTCTTTGACTGACTGGACCAATTTTGCGCATGTGCAGATGGGGATTGGGCAGACAGCACGGATTGGGCACTGACATTGCTGATTAGCATTAGTGTTGTACCTCTGTGTGTATATTGTGTAGGCTGCCTCCCTCCCCTCTCTCGCCTTCCATCCCTCTCTTTTTCTCTCTGTTCCTCCTCCCCCCCCCCCCCCCCCCCCCCCCCCCATGCCATGGTTCTGCTCGAGGTTTCTGCCTCTTAAAAGGAAGTTTTTCCTTGCCTCTGTCGCCTAGTGCTTGCTCTTGGTGGGAACTGTTGGGCTTCGGTCAATAGCATCATAGAGTACGGTCTAGACCTGCTCTTTTATGAAAAGCGCTGTGAGATAACTGTTGTTGTGATTTGGCGCTATATAAATAAAATTGAATTGAACATGTTAGTAGTGTGTTACAATGCTAACATTTGCTAATTAGCGCTAAACACTGCCATGTGTTTTGCAGGTATTTGGTCATTAGACAAAGTATTCTGGAGTAAAAGTTTTACCTGATAATGGTGCTAGATGAAAATTTTATAGATCACCATATTATTAAAATTAATCTAGAGGGGGACATGAATGTTTGTTCCACATTTCATTGCAACCCATCCAATTTTTGTTGAGATATTTCACTCAAAACCTACAAATGTTAACCTTGTATTGGCGTTTGAGGAAAGGTCACTGAATCGCCAAATTAAGTAGGCATCAACCTCTGGGGACCATGAACGTCTGTATAAAATGTTAGGCCCAACAGTTGTTGAGATACTTCAGTCTTTTCTCTTATTTTGGCATCTGCCTGTACAACTTTATTTATTCACTTGTTGCTACCTTCCTCCAGGAGTTGTATACCATCTTGTACCTACTTAAAATATGACCATTTATTTAGTCATTTCAAAACTTAGTCACTGTCTAAATTCGTCAGAAATTCCCAGTAATTTGTAAATGACTATTGGGATACTGGCTGGCAAGTTTGTTCATTATTGCAGTCAACCCCACAGTGAGGTCACTCTCGGAGACTGTGACTCAGAGGGTGAGGCAACCGATGAGCTGGTTGAGGATGATCATTACCTTCGGCTTTGTGTCTGTGAGGGAGTTGTTCCTTTTGGCCACTCCTCATCCTCATGACCTTGGAGATTCTGTCCTAATGCCCTACATAACAAGAGACCCAAGGGTGACTAGTTTTCGTACATAATAAGATACTTCCCTCTTGAAAAAAAAAAACTTCTCCTGTTCTTATGTATGCTTCATAGTTATATCCTGTAACTAAGAAATGCTCTAATGTCAAGGTCAGTGTAATGGTTTATAGTGAATCAATCCTCTTTCCCTTGTGTGTAGGTACTATGGCAACTGGACATCTTCAGACGCAGCTTGAGGCAACTACCTGGGCACTTCTGTCTGGGAGAATCATGCATTTTTTGTGCGTTAAAGGTAGAATACAATCAGAAGCATATTCAATGGGAATAAGAACATAAATGTGGCAGCTGTTTGGGTCACATATCCAGAGTGTATTGAGCAGTGATGGTGACACAAATGTTTTTAATAAACAATGTTCCATTTTCCACATGCAAACGAGTTCCTGTTCTCCTCTTCAGGGCATTTTCTCCCAGTTCCAGCACAGTCGGGAGCGCGCCCTGCCCTCTGACAACCTGCGTCACGCCTTGGCAGAGACCTTTAAGGACGAGCAACGCTTCCAGCTGGGCTTCATGGACGATGCCGCAGAGTGCTTTGTAAGTTCCTGTGGCAACCCGGCTGTCCTGAGGGAGGGAGGCTAGCGTATGGAGAGGGATGTGTGGATGTATGTGTGTTACCCTGCCTCAATGTTTGGGTAATGCACAACAAACTGTTTGGCGAGGTCACTGAAAGAGCTTCTGTCCCTCCCTTCCCCTCCCATCAACCCCTGCCACATTGCCGCTAAATATCATGATGACAGGTTATATAAGCGCCGGAGTTGTGCTTGAACCTCTTTGCTTTGTGCTACCATATTATGTGGCATCGTTTCTGTGCTTTTAAAAAGTCCAATTCATGCGCCCTTCATTTTAACATATCAGTTCCAGTTTGTGCTGCTCCTTCTGGCACAACAAATCATTGTTTAGCCAGAACTTGTTTTTCCCTAAATGCAGTGTAATTTTGTAATTTTTTATTGTTTCACTTTTATTTTGCCTCAACCAAATATATAACGGATAGTGCAGCATTTTTTATCCTTTATTTTTCAATCGTATTTTCTTTTGTCCAGCAGGCTTAATTGGTTTATTTTTTTTCCCCGTGATTTTGATCACTTCCGCTTAATACCAGTATACCCGGACAACACAGATGTATCCTGATTTGACCCCCTCCCCCAACGCAGTCGTTGTTTATCCACTTAGGAAGTCCAATTACACAGCATAAACACAAGGGAGAATCTAATGTCTCGGGAATGAAGGTGGAGAGGACTATACTAAATGTAAAACACTGGGTTGTACAAGTGTTACCAAATAAGACATTTCTCCTACAACATAATGTAAAGTTACATGTAAAGAATGCAGCGTTTGTGCTTTGTTTCTTTTTTTGTCTGCCTAGTCCCCTCATACAAAAAGCTTTTCAGCGTTTCAGCTTTTTTAACTTTTCTAAGACTGAAGCTCACGTGCCAAAGTTGCTATGTTTTATAGACCATCTTAATTCTTAATCCCACACAGATCCTTGCCCTTGAGGGTTCACCATGTAATGCATTGGCAGCAGCGTGCCGGTGCAGAATTTATGTGCGGAGTTAGCCAGTGTCAGATTAACAGGCTGTGAAGTTGTGCCTGTAACCTTTGCAGGCCTACCTCGCAGTCTTAATATTTTATAAACTCACAAGTACTCCATGGAAACAGGTGGCAGCTAAAATGGAGTATAGCTTGCTCTTTGAATGTGTTCCTTTTGCTGTCAGGTTTACAACATGACTCCTAAAACTTGAACTCTTGGTATGGAACAGTGTGTCCGGAATGAAAAAAGGAATAGCCCGTGTTGCTTGTAAAGAGGCGGCTTTACGATAACAGAGTTGGAAATACTTTGTCCCATACCTGATAAATGTCCTATTGTGTCACAGGAGAACATACTGGAGAGGATCCACCTGCACATTGTGCCGGAGGAGACCGATGCCTGCACTTCAAAGTCTTGCATCACGCATCAGAAATTTGCTATGTCACTTTATGAGCAGGTCAGTAGGGGGGTTGGCAGCAAGAAATATTATTAATGTTCTTTCACATGGGAATTTATTAGGTTTTTGTGTGTGTATGTGTTTTTTTTTTTGCTACTTCACAAATCTGTGAAAAGGTAGTGTTAAATGTGTTAATTCTTTCTTTTACTCTGAGGATGATCTGTTAGTTATTCTTTTATTTTGTCTTACTATTTTACTGTAGATGTTTTAGTTTGTTTGAACAGCATCCACAGTAATGTGTGGACAGGCTAAACACACTATTCTGTGTTAGGATTAAGCAGCACAGCGCACACACACACACAGACAGATACATGAATCACTGTCTGAGACAGTAGAAATCCAATCCGTCATGTTTTGATACTGGGTCGCCCCAGTGGAATAAGGAGGGTGTTTCTGGTCAGATTCCACAGTGCAGCAGTACCAGATAAATCACAGATGGTGTGCACATAAATTCCAGCACAGCACACATACACACCACCCTTCCCTGTGGCTGTGATGCCCATCACTGACTCTGTCCCCATCCTAAACCAGTTCTATCTCGGAATCAAACAGATAATGCGCCTTTGGACTAAATCCCTTAGGGGCACAGTCGGTGGATTTTGTTCCGCCTCAACTTCAGGGCACCCAATCCCGCAAATATTATCTAGGCCTAAATGAGGATTGCCTTGGTCAGAGGGAGATTGATAACTTCATGAATTAAATTGGATGCCTGATAATGTTAATCATTTGAGTTGGTGACTTAAAAGGATTCTGTAGAGGCCACGGTTTACAACAGATCGCAAGGGGAGCAGCAAGACAAGCGTGTCAAAGTCTCTTCTCACAGTTCATACACATTAGGAGGTTCATTTATTAATTTTTTTTTACTGCGATATCTCTTTTTGAAAATGACATGCTGACTTAATAATTAGTCACTGACAGCCGCTGAAATCTGTTTCTTTTTGTCACCCTCTTGGTCTCTGACTCCCTCCCCTCTGCAGTCTATGTGCCGTAGCTGTGGGGCATCCTCCGACCCACTGCCGTTTACAGAGCTGGTGCATTATGTCTCCACCACCGCACTCTGGTAAGGCACAGGCGAAAGGAAACTTCCTTTCCTTCCCTATCGTTGTGTGTCCCGCTCCTCTCTATTTTCACTTTCCGTGTCTCTCTTTCTGCACATTTGTCACCAGGCCGCAACTTATCTTTTTTGCTGACATATCGCACACAACCGCTTATTCTCCCCACATACCTTAATCTTTATTTGTCTCTGTCTGTCTCCTCTTACTCGCTTGTTCTCGCCTGCTGACAATGCGTCCCTTCTTTCTCAGTCAACAGACGCTTCAGCACAGAGACGAGTCATTTGGGGAACTGTTACAAGCTGCGAGCACAATAGGGGATCTTCGCAACTGTCCAGTAAGTGGCCTATGCAGAGTATTTTAATAAGCACATTGTTCAAGTTCCCTGAGAGAGAGATTTGTAACAAATACATACCCGTGTCCTGCAGAAGCCTTTCATCAGCAATTTAGCTATTAGTTTTCTTCATTATTTGTTGAATAAAGTTACGTAGTGTAGTGATTCACAAACACGTTGTTTTTGATATGCATTTTTACTGTTTACTACAGTTTTGGAGTGTACGCGGTAATTGGTAAAGTTGCTTTGGGGTGAAACTGTCTTTCTTTTTCAGAGCAACTGTGGCCAGAGGATTAGGATCAGGCGGGTCCTCATGAACTCCCCTGAGATAGTTACCATAGGCTTTGTCTGGGACTCTGACCAGTCAGACCTCACGGAAGATGTTATCAGATCGCTGGGGCCTAATCTCAGTCTTTCTACGGTGAGTCTACTTCAGCCAACATTTTATGTACATTTTACTGTTTGTTTTTTTTAACTACTACATTCATATTTTGTGACCTGTAATGTGTTGAATTCCAACATGAAAATAGAAAGTGTTTTTGTAAAAAGAAAATGCGACACTGATCTTAGTCAGATTAAAGATAGTGGTAGTTAAAAAAGACAACATTTACATGCAGCTAGAATATTTCATCACACTTTTCAGATGAAGTAATTTAAAAAAAAAACAACAGGATATAACATAAATCTCTCCGGACATGGGTCTGTTTCATTATCTATTTGGAATTTGTTCATTCACATGGCTGCCATTTCTTTCTTTTTTGTTGTTGCTGTTTTAGGGTCAGTTTATTTTGGTGCAATCGAACATATGTGGGAAATAAAGTGGGGATTTAGTTCTCTGTAAGTCGGTGCCATTGCGTAAGCAGTCAACACCCAATGCCCAGTTGGCTTGCGCCACTGATCAAAGAGCCCCTTCTGGCCTTGGTCAGCTTGTCAAAAAGCCCCTCCCCTCTGTGTTTTCCTGAGCATGTGGGTGCATGCCTGCCTGGGCGAACATGTGGGCTGACTAGACGTTACTGAGACATGTTCAAGACTGCTTTTGTTGCAGTGTTTATATTTGCACACTCTTGATAGTAAGGATGCACAAAATGTGGGCATGTGTCATCACATCAAAATCACATCTTCACAAACATGTATAGAGTCCAGTTGTCTGCGGTGTTCACATGACATATGTATGTCAAAAAATTGGCACATGACTTGCTAAATATTCCTCAGTAGCCTGTTCTCATCAGAAGGCTGTGTTGGGTAAGCGTCCAAAGCACAAAAATCAATCGTGTAGTGCAGATCAGGACAGTGCTCATACACATTACGTAACTTCTTTATTGAAGTATTCAAAACCATTTTGTTTTGAAAGCTCCCTCTTGCGCCTTTCCAAACCGTGGAAATGCCCCCACCCCCACCCCCTCTTCCCACTAGTGCGCCACAAAGGCCTTGATTCATTAGGGAGCGTTTAATGTGACTTTATTGGGTGTTAAAGGGAGCCCTCCACCCCCATCGTTTGCTTTGAAATCTATTGTTTGAGAGAGGAAGACCGAGGAGTGCCTGTGCAGGAAACATGAGAGGCTGAAATAAGTGGCTGTCTCGTTCTTTTTTTCTTTCATATTTTTACAGTATTTATGAAAGAAAATGCATTTGAAAATACCACTGTATATTAGTATGTAGGCCATCAATAAGAAGACTACTGACCACTCTAGTATTAGTCTAGATATCTGACTGCTTATTTAAACCAGCCCTTATTCGTACTGATTGTCAAATCAATGCCGGTTCATTCCCTCAGACCTTAATCTATAAACATACGGAGTAACCGATTCCACTAGCTATCAGCATCACTCACTTTCCAGCCCACTTAGTGTAGTGTTGATGCCAATGAGGTGTGTGTGTGTGTGTGTGTGTGGAGACAGCTCTTCTACAGGGTAACAGATGATCATGCCAAAAAGGGAGAGCTGCAGCTCGTGGGGATGATCTGCTACTCCAGCCGCCACTACTGTGCCTTCGCCTTTCACACCAAGTCTTCCAAATGGGTCTTCTTTGATGATGCCACAGTGAAAGAGGTGAGACGGTGCGCACTGGTGCTGAAATCGATTGTTAATTATGTAAATTAGCTGATAAACAGAAACTTAATCAACAACTGTTTTAATGTTATTTATTGTGGAAAAATGCCAAACACATTGTCTGGTTTATTTAAATATGAGGATTTGCTGCTTTTCTTTGTTTTATGTCATTATAAATTTAATATTTTTACTATGGACTGGAATTTCAAGACATCACATTGTGCTCTGGAAAATTAGTAATTAATGTATACACAGCAACACAACACAGAGCTTACTGCACACAGATGAGAAGCTGCATTGTCATGTTTTTATATAGGAGTCCAATGAATTAAAGAGTTGCATCTTGTGACAAAAAAGGGTTAACTTTTTATGTTGGGTTGCTTTTCTTAAATCTTCAGTTTGGGCATCAGGTTATTGGTGTACAGGTGGATCACAGTTTCAAATATGGAAATATTTATTCATAAAAATGCTGTCTAAATAATAGTAGAGTAGCGATGTCTCCCATTTCCATCACCTAGTGTCTTTATTGCCCAATAAGGGCACATCGATTGCCCTTCATGAGCCTCTGGGTTGATAAGCATTCATGGCGCTGAAGAGTCAGCTAACCCCCAAAACCCCACCCCCATTTCTACTGCAGTTCCCCAACTCTGTCATTACGAAGTACTGCAGCAGTCAAGTGAAGCTTAACTGGTAAAGATTATTTTACAGATCACTTCACTGGTTAAAGTGGAAGGGTCATTAAGAAAGCGCTAAGTTGCACTGAGTAGGTTTGTATGCTGTCTGTGTATGAGAAAGACGTTTTATTTTGTTTTTGTTTGTTTTTTGCAGGCGTGTGTATGTGTGTATGCGTGCAGTATATAGAGCTCTGGATCCTTTCACCTATTCCTTCCTGTTTTTCTAAATATTGGATTTTATTTTCATGGTGCACATGTGAGCATGCCTTTTGTCTCACATCCTCACAATTTTCTCCGGGACTGTGGTGCAGCGGCTGGCTGGCTGGCTCTCTGTCAATCCATCAGCAGCTTGTGCTGTGTGTGCACCCCCGTTCCCACCCACCCTCCTCCCAACTGAGATGGAGGAGCTACAATGCAGAGCGCTGCCAAGTCCATACCTGGGTCGAAACTTGCCGCATTTCTGTGTCTCCCTGAGTCCCAGGCGCTTAATGACTATGACTGTAGTGTAGCCTGGTCGCTGCTTTTCCAGTGCATGAGAAATTCTTTGTCTAATGAGGATGACAAAATACAGCTATTAGCAAATAGTGACAAAATTGTCTCTCTTTTTATACCATTGTTAGTTACAGTACTCGTACCTGTGCCAGGGCCATTGAGAATTCTCCATTCAAAAAACTCTTGTAGCTGACAATGTAACTCAACACCTGACACAGGCATCACAGGTATTTGTCATTTAAAAGAAATCCATCAGTAGGTTGTGTCGTAGCTACACATTTAGTTTATGCAGCCAATAAAACATTCAGACAAGCAGGTGCAAAGATGATTACAGCCTCATGGCGCCGCTAAGCACTGAGCTTTGTTTACAGTGGTTTTTACATAGTAAATATTAAGCATACATTGTTTGTTCTTGTCTTCCTCCTGCTGGTGTATATTTCTCCATCCACAATCTGTTTATTTGTTGACTTTATAGCCATCTCTGCAACATTCCTTTCTTTGTGTTTCCTTTGTTTTGCTTTGCATTCGTTCTTCTTTACCTCATCTTTCTATCGCTCCTCCTCCTCCTCCTACCTACCCACCTACTTACCCCCCTCTTCCACTGTCATTTACTTAATTAAGGAGCACACAAGCATCTGTTAGCCTGCAGCTTTCCTTTGTGGGGCGAGACACGCACCTTACACAGCTTAGCTAATGTGATGTGTGCGATTTGGCCTCAGTGTGTTACATTCACTCACAAATGAGACTATGCACAATAAAGCTGAGGTTTTTGTTTTAGATTTGCCAGTTCATTTTATGATCATTTACAATCATTTTCTGTCATTTTCTGTTTGGTGAAGATTGAAGCCTCTAGAGCTGGGTATTGAAGGGTTCTGTTTGTAAGAAGTTAAAATGCTTTATATCAGATCAGTTATACAACAAAACGTTTTTGATACCTCTCTCTAAAATGAAAACAGATGGGGTCACAAGAAAGCAAATTATCCTGTTATGTCTGCACAGTCTGTCTGCTTTTCTAAATTGAATTGGACCATGGTTGCTTGATTTCCCATTAGGAAAATCCAAAACTTTTAACCCTCTTTTATATCTAATATCTTTTATATATCTAAAGAAATTCATCCCCAAAGCGTGTCGATGACAGTGTTCTCACACAGAAGAATCCTGTGAATGTTTGTTTTATTTTGATTTGTTTCCATGTGTATTATATCACACATAATGGTGCCGAATTCCTGTGTCTAATGTGCTTAAATCTGCACGTACATGTGCATTGACCAGCTTTTCTTTGTGTTTTGCTGTAGATCGGTTCCAGGTGGAAAGATGTGGTCAGCAAATGTATCAAAGGTCACTTCCAGCCTCTCCTCCTCTTTTACTCCAACCCCGACGGGAGTGCTATCACAGCAGATGATGCCTCAAGACAAAACAGCAGCCAGTCCCACTACAAGACTACTGTTGATGTAGAAGTGCAAGGTAGGATCTGTCCATGTGGGTGGTTTAAAAATCAGTCTTGCTTCTGTATTTGTGTAACTTAACTATTTAGCGAACTTTTACTGGAATAAGGACTCGGGAAAACAACAATGTCACTGCATATGTTCTGTTTGCGATATAGTTACGTTGTATCAGGTAAGATGATGTGCTTTTAATTAATAACATCAGATTCCTTTGAGATGCATTTCTCTTTGTTATTGGTGCTGTTGAGTGTTTTTCTTTGCTTTCACGAACAATAATCCCATCCCAAGTGACCTCTTATAATTCTATACTGTAAAACACCCATAATTATGAAGCTGAGACGTGTCTTTTTTATCTTTTTTTTTTTCCTGTCTTGTCGTAAGAACAGTGCTGGACGTGGAGGGAATAAAAGAACTGTGAAGAACGTTTTGGCAGTACTAGCTGGTTGAATGCAACATCAGAGTTTAGCCAAAAGTTTCTTTACACTTAAAATTGCTTGCCTTGAAAAGCAATTAATAGTCTGAAGTTTTATGTAAATATTTAAAAGTGTGACGTATTTATCTTCTTTTGACCTATTTGCCTCTGCACACCCAGCTGGAGTTAAGTGTATGACTAAGAACAAGTGTCCTTTTATGTGTAGATAGAAATTTGAAAAGACATGTTTTTACTTTAAATTCTTGCAATGCATTCATTTAATTAACTGCAAATAAAAAGAGAGAAACATCAGCAAACCAAAAGCAACTCTTTGTAGGACGTGTAAAATCCCAGATCATATTAGTTGCCTGCAGGCAGTAATGAAAATTTGGTTAATGACAACAGCTGAACATCTCTGCCGTTTGGATTATGTATCCCTGGATTTGTTTGGTTGGGGAGGTTTTTATCCCCTTCAAAGATCCTCCTCCAACTCTCCATGCTGGCCGTGCCCCAGGTGCAAGCTGTGGCAGCTGCTCACTGCCCATCAGAGCTGACAGGGCGTTGGACCAAACTGGATGATCCTACAAAAACCAAAGACATTATATGGATTTTGTAATTTAAATTATGTTTCTTAGTTTCAGGTGTAGTCCGTGCATTTATCATAAAACATAAGTAACAAGGTTTATTCTGTTTTTGTTGGATAAAGACAATCCTGCATATGTGGCCTGAGCTTGAAAATGTAATCTTTTTGTGACTCCCTTTTCCTCCTCTGCAGGCTTTGAGCCTCCAGTTTCAGCCCCCAAGAAGCTGGACCTCACCAGGGAGAATCTGAACGCTCTGTTGGGCCAAGCCATTTTCAAAGAGAAGACCCCGTCGACCTTCAGCAGGGGCAGCACTCAGTACAGTGCAGGACGGGGACCAGGTAAGACGGGAAACATGGAAGGACTGAATATGTTTAGAATGCAAAGCGAGCAAGAGAGATTCGTAACCCAGCATGTGGAGGAACACACTGCAAAAATTCCATTTTAACAAGCCATTTAATCAAGTGCTGGAGACTGGAAAAAAACTGTAAGATATTTTCCTTGTCTCCACTGAAAATGACAGAGATTGTTCCAACATTACAAAGAAGTATCAGTCTAAACAAAACTATGGTTTAAACACACAATATGTGCTTTCGGAAATGGAGTGTTTTGCCGTGATCAAGAGAGAAAAACAGGAGATGAGTCATGCAGTGTGGTGGTTATAGTTCTTAGCCTTGAAAGACTGCTTAATTTATAAATATTTTTCACAGAGAGAGGTGACAAGCATGGATCTGGCATAGCAACCAGAGGAAGACAAAATTAAAGGTCTTTGCTGTAAAACTAACTTGGCTGTGTTAGTAATACAGAAGAGATTAGGAGAAAGGTCACACAGGTCTGCCAATTCTGCACACATTCAAGACAAGTGCAAATTAAGATTTAAGATGAGTAAATGAAAAGATTATGAAACAATATGTTGCTGGAGCAGACAAAGGTGAAATAGCATCTCCTTTTAATATTATTGCACGTTGCATTGTCATTGCGTGGCTGTGTAAAGTTGTGAAGGTCCTAGAGACCTATGTGTCATTGTTTCCCCTCACTTGAAGGCTTGTTGCTTCATATGTGGTGTAGGGAGGGAATGTTGCAGTCAATACAATTGAAGGCTCAGAGCTTTCCGAAAACACCGCAGTCAAATTTGAAGTCAAATTATTAAGCTTTGAGTCATGTATCAAACTGTTACAGTTTGTTTTTTTCTGTGCTGAAGAGAATATGGAGTCCTAAAAATGCAGTCTCAAACAACACCTGGGGCCTCATTTATAAACGGTGCATACGTACAAAACAAAGTGCGTACGTCACTTCCCAAGCAACGGTTGTGATCTATAAAAAAACAAACTTGACGGGAGAATGTGTGGTCCTCGAACTGTGTCGGTGACGACACTATGGGAACGCCTCTGGGCGTGGCAGGGCTGAAATATGAATGAAACTACTCTAATCCTATTGGTGTTGCTAGAACGGTAGCGTGTGACGGCGTAACTGGAGGCATATATAAGCACGCCGGCACACAGGACACATTAGCCCTTTTCGATTCAGCAGGCACTCTGGCATGTTTGAAGACCAAAGTTACAGCAAAAACCGAAGAAGCTCTTACCTGGAAGCCAGTTACGCCTCCCCCCAAGGCATCGTTCCGAAAAAAAAAAAGCTGCTCTGCACGGCTGTGTCTCCTCTGCTGGACTACAGCAGCGTGACAGAAACTAAGCAGCATGGCTAAAGAGAACGGAACGATGACTTGACTTTCTCCCACCCTCGCTTCGTTCCTTCAGATGTCAGCGCTCCCCACCAAGCTGTGTCGGACGAAACATCTGCTTTGGTGGGCAAGGCCTACATGGCAGCGGGTCGAGCTGGTGCAAGCCTGCACACCATGGCTTGCAGGCGTACCAGGCCGATCTTCTCAAGACTATGACCTAGGGGGAGGTCCCTCTGAGGAGGACCTGACTTAGCTCCGTAGAGCTACGGACTTAAACGCTCCGTGTTACTAAGCATTGGCTGCTCCACGGCAGCATTGGAGCGCCATCTGTGGCTCAACCTCTCGGGCATCCAGGGGAAGGAGAAGGCTTTTCTCCTGGATGTGCCCCTCTCTCCTACTGGCCTGTTTGGTGAGGCGGTGGATGCTGTCATCAGCAGGTTTCAGCACGCTGAAACGCAGGGAGAGGCGTTTGAGCAATATCTCCCCCGGCTGAAGAGAAACCGGGACGTGAGGCGGCGCTCTCCGGCCCCAAGGGGCTGGTTCCCTTGGCGGATTTTGTAGAAGCATGGCCTTGCAAACATTTCCCTGTGGGTCCTGCGCACCATAGTGGATAGCTACAGGCTGCAGTTCCGGGTCCACCCCCCGCAGAAGTTCAACGGGGTGGTCTGGACTGCAGTGCACGCGGGGCAGAGCCAGGTGTTGGGACAAGAAGTTGGCTCTCTGCTGGAAAACGGGGCCAGAGAGCTTATTTCCCCGCCAGTCAGGGAGTCCGGGTTCTACAGCCGGTACTTCATAGTTCCCAAGAAGGACGGATGGGTTGCGTCCGATTTTGGATCTGCGGTCCCTGAACCAATCTCTGAGGAGGTTCAGGATGCTCACCATCCCCGCCATCATCAGTCACATCCAATCCGAGGATTGGTTTGTCACGATAGATCTACGAGACGCATATTTCCACATCTCCATCCGTCCCTCTCACAGGAAGTTCCTGAGGTTCGCCTTCAGGCGCGGTGTACCAGTATCGGGTTCTTCCGTTCGGCCTAGCACTCTTTCCTCGCACGTTCACCAAATGCATGGATGCAGCTCTGGCTCCGCTGAGGCTCCAGGGCATCCGCATATTAAACTACATCAACGACTGGCTCATCTTGGCTCAGTCTCGGGAGTTAGCGGTTCGGCATCGAGATGTCGTCCTCACCCACCTTCAGTGTTTGGGGCTGCGGCTCAACGCGAAGAAGAGGATGAGACCCGGGACTCGTTCCAGGCTTCCCACCTGGGACCTGGCGGTGGTTCTCGAAGCGCTGGCTGAGGCCCCCTTCGAACCCCTGGAGTCAGCTGAGGCCAAGCACCTGACCCTTAAGATGGCCTTTCTCCTCACTATCACCTCTCTGAGGAGGGTGGGGGATCTCCAGGCACTTTCGGTGTCTCCGCAATGCCTGAAGTTTGCCCCGGGGAGGGTCAGAGCCATCCTGCACCCCTGTCCGGGCTATGTCCCTAAGGTCCCATCCAGGTTGGCAGGGTCCACGGTGCTGCAGGCGTTTCAACCCCCACCTCATGTGACGGCGGAGGACGGGAGTCTTCATCTGCTCTGCCCTGTCAGAGCACTGAGTATTTACACTCTGAGGTCTTCCCGGTGGAGGAAAGCAGACCAGTTGCTGGTGTGTTTCGGGTCCCCCAAGGCTGGGCTCCCCGCTTCCAAACACACGATCAGCAACTGGATTGTTCAGACTATTTCCCTGGCCTATCAGGTGCGCGGGTTACCTTCACCTATGGCCGTAAGGGCGCACTCTACTCGAGGCATGGCGGCTTCTTGGGTCCTCCTCGCAGGGGCGTCGCTCCAGGGTTTGTGTGATGCGGCTGGCTGGGCCACCCCTCACACATTCATCCGGTTCTACAGTCTGGACCTTCCTTCTTCACCCGGCACCCGTGCGCTCTCCTCCTAGTCGTGCCGTCAGGTTCTGCACGCTGGGGGCAGACGGGGTTTCAGCGCGGCCTAAGTGGGTATTCTCGTTCCCATAGTGTCGTCACGACGCAGTCTCTCGTTCCCCTTCTCAGGGAACAAGGGTTACATACGTAACCCGAGACGTTCCCCTTCGAGGGAACTCGAACTGCGTCGGTCCGCCACACCTTACCCCGCCTGGAGTGCCTTGCTTCATAGAAAAGGGCTAATGTGTCCTGTGTGCCGGCATGCTTACATACGCCTCCAGTTACGCCGTCACACGCTACCGTTCTAGCAACACCAATAGGATTGGAGTAGTTTCATTCATGTTTCAGCCCTGCCACGCCCAGAGGCGCTCCCATAGTGTCGTCACCGATGCAGTGTCTCGTTCCCCTTCCCGGGGAACAAGGGTTACATATGTAACCCGAGACGTTTTTTACCCACCAAACAACATGCTTCAGCTTCAGCAAAAGAAACGTCACATTTAACGTCACTGAGTCACTTTCATTTTATAGATTTTCTGTCAGAATTTGCCTCCTTTTCTCCATACAGTCAGCAAGTATTAATATTTATGAGGGGCGTTTCACTGACCATTAATAGGCATTATGGGCGTTTGAAGGGTCACATTTCTAGTTGACTGATTTATAAAAGGAACTTTGCTTACATGTGTGGGTACGCACAGTTTTATAAGTCTGAATATTTTTTGGTGTACGTCATTTTTGGCTTTTGGGCGCACGTACACTTTTAGTGAGGATTCTACGCACAGTTTTATAAATGAGGCCCCTGGTATTTTCCTAAACGTCAAGTTCTCCTCAGAGTGATTCCTGTTGAAATCTCAGACAGCTAACAGAACCACAGTATGATCATGTTTTCCAGGGCCATGACTAATCATTGCGTTTCAAAGTGAATATCTGCAGAGACGGGGCAGAGAAGTCTCTGCGTGGCCATGTTACACTCCGCTGCGTTTCCCCTCATGTAGCAGAAAGTGTACTGTATACATCGGCACAGGGATGTGCTGCAAAGTTCGCCTTCGTCTACACACTCAGCAACTGCACAGTGCCTTGGGGGTGTTGGCGACTAAGAGATGGAAGACGGTGACAAGGGAAAGGATGTAGTGACAATAGATATCCATATGTACACTGACAAAAAAAATACTTTTAATGGTGTTTGCAGTTTCAACTGCAACAAATGAAAAATTCAGCATTAATTACACACTGGTTACATGCCCTCTGGCCCTTATTTGGGAACTTGGGCCAAATATCTGATGCTATCTCTTTTGTTTTGTAGTGAAAATTGCCACCATCGATCCCAAGAGTCGCCTCAGGGAGATTTCTCGAGAAGTTGCCCAGAGAGCAGGAGAGGTCCGTGGCATGCATCCATTCAAAAAAGAGCCTGATAGGAGAGGTCAACAGAGGCCGGAGGCACGCTACAGAGGTTGGTCACAGATAGATAGTATTTGGCTGTTTAGATGTGAACTGCACATGTGGTGCAACACATAAACATACACGTGAGAATTGCCAGGCTTTATGATACAAAGGGCTAGCCTTTCACTTCCCCACCCCTTATGTAACCGTCAGTTCGGGAGTAATGTGTCAGAAAGGGGATTAAGAGCCTGCCTTCATCCCACTCTCTCATATTTAGAACTGTTGGTTATCCTGTCTGTGTTCTACCTGAACATTTACAAACAAACATACACTATAAACTAAGCAGATTCAACCAAATAGTGATAAGAGCCCCAAAAAATTGAACTTTCTCATGTTCCGCCGTCCTTTGACCTCAGAAATTTAGTGTGTGTGTTCTAATCAGTAGGCTGATCAGTCCACTCCTTTAATACTCTTTTAGTACATCACTGCTTTCAATTAAGTATCAGTGAAGGGATTATGGAGCACAATTGTAACAAGCTCCCAAATCCACCACATCAACAGCACCAGCCTGTGTTAGCAGCGAGCTCACGTCCCATTATGATTGAATGCAGTAGGCTAAAGGAGACTAGTGTCGTTGCCGTGATGAATGGCGAGGCTGGAGGTGACACTACAGTTAATGTAAGTAGCAAGAATTTACCGCAGGACGGCCCAGGCTAGCACTTTGCTAAAAATCCAGAAAAAAATACTTAAGCTTAAGGAACTTTGCAGCTGATTTTGGACTGTGGGAAAACCCCAGAGTATTTCTAAACAATCTCTGACTGTTTTGATGTAGACATGTTACCATTCTTCCAAAATGGTCCACAGCGTGTGTGTGTGTGTGTGTGTGTGTGTGTGTGTGTGTGTGTGTGTGTGTGTGTGTGTGTGTGTGTGTGTGTGTGTGTGTGTGTGTGTATAAAATAATTTATATATAAAGTAAAAACGTTGTTGGAAGTGATTTAACTCTGGCACACAGTCAGCAAAATCCAAAGAAATAAGGGCTACATCTCATGCAGGCTTATTTCCAAGGGCTGACAGTTATATGTAGTATTAAATTCACTTTTTATACCCTCAAACACGATGGTACCACAGATCAGATTTTCCCGGCCATTTAGGGGATCCAATACAAAGCATGCTGCCTCTGATTTAGGCACCATCAGCTTTAAGTTATGAAAATGCACTGGATAGATGAACCTTCCGATTTAAATGAAGCCCTTTTTAACATACTATAATACCATATTTTTTCCCTGTAAAGTAAAATGGAATTGGACATTTTATTTAGAAATCTAAAACAAAACATGTGCATGCTGTCTGTGCCATGTAGATAAATAAGGGCGTGTGAGTGCATGTATAGTTTGACATGAATAAACTACTTTCCAGGAAGGATGTCTGGTCATATATTTTGAAAATGGCTATTATGGCTGGAAGTGTCCTTGGAATAGCGGACACACATCCATAACACACCATCATGTGCAGAAATGTCACTTGTGCATTTGGAAAACATGCATGTGTGCATATGCACACAAAAATACACCAAAGTGCTATCTTTGATCATGAGTATCTGCGTGAAAGTCTCTATGCTATCTGGCTACCCTCTGTGTACACACCATTGGAAGAAAATCGACTCCTGTCACCCATAATTTACACCTTCCTGTCATCTGTAGACATAAATGTCAGTAACCCTGTTGTCGTCATGCCCTTCCCTCACTTTCTGCCCAACCTGCACTATGCTTTAGCACGACTTTGTGCCTTGGTATCAAGGTGTAAGTGTAAAAAGTGTAAAAGTACATTTTTGACTTGGCAATGTTATTCATGACATTATCTTTTGGCATGAGGTGCTGCAGGAAATACATGACACATGATCTTGATTCAGCCTTGTGTGGCTGCTGTGGAACAATGTTAGCGCTCCCACTTGTGAGTTTTGGGAAGGTGGTGAAGAGGTTCGTTACAAAGTAGCAATGGGTGTCGATGGCGCAGTGGATAACACACATGCCTTTGGGTTCAATTCCCACTGTGACTTATCCACCATTGTGTCCCTGAACAAGACATTTAACCCATTGTTGCTCCATTGGCGTGCAACCTCTGACATGTATAATAATTGTAAACCGCTTAGCATCAGCTAAATTAATAAATGTAATGTAATGTTTCGAGCCCCAAATTTGGTCAGTCTCCATCGCCTTTTCTAAATGTTAACATGTTTCTCCCATCCGAAATGACAGCTAATCTAATCTAAAACCATTACTGGCTAGCATTAAATATATATCGTTATACTGTAGAGAATAATGCAGTTGAATGACTTCTCTGACAAACTCCTACCCCACTCTCCTTTAAACACCATTCACTTTCTGAAATCTACAGCGTAACCCACTGTATTTTTTTCATTCATTAATTAAATTGATTTACAACAACATGTCACTGGTTAAGATAACCAGGTACTTTAGATTGTATGGAGTAATGGAATTATACACTTTTCTTTGTTCTGATATCTGATAATATCGGTCCTGCTCCCTAGACCTCGGCATCGGCGTCTGTTATTGGAGAACTCATATTGGTCAACCGCTAATGTGTTCTTCTGTTCGCATAGTTTAAGCTCTCATGAAACTTCTTTTGTTTAAAACCAGATCCAGGTCAGGACAGGACCTATTCCCGCTCCGCCTCCCCTCCAGAGAATGGCTTCAAAAAACACCTGGAACCTCGACTGTACAGCAGCCAAGGAAAAGGTCCCACTCGGACTGAGCGAACCCCCCACCTTGGTGGACGGTCCTCGCATGAGCCCCCTCCCTATCACTCGAGGGTCCAAGTGTTGCCCAGTGGGCCTAGTGGGCCCAGCATCAGCAGTGGTCAGCGGAGATTAGGACAGCTCTCCAATGGATACGATACTGACAGCAGCCAAGACTCCAGAGATCGTCCTGTAAGTGGAGGGAACAGCCGAAGCAGGGCCAGCCGCCCATGGAAGCCCACTCGGGAGGCGCTAAATGTGGACAGTGTTGTAAGAGGGAGTAGCAGTGGTATTACAGTAAATCAAGAGCGAAGGCAGCACAGCCCCCGGAGAAGACCCAGTAGTCAGTCACCCTCCCGAGAGCGAGACAGAGATTTTACGTGGGGAGGCAAAGAAGAACGCAAACCCAAGAGCCTAATGACCATCTATGAGGATGAGCAGAGGCATGAAACAGGTGGCAGCCGAAGCTCGCTGGACTCAGATGGCCGGGGTGGCTACAGCGACAAGGACAGGTCAAAGGGCTCAGCAGCTCTAAAAGTACGGAATGACAACTGGAAGATCCAGCGAACTGAATCTGGATATGAGAGTAGTGACAGACTAAGCAATGGCTCAGCAAATCTTGACTCACCTGTGGTAGAGAACCTTTCTTCCAAGGACCTGCGGCCCATACCTGAGCTGCAACTGACAATGTAAAGTACACACAATCTTGGCACTGCAAAGTATGATTCAGAAATGGCTATTGCATATTTTTTGCTGTGTGATGCAAGCTTCAGTATGCTGCTTTGTCATCCCATGCCCTCCTCATTTAAGGATTTGAGTCTCAAAAGTGCTGCCATTTTTAAATGATTAAACATTACAAACAAACTGTTCTAAGAATAGCAAGACCCATTTAACATAAATGCACACAAGGCAGATGCGCCAGCCTTATTATGCTGGGCTGTCATTTGTTGGCTTTGTAGTACAGGTCTTGTTTGGAGATAATGATCCAAAGTAGCTGACAACTCTTTACTCAGAGGGGAGAGCCAGCAGATAGCTGACTTCCTCAACCACTAGTGCATTATTCAAGCCTATCTCTTGACAAAGTGCTCCTTTTATTTATTAATTCTTTAACATATAGTTGGGATGTTCAGTGATTGGGTTAAGGCCTGAAATGACTAAAAATGTTTACATTTTATGATTTTTTTTTTTTTTTTTTTTTTTTGGGAAGTACCTTTTTTCCACCAGTTTTTATTTGGTTTATTACAAAATCTTAATACACTTAATAGCAGATACAAAGCATATCACTGGAGAAGAGGAAACCACTGGTGCCACATAATAAACAACTACAACAAAGGATAAAAACATTTAAAATATCACGAGCACGAGTTGTTTTGACAGTAAGATGTTTGGACATGATCGGTCTTCACATTCAAAAAAACAATGTTGCAGGAATTAGTATCAGATTACACCGCTGTAAATCATTCATGATAGGAATATATATTTAGGCTGAGGTCATGAGGGTTTATTTCCCCTTTTTTGCTTAAAGCACAGATCCATCTTAATCCGTTAAAGCAGTTGGTAAAAGATCAAGCCCTGGAATATCTTGTGGCAATCCACAATGCATGAATAAAGTAATTCATTTTGTATTTTAGGGATCAGTTCCCTCAGAGAAGAAGCGATGATTTGAAGGCTGACGTATTGGTCTCTAAAGTTTCCACAGGTAAGTAACTCTTTCACACGTTTTGATTTCTGCACACCAGTAACTATGTTGTAGCAATGTCTGCCTATTCTGTATATTCCTGGCGAAACATGTGCACCATCAGGGAGAGCTAGCATTTAAATATGCAGCGGTTAAGGTTTGTTATATTTAGACATTTGGTAGAGGTTTCATTAAAACAAAAATATGAAATGCTCAATATTTAAACACATAAATCCAGAAGAGATGTAGATTTTCTGTGTGTTACATTGTGGAGATAGGTCACAATTGAAGGTATTGCTCTCTCACAAAGGCTTGTCCCTGACTTTACAGACATTTCCTCTGCCCGATAGACTTCCGTGTGTTGTAAGGATCTGAAACATTAAGATAGTACTGAGCAATTTCCTTGATTTATTGTTCCATCAGTAGTGGTAAGGTCACAGCCTGATGGAAGGGATTCTGTATGGAAATAAGTGTGCTCTGGTTCCTCACTGCCTGGCCTTGACCTTTTTCTTCCCTGAGCAAAGTTTATGTAATGCAGCAACCAGAGTAACGTACATGGGCCCTAAAGGAAACATCAACCCAAGTGGAACACTGGTTAAATAAAAACAAAATGAAACACTTTCAACATTGACAGAAATAATAATCCTGTTTTCTATTAGGTTTTCTATCCTTCCCCACACACTACATAAAAAAGTAAAATGGGAAGTAGTGAAAATAGAACCTCAAGGGCTTTAACTGTTCAACTGCAGTGGATAATGTCATAAACATTTCGATCCATGGGGATACAAAATCGGGGGGGGGGGGGGGGTCACAACTACTGTTAAAGAAAAAAAATATACCCCTCAAATATGAGTCATGTTGCAACTTAGCAATAATGGTTATTTTTAACTTCTAGACAGGACGGAGGGAGATTAGATGACATGAATAGCTCAAGGGGGTTTGTCGCCTAGACACCCTTCACATTCTTTATCTAGCACATGCTTGCTTGTGATACACAGTATCAGCACAGAGATAAAGAAGGAAAACATCTTTTAAATTACCAAATATCTTGGAAAAATGCCCCCCTAATTCCCCTCAACAGGAATAGACCGAGTTAATCCCGAATAAGAGGGGGAGATGGGTCAGCTTTTAGGGGCCACCCAGCTGTGCCTAGTCGGGCAGAAAATGCCACCACTGGGCCTGTCAGAAGGTGGTGTTCAAACACGAGGCAAGGAAAATGCAATTTTGTAGCAGTGCAGTTAGTTCTTGGTCTGAAAGAGTTAGGAAATACAGCACAGGAACAGCAGCTACAATTTGTTATCTGTCTTCAGTTTTATTCAGTTAAAAATAGCTTTCACACAAGTGTGGTGAGTTGGGGAAAGAGAATGAAAAAGGCATAGTGCTAAATTCTGGACTTGTCATTGGCCTACAAGGATCTGCACATGCTGAGTGATTCATGTGAAAGAGACAAACACTTCTGTGATAGGCATGGTTATTCATTCACTCCTCCAATATCCCTTTTCAGATGTATATCTCAAAATATATAATTTATTGTTAAAGAATGTATTAAATTTTCCTCAAATTATCATTAAGGAAATCTGTGTACATAATTGCTTGCACAGACCTACATTTTGTACATTTTTGGATGAAAGGCACTCCTTAATGCTTTTATTTACCCTTCTAATGCTGTTTGCCCCCTAGTTCTTTAAGGGAGATATGACGGTATACAGATAACCCATATAACCTGGATGAATCACTTGCCTCCTTTTTTTTTGTACAATTTCATAAAACATTGGTATTTGAAAAGCATCTACAACTGTGTTTTGAGTTAGTCTTGATTAATTTGATGAATGGGTTGAAATGCTGAATTGTCAATTGCTGGTCCTATACCTGGCTAAAATCATGGATTTGAGGTCTATTGTTCATTAGCTATTTTAAAGTCAGTATGGTATATTTATGCCCTGCTGCCTTCACATTGTATTGACAAGCTGCAATAAATGTGTCCAAAGTCAATTTGGCTAGAGTTCAGTGGCGGTAGTCTGTCGTGAGCTGCAGTTTCAGAGAAGGCTGAGCAGATTCCAGTAGTCCATTAAAGTCCAAAATCCTTTCTAAAAGCACACAGATGTGGGAGGGCAGTTGTGAGGAGTTCAGTTGACATGTTGACAACAAGCATTCATTCTTTGACTGCATCAAAGAAGTCTGAAGTCTAGGCCGGGGCCCTTCTTGGTTGCCTGGATGACGACTTTTGTCCTTGTGAATAAATGTCATTGAGCTGCATTATACCAAAATGGTAGCAAAACATCCTGTATACAACAGCGTGAAAGAGCTCACGGCTGTCACGAGATGGGTGCACTTCAGCCTGCTATGTTGACAGTGAACCACGCCTTTTCTCAGTTTGTCCTGATTGGCTTCGATGGTTACTGCAGACCTCATCAGCAGTCCTGTTATGACTCACTTTGCACCTGACCATATCGTCTTCAAAGTTGTGATAACACAAACAGTGAAGGTGTGTACTTAACTTGGTCCTAAAGTATCTGTAATACAATGTTTGAATTAATTTGTATGAGACAAATGTCCCTATCTGAAACAACGCTTATGAGTTCAGAAAACGCTAAAAAGTAAATTTGATCCCTTATCTGATTAAATAGATTTGTTATCCATTGCGCTTGCTTGCATACATCTTCTGCAGTGAAAGTGTGTCCGTGAGTTAGCCGTAAAGCTACTTGGCTTAGCCCATCTATGGATGCCACTTAACAAGCCAGTGACTGATGTGATAACCATAGTGTTAATGCCATGGCATGAGTACATGCTTCTGTTGTGGCATTTGGCATAATGGTCCTATGCCCGTGCCATATCAACACTCACAGAAACAAAGGCTATTCCAAATAATTTTTTTGAAAGAATTGTGTAGAGAGATAAAATTGCTGTAAACTTGACATTTTTGTCATGTTTTCTACCCACACAGTTCAGGTCTTAATGAAAAGCCGAACTGCAAATATGCATGCAAGGCTGATTGATGTTCAAGAATTTTAAGCACCCCAGACAGCAGAACGCAGAGAACTACAAATTGCGACTTGACAGCCTTAGAACTGAAATGTGTAGAGGTTTTTTTTATTTTTTTTTTGTGGCATCAACAAAACTTCAAAGGGCTGTCAGGAATTTCTGCATGTACAATTTCTCTAAACCTTGTTAGGGTTTGCTTTCATGGTCTGTATAGAGGCACATTTTTGTATTTCTTCTGGGAGTTTAACCACTCTGGCAGTTGGAATAATTGAAATGATGTCAGATCACTTCCCCTCAGTTAAATGTCCCGAGTAACTTTTTAGTGGATAACAGCAGGCCTAAACAGGTGCTTCTCTTGAACATTTCTCAGAATGATCCTTTTATGCTGGAATGGGATTAGAGACAGATCTGTACGTGATTTACATGAGTAGAGTATCTTTTATAAGTCCTTAAAAGATGAGTATATAGTAGTGCAAGTCGACCACTGATTTCTCACACATTTGGAAAGTGCAAAAAAAACATGTATGCATATGAGACAGCTTCGCTTTCTTTAATCCTATTTAGCAACTTGATGTTATGCTTTCCACTTAACATGGGAATGTCAGGGAAATGTTATTGCACACCACTTGGTGCAGTTTAGACAGTACATTAAATGTCGCTGAACCACAGTCTAATCCATGCAATCACAGCACATGGACTGTTTCCCAGGCAAGTGCAGTAGGCCATGTAAACAGCAGGACACCTTTAGTACATCTGCTTTCCTGGCGTTCGCAGCTACAGCAGTGATCCCAAAATTCCACTGAAATGAATGTTTTCTGGAGATCAGCCAGACCCTGAACCTGAAGAATTGATTTACATTAACATTCGGATGGAAATGTAGCGATTATTTGATAGCTGTTGTCTGAAAAATCTTTTGATTTCAACAGCAGCAGACATTCTTGTAACCCAACAACACTGTCGCCTTGCCCTTTGTTATCCAGCTGCTTTCTCCTTCAAGCTTTCTCTTGGCAACAGTGTGCGTGACCATAAAGACGAGGGCATTTTCTCTGGAAAAGGCATTGAAAGCTGCTTCCCTTTTTGTTTTTGAGAATGATATTGTTACGGTTGCTTGCCAACATTGCAGATCAGCGTCATCAAATTGTGAATTGCCACATGGACTTAGCGGCTTAAAAATGCAATAGTGTTGTGGAGGGGATCTGGAGTCTGGAGTCTGACCCCGGCGTAATTGCATGCCAGCACAAAGGATTTAGCCACTAATGCTTTGAGAGAGCACAGGGGAAAAAAGAGGGTATGCTGACACACCACAGATGGTCCTCAGCCACTCACTCTCTTCCTTGTCCTGTTAGTCAGTCGGTGTCTGTCTCATGCCTTGTAAATCACACCCACCATGCTAACTTGCCTAAGCTCCACACCAGCCCCCACCCAGGGACTTGTTTATAAACATGTGTTTTTGCTGATTTAATGGGTGAAATGAGCTATTACCTCTAAATTATTGCAGCATAACTCACTGACATCACATTATGACCCGATTGACCTTAATAGCGTGATAGAATTTCCCTTGCTTTCGTTAGTTTGTGTATGTTCCAACTTCTAAATCTGCTAGAGTTCATTCAGGGTCTTTATTGTTTCATTAGTACTACAACTACTACTTTGTTAACTCAAAGCTAATAGGGCTGGGATATGAACCCAAACTCCCTTTGAGGGGCCACGTTCTTTGGCTGGATCAGACAGTCAGAGTGGTACACAGGGGGCCTGAGGGCGCTCTGCCAGACTAGCTGCTTTGATACTTCCTCTCTCAGCACCAGGCAAAGGGCCTCACCATGACCCCAGTTAGATAACATGTCTTTGCTGGAGAGAGACAGAATTATTTTAGTCGTATTCAAATAGAAACCCATGACAGATGTTACCCAGCTCTGTTTTCCGACCATCTGGTAGTGATGACCATGAGTTTACAAATGAGTGTGTGTGTGTGTGTGTGAGATATAAAATGCTCATGAGGCTTCTTTGTATACTGTAGGTGAACAAGAAAGAAAATCTCCAGATCTACAAGACGCAGACATCCTGTCTAGTCAGCCAATACAAAGGTAAAAAAAGTTACAAGAACACTGCAAGTGGTCAGTTGATTTGGTGCAAAGTAAAATACTGATGATTGTGTTTTTGCTTCATAGCAGAAGAAGAGCCTTCCGATACACTCCTGGGATCTTGGAAAGTTACAATAGTCTTGACAGCGAACTAGAGGAAAACGTGGATAGCAGCCCCGTGAGCCCTGTGCCTCCTTACTTAGCAAAGACCAGCAGTTCTGAGTGGAACAGCTCGGATGACCTTGCAGGACCTTTCTCTGAACAAGAAGAAATGGGCACGGTTGCCCACTTACACCCTTTCTTGCACAACTATCCTCCACCTTTACCCCCCAAGACCTTTGGCAACAATCACGCTGACCCATCTGCTGTCCACTCCCCGCCACCGGAGGTGCCACCACGGTTGAGCCCCCGCAGTGAACCCAAAAATGGCTTGTCCTCCCTCTCGCACACCACCCTCCGCCGGTGGATTGAGACACCTGCCGAGCTCAGGCTTTCATCAGATGCCAGCTCCAAGTCGGGGTCATCGGACCAGGACAGGAACGATCTGTCGGCAAGCGAGAGCGACGAGAGGTTACCCAGTCCAAAGCCCGGACACGATCACGGTACAGACTCCCCTGGTCCGACAGATATGGTTCTTCCCACCACCTACTTTTCTGTGGACAACTGTATGACAGACACTTACCGGGCCAAATACCACAAGCCTGCCTTGTACATGAAAGCAGAGGACCACATGTCATCAGGGGAGAGTGATGTTGATGGGAGGGGTCTTCCTTTGCCAGATGTTCAGCCACCAGAGCCTTCCAAAAGCAGATCAGAACCAGGTACTGTATGCCGTTATTATTGCTAATCATACTTTGTGTGAAATTTGTAGCCTTTCTGTAAATGTCAGCATTGATTGAGTCTTTGGCTTTTGTCTTGCAGGCTTTTCTACTACTAAGACGGCTGCAAAGTGGAACCCAGTTACTCCAAAAGGACTTGATGAGCATGGTTTCCTATGATTTTAACAAAAGCATCAATAGACCTTGAGTGATCCAGTGACTGGATGCCAAAAGGAATTGCTATGCACTATGACTGCTAGACAGTGTGACTCCTTCTGACTGGGATGTGTATTTTCTTATATACTCAACAGAAAGTTGGACATTAAACTGAATGCCAAAGAGATTGTGAAAAGAATGGCAGGTGTCCTTAGTAGCTATATTGTTGTTTTGGTATGAACTACTAAAAGCTTTGAATGAACAGTGAATTTGCACAGTTGAGAGCACCAGAAAGTCACAGAGAAATAAACATCTCCAAAAACATTTGCTGGCGATCATGTTTGGACTTTTGGAGCTCAAAAGCAAAGGGTTGGATTAGTAAAGAATGTGTCACAAAAAGCCACTTTACCACTCAAGAGATTATTTTCATGAGGAAGTAACCCATTTCTTGCAGTTCTACTTCCTCTCACTCCATGGAATGTTTTTATTTGTGTGTTTAACTACTCCCATTTCAGCGTTATGAGGTGTCTGCCCCAGTTCTATCTGTGTTTCACATCATATACCCTATACCCTTTCATGGGTTTTGAAGGTTCCAGTAATATTCAGAACATGAATTTTTTTTGTACATTTTGGAAAGCATATTGGGCACTCTTTTGGCAAGATCTAAAAGTCGATGCCATGAGTCTGTGTGAATATGTAGCTCCAGGACACCCACATAGGTTCTTGGCTCAGACGTCTTTACAGGACTGTTAAGGCGGCAAAACATACAACCTCAGATTCTTGCTGGTATGTAGAGTTTAGTGACCTAATCAAATAACACGCTTCATTCTTTCTTTTGTCTCTGTATTCATCAAACTTCTGGTCTAGGTCTAGAATGCCAAAATATCTGCTGACCAGTATAGGTGTCCAGGGGCTACAAGGTAATGGGTATAAATGTTAAATTGATTGTTTATTGGTAGAATGTCGAGGCACGTCCCTATCCTCACATGCACATTTACACACTTCCCATCATCCTTGCATATTTATTGTGTTTTATGTGTTTACACTGTTTTTCTGGTTGATTATTTTCCTTTTTACACTCCTGTGAGTGACACTGACAGTTTTAAACTTCAATTGGTTGTCTTTAACTCAATTAATTATTCAGTTTGCTGTCCAATTTCCTAAAGATTGCTCCTATTGGCAGCAAGTCTGCTCTGGTAGGACACGGACATGTTAGAATTTAAAATTGTCACCTAGGGATTGACAGGGCTTTCTTTTTCTTTGAGGGAGTTATTATAATAACGTTGTAAATCTGAGTAGTGGACTATTTTTTTTGGTTCAAAATATTTTCTATATGCAGCAGGACTCTAATGCACAGTGCCTTTTGTATTTTTCTATGTTGTGACAAGATTAAATTGGAGCCCTGGTTTGTACAATTCTTTGATTTTAAAGAATATTTGTAACATTTTATTTTATTTTTATTGATGAACAATTGTTAAATAAACAGTTTTATTTAACCATATGTGTGTCAAACTGTGTAATATTCAAGAGCACAACGTTTAGAATATAGCAGCGCTTATCTTATCTTATTATTTTGTAAGAGGAAACTAATAGAGGATGCTAATTTAGAAATCATCCAAATATAGATACTGATGCAAAACACTGTCTTTTCTAAATAAATAGATCCTATTGACACAATGTACAGTGAGGAAAATAAATATTTGAACACCCTGCTATTTTGCAAGTTCTCCCACTTAGAAATCATGGAGGGGTCTGAAATTGTCATCGTAGGTGCATGTCCACTGTGAGAGACATAATCTAAAAAAAAAATCCAGAAATCAGAATGTATGATTTTTTAACTATTTATTTGTATGATACAGCTGCAAATAAGTATTTGAACACCTGTCTATCAGCTAGAATTCTGACTCTCAAAGACCTGTTAGTCTGCCTTCAAAATGTCCACCTCCACTCCATTTATTATCCTAAAGACACTAGAGACAAAATTGTACACCTCCACAAGGCTGGAAAGGGCTACGGGGAAATTGCCAAGCAGCTTGGTGAAAAAAGGTCCACTGATGGAGCAATCATTAGAAAATGGAAGAAGCTAAACATGACTGTCAATCTCCCTCGGACTGGGGCCGAAATCAGCCCAGAACTACACGGGAGGAGCTGGGACCACAGTTTCCAAGGTTACTGTTGGTAATACACTAAGACGTCACGGTTTGAAATCACGCATGGCACGGAAGGTTCCCCTGCTTAAACCAGCACATGTCAAGGCCCGTCTTCAGTTTGCCAATGACCATTTGGATGATCCAGAGGAGTCATGGGAGAAAGTCATGTGGTCAGATGAGACCAAAATAGAACTTTTTGGTCATAATTCCACTAACTGTGTTTGGAGGAAGAAGAATGATGAGCACCATCCCAAGAACACCATCCCTACTGTGAAACATGGGGGTGGTAGCATCATGCTTTGGGGGTGTTTTTCTGCACACTGGACAGGGCGACTGCACTGTATTAAGGAGAGGATGACCGGGGCCATGTATTGCGAGATTTTGGGGAACAACCTCCTTCCCTCAGAGCATTGAAGATGGGTCGAGGCCGGGTCTTCCAACATGACAATGACCCGAAGCACACAGCCAGGATAACCAAGGAGTGGCTCTGTAAGAAGCATATCAAGGTTCTGGCGTGGCCTAGCCAGTCTCCAGACCTAAACCCAATAGAGAATCTTTGGAGGGAGCTCAAACTCCGTGTTTCTCAGCAACAGCCCAGAAACCTGACTGATCTAGAGAAGATCTGTGTGGAGGAGTGGGCCAAAATCCCTCCTGCAGTGTGTGCAAACCTGGTGAAAAACTACAGGAAACGTTTGACCTCTGTAATTGCAAACAAAGGCTACTGTACCAAATATTAACATTGATTTTCTCAGGTGTTCAAATACTTATTTGCAGCTGTATCATACAAATAAATAGTTAAAAAATCATACATTGTGATTTCTGGATTTTTTTATTTTTTTTCTCTCTCTCACAGTGGACATGCACCTACGATGACAATTTCAGACCCCTCCATGATTTCTAAGTGGGAGAACTTGCAAAATAGCAGGGTGTTCAAATACTTATTTTCCTCACTGTAGATCATTGTGTTCAACAAATGCTGGGAAACACAGTGATTTGCTGCCACCTGCTGTCATGTATCCTTAAAGCCACTTCTAATATGAAGTACCGGCACCTATGACTTTCTGAAAGGTTTAGTGTTCTCTGCTCTCACATGTCTTTCAGTAAGTTTTGCCCTGGTGTGCTAGTTTGACCGCTACAGTGCATTTCACTTGCCTTTTTTTATTCCCTTAATTCCTTAAACATTTAAATCTTGCGCTTTTTCTTTACTAACAAATAATACATAAACCACATTGTCTTGTGTATGAAAGTACTATAGACAGACACCTTTATGAGCATGGGTTGGTGTCATTCAATCCAGTGGTTTTGTGGCACTTTTGGATGATAAATCTAACATGTCATTATTGTCCAGATTGTTTTCACTCACTAGAAAAGTTTTCCTCTTCTACATAGTAGGACCCCACAGTTTTCTAAATTGTCATGTTGCACCCAAGGGACATGACTTCTCAAGAAGCATCAGTCCGCAATATTGTACATTTTGTGCCTTTTCCACCTTCAGGTGAGAACAAATGAACCAATGATGCTGCCACACCAATCTCAAACACTTGGAGAAAAAAAGGTCTATCCTGATAAAATGATAACGTAAGGCCCTGTAATTAATGGACAGAGAAAATACTTTACAGATGAATCTGTCACTATCAGAATGTGACCTGAAGGCGTAGACGACTTCCATACTCAACCTAAATCCACATATTTCAGAGAATCATGCCTGTGCCTCTCTAAAATTTGAAGTTGGGTTCTTCGAAACTATTAGAAAAAACATCATATTACTGGTATGATAACTGAACAGTCAACACAGTGGATTCCTCTTACTTTTATTACACTCATGAGCAATGAAATAATGCTGAACTAAGATTAATATCCACAGGTGGGAGGTTATTATTATACAGTTGGACCATGCTGATACATGAAAGAATTCTTTCCAGAGAGTAGGAGAGTGCAGTCAGTTGCCTATGGATTCAATAATATTACACGAATGTTTTGAATATTTCCAGATTGATGTGTTGGTGGACTGTAAATGTTTCTCTGTTTCTTGTTAATAATCCCTGAAAGGTCTCCTGTTATGTTGATTCAGAACATAAAATAAATGAACATGAACTCAGGGCTGACAAACTCTGACCGCCTACGCTGGAGTTAAACGGTACTACGACGGCGGATAAGATGTTTGTTAGTTGAGTTGGCGTCTACCCGGGGTTAACTTCATTGGAGTTGGTGCGCGTTCGCATAAAAGGGGTGTGTTCGGCCGTGCAGGCAGAGTTTTTTTTCGCAACGGCGCATGCTCCGTATTTTCCCCAGAAGAATGCGCGTTGATTGTGTCAGGATATGAGGAGTTTAATCCAGGTGGAACATCAGTTCAAAAAAGACCGGTGACACTCATGAGATACTTTCGTACATTTATTGTCATTTTCTAGCACATTGCGCCCCCAACATGTTGTCATCCTCCAACAGTCAACAATGAAGTGGGCTCCACACAGGTAGGCTATTTCAGGATTTAATTCACTCATCATCAATGCTGGAAACACGTTCTCATCTCAGGGTGTCTTAAATATCCACAAGTTCTTCAAAGAGGAATGACTATGAGGAAACAAAATGAACGTTAATACTGGTACCAAAATAGCAACTGACAGAAAAAACAGGCAGAGAATGGACTTTCATCCCCTGCTTCAAATAAACTACGTGTTGCCACTTGTAGGAAGACAACTCACAAACACAATTAAGAAAGGCTAGTTTTTTTTTTTAAATGTCCAGAACCAGAAAAGAATCCTTCCAATGTTCACTGGAAAGCGAAAAGGGGAAATGCACACCATGCACTGTCATTGTCACTGTCAATCCTGACAATGTTTTGTCATTCAGTACTCTGCTCCTCATTGCATGGCAGTTCCATCATAGTTTTGGTATGCTTAAATCAGGGGTGTGTGTGTGTGTGTGCGCGCGCGCATGTCTTCTCCACAATCTGTCAGAGTGGGACTCATGTCAGTGTGGGCTCCTCCTCTGCAGCTGCCATACTTCATTAGGGGCCATCAGCTGAGCTCAGTGCTCTACTGTCAGAGTCAGACTTCTGTTTTCTCATTTCTCCTCCCCTTGCACTCTGTTTCTGCCTCTCTTGCGCGCGCGCAAACTGTCCCCCATGCTCACTCACGTCCTTCATCCTCATGATTTTTTCACTCTGTCAACTCACCTCAGTCTTTCCCGTCTTGCTAAATTTTCCCCTGCCCTCACTCTGCATCATCTCCTCTCCCCATACTCATACTTGTTTTAGCCGACTTCCTATTTTCTATTCAGTACCTCTTTTAGTCAGCATAGCCCTTGTGTTTCAGAATCAACTCACAAAGTGGATTTTCTTGCACAGTAAAGACTGGTTTAAATTGTGTTCTTATAAGCATATTTACATTAAATTTAGTCTTTCCAAAATCATATTCAAATACTAGGAATAATTGTAATCCTTCATGCTGTGCCTGTTTTGTGTACCTTTAAATGTTTTCCAACATATGAGTGTAGGTGGTAAGGTGGTTTCTATCAACTCTGATGAGATGTGATGTTAAGGGGCAGACATAGCAGGATGATAACTTTGTAAATGTGATGTTTTTGAATAAGCTACCAAGCGTCTGGTATTCTGTACTTTTCTTACTTTAAAAATACTTTTCAAAAATGGCAAAACAGATTGCACTATGTACTAGCCGAGCAGGTACATATCATGCAACAATATTCATTCCAGTCCCTGAAATGAAAGTGGCTACAGCCGAAACCAATATGATGACTAAAGTTAAAAATGTCAGTGCTGCATCTTGTAGAAACAGACACAGGTAGGTATCAAATTACAGGAAAAGCACATGTATAATAATGTGTGTAACTGCAGTTTTCTTAAATGTGCTATGTTTGCAGTGGCGAAAGTGCTTTAGTGAGCTAAAAAGCTCCTGGTACTGCCCATAATTGTAATGAGATCATTAAAAGATAAAAGAAAATAAAAAAAGAAATTAGCATCCACAATGGCAGAATCTTTTTAGCCAGTGTAACAAAAATTGCAAGAACTTTGAAAGACCTGTGGTGGGTTTTACAGTCAGGATACATGATTGATCAGATGGTGTGACGTGTTAGCTAGCCAGCGGAATCGATGATCTTGGCAAACTAGTCCACAGAGGTTAATTAGCGGAGTTTCCCTACCAGTCAGTCAGAACTGAAGTCGTCTCTTGGATGAGGGACGAAATGTCTTCTAGTATCTTGATTTTAACCTTCCTTGGATAACTATGGCCTGGATGACTAAGAGCCTTCACAGGCATCTAGCTTAATAGCTAGCTGACTACTAGCTAACGGGCTAACAAGTTATATAGCTTGAGCTAGCTACCTGAAGTTGCACCATTACATGAAGGAATTTTGTTCTCCCACTTTCTGCGGCGCTTTTAGCGTGAACACAGGAATTTTGAGTTTCCACAGTCCCCACAAATAGCAAATGCACTGGCAGACATTTTGAATAGCAAGCCACTCGCACTGACTTTCTCTGTTTGTGTGTGATTTTAAAGGATTAGCGCAGATCTTTTTAGTCAGTTAAAGCATTTTGACTTATATATCAATATGAGCTGTGTTAGCTGTGCTAAAGTGCTGTCTCAGAAGGTGTCTAACAGGACAGTGAGACATCTACTGCTGTCTGAAACGGCTCAAACGATCTCTTCCTGTCGCGTAAGACGCCTTCTAACTTCACCAGTAATGGCCACTTCTGAAGGTGTTGCAGTCTTTTTTTCCAGATATATTCTTTTCCTTTCCCCGCACAGTTCCTTTCTTTTTCGTTTTTTCCCCCCAAATTGTTCTGTCTTGTCTGTATCTCTTCCTTAGCAGACCACCATGTACCCAGTTGTGTGCATGTGCATACACACACAGACACAGCCCACGGGTTTCTGTTCTTGTTGTCATCCTGACAAGCAGTAGGAACAGGATTATGGGTACATACCCTCTTACTTGGGGCAGAAGAAAGTGTGAAATCTGATTGCTTTGGAAGATTTAAAAAATAGCACCCTGTGAGGTCGGCGGAATCCTAAATATGAGCAGGCTGAAGGAGTATAGCAGTAGGGTGTAGTCTGTTCCGGGGATTTTGCCAAATTTTCAGACTTGAGAGGGTGGCTTAATAGAGGACAGAGAGATGAAGCTGCAGGGTGCATAGGTGGCAAAAGCTACTTTTCCCCAGCATCTCTTTTGCAAGTTTGGTTTTGTTAATACTATAACTTGCTAAGGGATGTTTTTTGTGATTTTAATATTTTTGATTCATAATACTTTGCAGCTAGATATTACAAAATATATACTGTAGGTTTTTGAAACAGTCTCACATATTGTCCCGGGTGTTTTTAAAAGCTGCATATGCAAATATCTTCCCAAAAGCAGCTGTGATATAAAAAAAAAAGCTTCATAAACTATAAGTGTAAAGTTCCAAGGGGGTAGATCATGTGGCATTATAATAATTCATCACTAGGGGGCATTACAGTATTGTGTTTTTGTTCCACTCCAGCCTGAGGCTGTTTGGCAAAGCCCACTCGCCAGTTTCCACCACTTCCATTTATGAGCCTCTTCCACTTGCCTCCATGAAACAAAATCACTGTAATGACTGCATGGTGCAGAGAAACAGAGCGAGTTGTATGCTCCACTATGCCATCCCATTTTTTCTGTCTTCTCTTTCTAATTCACATGTGCTATATTTACTGATATTTTCCCCTCCGCTGTATGTAAAAATCAACCCAAGATGGTATCCTGTAACATGGTGCTGCTCTGTTTGTCTGTTTGTTTTTCTTTTCTTTTCCAGGGCATGTTGTTCTCTAGACCTACAGCAAATAAGTATCACGCAAAAAGGAAGCTTAGACTCTGTAATGCACTGAAAGCTAGTGCAAGGATTAGAATGAGAGGAAAATGTACAGAGCAAGGGAGAGACAACACTGAACTTGAAATATGTCTTTCATTAACAAGTGCTTGCCGTTTTTCTCTTTTTCTCCCAGTCCAGACTTTTGAGTGTTTTTAATTGCAATTTTTAAACATTTTAATCTGTTCTTTTAGCAGAGAAAACTGTTTCTTCTTTGTGCAACCCATAATCTTACGACTTTTCACAGAGGCCACGCTGATTGCATGTTAACGCCATGACCCCAGCAGACCGTTTTGAAAACTCATTTAGGAAACAGTTCACATCCTTTTTTCTTTTTTTGCTTTGATCACTAAGCCCCCAAAGTTGTTAACATTAAACTGTAAATATTCATACAAAAGTCATCAAGTGTAGTGCCTTTGGAAGGCAGTGTGTGTGTCCAGGAATTTGAGGTGGACTGTGAGACCAAATTTCTGCTTTGTTTCTGCAAACTGTGACACGCTAAATTGAAAGTCCTTTCAAAATGTAGGCCTGTGTAATACATGTTTTGTTTATATTAAGTAAATTGCCCTTAATATATTTATGGAAATCAGAAAAAGGCACAATTGTTTGATACATTTCTACATTTCTCTCACACATTGATTCTGAAAAAGCCAAAAAAATTACTTGCACCAGATAATTATGATTATGATTGATTGATTGAATTAATTGATTAAAAAGGTCTTACTTACCTTGGAAGAACATTGAGCCACGAAAATAAACATGAAATAGATGTTTAGTCTTATTTTGCAACTTAAACCATAGAGTTCAACTTGATGAAAATAATGTTGAATATTTCAGAGGGCCAATGTTACTGTATTGCAGCAGTAGGACTAACATATTCTTTGAATTCATATGCCCCTTTAAAATATTCTGCATTGGTAAAGTTTTAAATACTTGCCTTTTTTCATTGTTCATTAACAGCAGACAAGCAAAATGACTCTTGATGATGTGGTAAGCCCCGGTTCAAGTAGAAGCTTGCTGGATGGAGGACTCAGTTGCTTGTGCCTGGGAGCAGAAATGGGGCATATAGCATTGTATCCCTGAGTGTCTAGGAGCGTTGCTTGTGCAGTCTCCCTGGAAACCATTACTGCGCTGCCACTCGCAGGCGGTCTGTCACGGATTCAGGTGGAAAACACAAGCGTCTTCGTGTGCCAGCCAAAAGGGAGGATCGAAGTAGAAATGGAGGGGAGCGTTTGCAAATGGCTCTCAAGTCTGCAGGCTTAAAAGTGTTGATAACCACGGATTAGCTCTGCCTTTTCCCTCGGGCGGCTTTAAACTGTGGGGTCTCTTTCTCTTCAACCTTCCTCCTTTTGTCTGTACACAGTATGCAGGATTGCATGTGTGCACAAGGGGCATTGTGGGGATGTGGCTTTCATGTGTCGTTTCACATGTTCTCTGCGTGTTTTGAACGACTCATTCACATACACACCCCATATTGTCTTCTGCTGTAGAACGGTACAGCAACTGTCTCGTGCCCTGGAGCCCAGCCTTGAATATAAGGCCAACAAGGTAATCTACCCTTCAGGCATTTAAAGCGTGATCAGTTGTGCTGAGCAGGAAATGGCTTTGCAACTTTGTCATTTATTTGACGCCAAG